AATATTGAGAAATGAGCTTGGGATAAAGCCATTGAAATTCCAAAAAATCCAAGAACTTTCACCGCAACAGAAAGAAAGTAGATTCAAAAGAGCTTAAAAGTTGCTACGCTTGGCCGAAAGTGTTGAACTGTCGAATTTGATTATCTCCGATGAGAAAATATTCGTTGTCCAGCAGTTTGTAAAAAAAACAAAAAGATCGCTTTTACTTGCCAATGAGCTCAGTTGGAAATGTGGACCTTCGGTTGACCACCAAAACTCATGCTTCAAGCCGGCCGTGGTGATGGTGGGCCGCCATAACAGTCGATGGTCACTCTCCGCTCGTATTAATCGACTGTAGAATCAGAATAAATGCCGAATATTATTGGGAAAAATACTCTGGAGGGTGTATTAAAGCCTTGGGCACGCAAACATTTTGGCCGTAGACCTTGGACATTCCAACAAGACTCAGCATCATCGCACTCAGCACGCCCCACCCAAGAATGGTTGCAAAATGAGGTTCCTCGCTTCATTTCCAGGGCACCATTAAAATGGCCACCAAAATCTCGGGATACCAATCCGTTGGACTATTGTGTCTGGGGTATTTTGTAAAGCAAAGTTGGTACTTAAAAATATCAAAGTGTCGATCACCTCAAGCAACCGCTTCGCCGGGAATGGACCAAAATACCGCAGAGCAACATTCGGGCAGCGTGTGACGGTTTCATTGGCCGTTTAAAGGCCATAATTCGTGCCAAAGGTGACCAATTCGAACAAATCTAAACTTATTCTAAAAGTTGATGCTATTTCCGATATTTTTTGCTTTCATTCAAAAAAAATTAAAAAAAACATGTAAAAATTATGGCGTTTGACTTTGTTGCAGGTTCTTATCTCACCCTGTATATTAAAAAAAAATCAATTTAAAAAACATTAAGTTCGGCCTGGCCGAACTTGTAATACCCTCCACCTTAGGGTAAGGAAACATTAGAACCCATTATGACCCACAAATACCAATTTTTAGACATATGCAAAATACCGCTATTGTGGGGCTATACAAAAATGTGGACCTATACATACAATGTTTCGCCAAAGATGATAGAACCCATTCGGACCCACCAATACCAATTTTTAGACAAATGTTTCAATGGCAATGTTTCGCCATACGAACTAGGACACCTTATGACCTACAAATACCAATTTTCAGACAAATTCGTGAACAAAATGTGGCAAAAATCATCAAAATACCGAATATCGGAAGGTACCGTTATATGAGGACTATACCAAAATGTGGACCGATATATGTCATTTTCAATACCAACCATCCTAGATACAATACAAATTGTTCTGCTGAATTTTGGCGTTCTACGTCGGATAATGAGGGCTGTATCGTAATATCCAGAGACAGACTGACAAACAAAAAGACGGACAAACAGACAGACGGGCAGATAGACAGACGGACATCCTTAAATAAATAGAATTTTATGCTGATTATGAATAAAGTATTATGTGGTCTACAACAAATATTTGGTGATGTTACAAACGGAATGGCAAAGTTAATATACCCTCCTTTCCAAGGTGGAGGGTATAAAAATAAAAATTCTTTATTCTCTTTTTTTTTGTATATTTTTTCAATATAGAAAATTTAAAATATTTTCAATTTTTCCATTTCCATCAATTTGGTCTTACTTTGGGAATTAAACTTTAAATTCGCCTTCTTGCTTACAGAGACACATCATTCCATCATATCTACTTTGACACACATATACATACATACATATTTCTACCTCCCCTAATCCCTATAATCTTTACAAACATCATCGAAGATTAAAAGATTTGAACCATTAAACAATACAACAAAACATAATATTTTTTCTATTTTTTTTTTCTAATTTATCATGGAAACACCACCAAGTACCTTATAACCAATCATACATCCGAACATACATACTACATCTCGATACTTGTCAGGTACTCCCAACTACACGCATCTCTTAGTGCGGCATCAATCTATTATTAGATCGGTGGACGAATAAAAAAAGAAACAAAATGCGAAAATCCTCCCAAGAACAACGAAGAGGCATTCTAACGCAAGCGACTACATTATTGCGATGGTGAATGAGTTATTTGTTGGTATTGTTGTTGTTGTAGTTTTTTTTTTTTGTTTTATCTACTCTTCTGTCGCGTGAATGACATCGCGTGTCGGTGGTACTAGATGACAACAACACTCACACACATATTCGACATGTAACAGGTGATTCAAGGGTTTTTGCGATGCTTTTCTTGATCGTGTGTATACGCTGGGTTCTAGTGTTGTCATGTCCCTGACTGAAAGTGGTCGGAAAAAACTTTTATCTATTTTCTATAGAAAAAAACTCTTCAGGGACCTTAGGATTCTTTTTTTATAGCAAAAAGTCTTCATAAACGAGGAGTATTTATAGGGGAACTGGAAGACCAAAGAGTCGTTATAGACTAGCTGAAGGGAGTCCTCATATACGAGCTAAAGGGGGCCTTCATAGACAAGCTGAAAGGTGTATTCATAGACGAGCCAAAGGGAGTCCTCCGTCATAGACCAACCGAAGGGAGTCTTCATAGACCAGCTGAAGGCAGTCTTCCTTCATAGACGAGCTGAAGACAGTCTTCCCTTCATAGACGAGCTGAAAGGGAGTCTTCCTTCATAGACGAGCTGAAAGCTGTCTTCCTTCATAGACGAGCTAAAGGGAGTCTTCTAGACGAGCTTAAGGGAGTCTCCATAGACAAGCTTAAGGGAGTCTCCATAGACAAGCTTGAGGGAGTCTCCATAGACGAGCTGAAGGGATTCTCCATAGACGAGCTGAAGGGAGTCTCCATAGACGAGCTGAAGGGAGTCTCCATAGACGAGCTGAAGGGAGTCTCCACAGACGAGCTGAAGGGAGTCTACATAGACGAGCTGAAGGCAGTCTCCATAGACGAGCTGAAGGGAGTCTCTGTAGGCGAGCTGAAGGCAGTCTCTGTAGGTGAGGTGAAGGCAGTCACTGTAGGCGAGCTGAAGGCAGTCTCTGTAGGCGAGCTGAAGGCAGTCTCTGTAGGCGAGCTGAAGGCAGTCTCTGTAGGCGAGCTGAAGGCAGTCTCTGTAGGCGAGCTGAAGGCAGTCTCTGTAGGCGAGCTGAAGGCAGTCTCCGTAGGCGAGCTGAAGGGAGTCTCCGTAGACGAGCTGAAGGCAGTCTCTGTAGGCGAACTGAAGGTCTCTGTAGGCGAGCTGAAGGCAGTCTCTGTAGGCGAGCTGAAGGCTGTCTCTGTAGGCGAGCTGAAGGCAGTCTCCTTAGGCGAGCTGAAGGGAGTCTCCGAAGACGAGCTGAAGGCAGTCTCCTTAGGCGAGCTGAAGGCAGTCTCTGTAGGCGAGCTGTAGGCAGTCTCCATAGGCGAGCTGAAGACACTTTCCATAGGAGAGCTGAAGACACTCTCCATAGGCGAGCTGAAGACAATCTCCATAGGCGAGCTGAAGACAATCTCCATAGGCGAGCTGAAGACAATCTCCATAGGCGAGCTGAAGACACTCTCCATAGATGAGCTGAAGCGAGTCTCCACAGACGAGCTGAAGCGAGTCCCCATAAAAATGGGAGTTTTTATAGATGTGCCGAAGAAGGCACAGCTGAAGTAAAATTGCTTTTTCTATATGAAAATTTGACTTTAGGGACCTGAGGACCCTTTTTCCATTCGAAAAATGTGACCTCTGAGAACTGAGGACACTTTTCCATTCGAAATATTGGACAATAGCCCACTTTTTTATAGGAAAAACTTGATCTCAGGTCCCTGAGGACACTTTTATCCATAGGCGTCAGAGACCATGGGAAAAATTGACCTCAGGACCCTGAGGACACTTTTTTTATAGAAAAAACTCCTCGGGGACCTGAGGACACTTTTTCTATAGAAAAAACTCCTCGGGGACCTGAGGACACTTTTTCTATAGAAAAAACTCCTCGGGGACCTGAGGACGCTTTTTCTATAGAAAAAACTCCTAAGGGACCTGATGATAAACTCCTCAGGAACCTGAAGACAATTTTTCTTTAGAAAAATAACTCCTCAGGAACCTGAGGGCAATTTTTCTTTAGAAAAATAACTCCTCAAGGACCTGAGGGCAATTTTTCTTTAGAAAAATAACTCCTCAAGGACCTGAAAACAATTTTTCTATAGAAAAAATCCCTCCTTGGGGACCTGAGGACCCTTTTTTCTATAGAAAAAACATCCTCAGGGACCTGAGCACAGGTCCTCATGTTCAAGTTTTTTCTGCAGTTCAAAATTTTTATCGAAAAAAAGTTTCCTTAGGCCCTTGAGGTAAATTTTTTATATCGTAAAAATGTCCTCAGACCCCTGAGCTCAGTGATCTGAGTTATCTTTCCTATCGAAATAAAGTTTCCTCATTAATTATTAGGCACAAGTTTAGATACACAAATCTAAATAAGACATGGCAACCCTGGTGCACGATTTGTATTTAGGTAATTGTGTGTGTGACTTTCTCACTACATGTTCCTGTCGTTGTTCAATGCAAGAATGTTGCGTGAGATTTATTTGGTGATAGCAAATAGCAGCTGTCATTTCGGTCAATTTTGATGAGGAACACATGTTGTGGCTGTTTCTTGGATCCAATGGTATTTTCCAATACAAGTGGGGGAAAATTGCTCTTTTCCATTGGAGAAAAATAAAAAGAGTCGAAAATATCAATCAACGGCAATTAGTTGTAATAATGAGATTGAAGTGGTTCAAAGGGGTAACAAGGTCAGAATTTGGAATGGTTCCTGATACCTAAGTATTGTCAGGTGATCATGTGATTTTGAGATGTGGTGAAACCCTATAGTAACTCCATAACTTATATACATATTTCAAAGGAAAGAAATCCCCATTTATCTCCCAGCAAAAACCCTTATTTATCTCGAAACAAAAAGTCAGAATCTCAGGACTGAGGTCAAGTATTTTTCATTGAGAATTTTGGGCAAAATTTTTCCAACAGAGTCGTTGTTGACTTTCTGCTCAAATTGAAATATTTTATTTTCTATTTCTTTGACATTCTGCTCAAATTTCAATACTTTATTTTCTACTTCTGACGACAAACCTTAACACAACTGTCTGCATATTTTTTTTATAAAATTTTCTATTTAGATCCTAAAATGGTAAGTCCAAAAAAAAATCGCCATAAAATTCCCCTCACTCTACTCCTTATTCTCCATAGGAGTCGGAAAACAACATGGATGATAAGGCGCCACTTCAATCCCAGTTCGTACCCATAACACCAAAAGATTCCCTATCCTCTGTGGATTCAGAGCCACCAATTCCATTCCCTAAAAAATTACTACCAAAAACCAGAACCCTGGCCACGCGAAAATCAATCCCAACAAAAACCATGGTTAGAGAAGCCTTGAAAACAATTGCAAAACCCAAGGAGACAGCAGCCGAACGGGCATCACGACAACGAAAAACTCTCAGTTTGCGGGGAATTCAACAATTTATGGCTCTCAAATATTTCATCACAAATCCCGACATGAAGTCGCGAATGCCCCATGTCAAGAAATACCTAAAGGATCTCTTGGATAATGGCCAGCTGAAGAGTGTCAAAAGCGGTGCCGGTTTGACGGGTTCATTTTGGGTTCCAGCTAGAAGTCAGCTGCAGAAGGACCTGCAAAATGTTAAAAATAAACCCAAGGCTAGAAAATCTCTGAAATCAAAGCAAAAGAGGAAAGGCCACAAGGCCAGACGAGGAGGTGTGAAGAAGGCATTGTCTCGTCATAAATAACTTCAAAAGCCATAATTATTTTTAAAATCAATTATAATTTCTAAATATTGGATATATTTTAATACATTTTACGAAATTAAATAGGATTTTTTCTTTAAGATTTCTTTCTATAGAATCATCTCAGGAACCCGACGAAATTTTTTCTATAAAAAAAAAACTCTTTTTTCAGGAACCTCAGGAATTTTTTTCTATAAAAAACTCTTCTCAGGGACCTGAGGAAATATTTTCTATAAAAAAAACTCTCCTCAGGAACCTGATGACCTGGGGAAAATTTTTCTACAGGGTGACCTGAGACAGGGTGACCTGAGACAATTATGGAAAAAAATCTCCAGAGATTGTCCAGAGGAATTTTATCTATGGAAAAAACTCTCCTCAGGGTGTACTGAGAAAATGTGAAAAACTCTCCTCAGCGTGTCTTGAAATTTTTTCTATAGAAAAAACTCACTTCAGGCAGCTGAGGAAATTTTTTCTATAGAAAAAACTCACTTCAGGCAGCTGAGGAAATTTTTTCTATAGAAAAAACTCACCTCAGACATCTGAGGAAATTTTTTCTATAGAAAAAACTCACCTCAGACATCTGAGGAAATTTTTTCTATAGAAAAAACTCACCTCAGACATCTGAGGAAATTTTTTCTATAGAAAAAACTCACCTCAGACATCTGAGGAAATTTTTTCTATAGAAAAAACTCACCTCAGACATCTGAGGAAATTTTTTCTATAGAAAAAACTCACCTCAGACATCTGAGGAAATTTTTTCTATAGAAAAAACTCACCTCAGACATCTGAGGAAATTTTTTCTATAGAAAAAACTCACCTCAGACATCTGAGGAAATTTTTTCTATAGAAAAAACTCACCTCAGACATCTGAGGAAATTTTTTCTATAGAAAAAACTCACCTCAGACATCTGAGGAAATTTTTTCTATAGAAAAAACTCACCTCAGACATCTGAGGAAATTTTTTCTATAGAAAAAACTCACCTCAGACATCTGAGGAAATTTTTTTTATAGAAAAAACTCACCTCGGACATCTGAGGAAATTTTTTCTATAGAAAAAACTCACCTTGGACATCTGAGGAAATTTTTTCTATAGAAAAAACTCACCTCTGGTTCCTGAGGATTTTTCTTCTATAGAAAAAACTCTCCTCAGGGAAATCTGAGGAATTTTTTTTCTATGGAAAAAACTCTCCTCAGGGAAATCTGAGGAATTTTTTTTCTATGGAAAAAACTCTCCTCAGGGAAATCTGAGGAATTTTTTTTCTATGGAAAAAACTCTCCTCAGGAAGATCTGAGGAAATTTTTTCTGCAAAAAAACTCTCCTCAAGGACCTGATGGAAAATTGTTTTTATGTATTTTTTTATACAAATTTTTTCCTCAGGGACCTGATTTTTTTTATAGCAAAAAGATGCCCCAGGGATCACGAGGATCTTTATTATATCGCCATTGAATATTATATTTATAATGTTATATTATATATTTTAAGTAGAGGACATATCTTTAAGCCCAAAATTACATTTCCTTCGAGGACCTTTGCAAGACCAAGGTAGAGGTTTCTGAAAGATTTGAATTACGCTTTGGCAATGGCGGTGGAGATGCCGGACTCATGGCATAGTGATTTGGAGCCGAGCGTTGTTCCAAAGTGTATTCATTTTCACAGGATCTGGGTGTCTCGTAGTTCTCTTCGCGACAATGAAAATCCGAGGAGAATGGGTCATCCACACAAGAGCTGTTCGGAATTAAACTCTGGGGCAAATTTTGAACGGACATTTGAAAGGATGGTGGTGGAGATTCGGGTGGTATGGCTGGCAGGGGTAATCTGAGGGAAAAATTTGGAAAATAACTTATAATTATGAACCCTGGAAATATCCTTGGACTTACTTAATGGAAGATTTCTTCCTTAGCACCTCCTTGGTCAGCGAATCCTTTTTCTCATTGTTGTTGCAGTTTTTGCGTTTCTTCAGCGAGTTCTGTTTAATGTATTCCTTTTCGGATATGGTTGAGACATAACATGACTTATCGGGCTTCTTTACAACGAGGACATTTTTGGAACCCTCCAACAGATCGGGATAGGTCTTAATGCCACAGTAGGCCACCAAGGCTCCCATAATGGTGGACACCAGGAAAATCAGACACAACATGCCAATGGTGAATTGTTTATTATCCTGGGATATCCAAATGTTCTCTTGCCTTTTGTGAGGCACATGCAGGGGCATGCAGTTAAAGGGCGAGATGGCATTCTGATAGGGAGGCACCAGGCAAAAGGTATAGGTGGTATTCTCCACCAAAGGGCCCACCACCAACTGAGGTTGGGCATAACGCATGCATTCGTAGTCCACGTTACGGCCATTGCAGGTTACAAAATCCGCTTCCTCTTGTTCGCTGAACCATATGATGACCAAATCGCCAGGTTCATTGACCAATACAACAACGGTATTATTCTCCTCGATGAGCTGCAAATCGAATTCATGCGTTGGCGGTGGTAGCTCGAAATAGTCCGTCTCCCCAGTCAAATCCAAATTACGTTCCATAGAGATATCAATCGATGAGGAGGCAACTTCCGAGTTAGTGGAATCCAACGACTCAAAATTGACGCAACGCATTTTAAATACCGTCGCCAAATCCGACGAGTCATCGACCTCATCTTCGCTGTTATCGAAATCTATTTTCGGTGTGTATTCATTTATCTTGGGTGTGGTCATTGGAGCCATGGAAGACGTCTCCAATTCCTCGACGGGAGATACCGTCGTAGATAATGCTTCGCAATTCTGCTCTCCGTAGTTCACCTCATCTATGGGCATGCCATAGAAAATGCGTGGTGCCGTACAGTAGACATCTTCCATAAATTTATTTCGCTGCTCCCGATACAAATTGGCCAAGCCTTGCATGGCACAATCACACAGCCACTCATTGTGGCTGAGACTAATCATGGCACCCAAATTATTCTGCAGAATTGGCTTCACAATCTCCGTACCCAGGGTGACCAAACGATTTTTGGATAAATTCAAAAATATCAATTTGTTCGACAAATTCGCAAAGGCATACTCCTCGATGTGTTCCAGTTTACAATCGATCATTATGAGATATTTCAAATTCGGCGTCGATTGGAACATACGCCGACTCAGCGATCCGGTGATGTTATTGAAACTTAAATCCAAATATTCCAATTTACTCATATAGCCCACATCGAAGAGATTCCGACTGCCATGCATTTCCAAATGGGCATTAAACTTCAAATGGGTAAGGGTAGTTTGTACCGGCTGGAAGAAGGCCGGTTCCAGCCTTTTGATTTTACTATCTATTGTTAGGTAACGCAGTTTAAACAGTCCCAACAGGGCTCCACTCTCAACCGTATCAAGCTCCAAACTGAACCATGACATCAAAAATGTACCCATAAACATGGGAGCATTGAAAGAGTTACCCCTTATTCTTGTTAAATTTCCGGAACGTATGATAATCTCATAGACCGAGAGATTTGTAGGAATCCAGGAGTTGGTCAGGGTATTATCGGGGAAATCTTGGGATTCCATCAACAATACATCGATGGAGGGACAAGAGGTGGTCTGAAATGAAAATATATTTTCTATAGAATTCCTGAGGGAAATGAGGAAATTTTTTCTATAGAAAAAACCTACCTCAGCGAACTGAGGAAATTTTTTCTATAGAAAAAACCTACCTCAGCGAACTGAGGAAATTTTTTCTATAGAAAAGACTCACCTCAGGGTACTGAGGAATTTTTTTCTATAAAAAAAAACTACCCCAGCGAACTGAGGAAATTTTTTCTATAGAAAAAACCTACCTCAGCGAACTGAGGAAATTTTTCTATAGAAAAACCTACCCCTGCGAACTGAGGAAATTTTTTCTATAGAAAAAACCTACCCCAGCGAACTGAGGAAATTTTTTCTATAGAAAAAACCTACCACAGCGAGCTGAGGAAATTTTTTCTATAGAAAAAACCTACCTCAGCGAACTGAGGAAATTTTTTCTATAGAAAAAACCTACCTCAGCGAACTGAGGAAATTTTTTCTATAGAAAAAACCTACCTCAGAGAAATGAGGAAATTTTTTCTATAGAAAAAACCTACCTCAGCGAACTGAGGAAATTTTTTCTATAGAAAAAACCTACCACAGCGAACTAAGGACATTTTTCAATAGAAAAAACTTACCTCAGCGAACTGAGGAATTTTTTTCTGTAGAAAAATCCTACCGCAGCGAACTGAGGAATTTTTTTCTGTAGAAAAATCCTACCTCAGCGAACTGAGGAAATTTTTTCTATAGGTCCCTGAGGAATTTTTTTCTATAGAAAAAACCTACCTCAGGGACCTGAGGAATTTTTTTCTATAGAAAAAACCTACCTCAGGGACCTGAGGAATTTTTTTCTATAGAAAAAACCTACCTCAGGGACCTGAGGAATTTTTTTCTATAGAAAAAACCTACCTCAGGGACCTGAGGAATTTTTTTCTATAGAAAAAACCTACCTCAGGGACCTGAGGAATTTTTTTCTATAGAAAAAACCTACCTCAGGGACCTGAGGAATTTTTTTCTATAGAAAAAACCTACCTCAGGGACCTGAGGAATTTTTTTCAATAGAAAAAACCTACCTCAGGGACCTGAGGAATTTTTTTCTATAGAAAAAACCTACCTCAGGGACCTGAGGAATTTTTTTCTATAGAAAAAACCTACCTCAGGGACCTGAGGAATTTTTTTCTATAGAAAAAACCTACCTCAGGGACCTGAGGAATTTTTTTCTATAGAAAAAACCTACCTCAGGGACCTGAGGAATTTTTTTCTATAGAAAAAACCTACCTCAGGGACCTGAGGAATTTTTTTCTATAGAAAAAACCTACCTCAGGGACCTGAGGAATTTTTTTCTATAGAAAAAACCTACCTCAGGGACCTGAGGAATTTTTTTCTATAGAAAAAACCTACCTCAGGGACCTGAGGAATTTTTTTCTATAGAAAAAACCTACCTCAGGGACCTGAGGAATTTTTTTCTATAGAAAAAACCTACCTCAGGGACCTGAGGAATTTTTTTCTATAGAAAAAACCTACCTCAGGGACCTGAGGAATTTTTTTCTATAGAAAAAACCTACCTCAGGAACTGAGAAATTTTTTCTGCAGAAAAATCCTACCGCAGCGAACTGAGGATTTTTTTTCTGTAGAAAAATCCTACCTCAGCGAACTGAGGAAATTTTTTCTATAGGTCCCTGAGGAATTTTTTTCTATAGAAAAAAACCTGCCTCAGGGAACTGAGGATTTTTTTTTCTAAAGAAAAAACCTGCCTCAGGGACCTGAGGAATTTTTTTCTATAGAAAAAACCTGCCTCAGGGACCTGAGGAATTTTTTTCTATAGAAAAACCTGCCTCGGGGACCTGAGGAATTTTTTTCTATAGAAAAAACATACCTCAGGGACCTGAGGAATTTTTTTCTATAGAAAAAACCTACCTCAGGGACCTGAGGAATTTTTTTCTATAGAAAAAACCTACCTCAGGGACCTGAGGAATTTTTTTCTATAGAAAAAACCTACCTCAGGGACCTGAGGAATTTTTTTCTATAGAAAAAACCTACCTCAGGGACCTGAGGAATTTTTTTCTATAGAAAAAACCTACCTCAGGGACCTGAGGAATTTTTTTCTATAGAAAAAACCTACCTCAGGGACCTGAGGAATTTTTTTCTATAGAAAAACCTACCTCAGGGACCTGAGGAATTTTTCTATAAAAACCTACCTCAGGGACCTGAGGAATTTTTTTCTATAGAAAAAACCTACCTCAGGGACCTGAGGAATTTTTTTCTATAGAAAAAACCTACCTCAGGGACCTGAGGAATTTTTTTCTATAGAAAAAACCTACCTCAGGGACCTGAGGAATTTTTTTCTATAGAAAAAACCTACCTCAGGGACCTGAGGAATTTTTTTCTATAGAAAAAACCTACCTCAGGGACCTGAGGAATTTTTTTCTATAGAAAAAACCTACCTCAGGGACCTGAGGAATTTTTTTCTATAGAAAAAACCTACCTCAGGGACCTGAGGAATTTTTTTCTATAGAAAAAACCTACCTCAGGGACCTGAGGAATTTTTTTCTATAGAAAAAACCTACCTCAGGGACCTGAGGATTTTTTTCTATAGAAAAAACCTACCTCAGGGACCTGAGGAATTTTTTTCTATAGAAAAAACCTACCTCAGGGACCTGAGGAATTTTTTTCTATAGAAAAGACCTACCTCAGGGACCTGAGGAATTTTTTTCTATAGAAAAAACCTACCTCAGGGACCTGAGGAATTTTTTTCTATAGAAAAAACCTACCTCAGGGACCTGAGGAATTTTTTTCTATAGAAAAAACCTACCTCAGGGACCTGAGGAATTTTTTTCTATAGAAAAAACCTACCTCAGGGACCTGAGGAATTTTTTCTATAGAAAAAACCTACCTCAGGGACCTGAGGAATTTTTTTCTATAGAAAAAACCTACCTCAGGGACCTGAGGAATTTTTTTCTATAGAAAAAACCTACCTCAGGGACCTGAGAAATTTTTTTCTATAGAAAAAACCTACCTCAGGGACCTGAGGAATTTTTTTCTATAGAAAAAACGTACCTCAGGGACCTGAGGATTTTTTTTCTATAGAAAAAACCTACCTCAGGGACCTGAGGAATTTTTTTCTATAGAAAAAACCTACCTCAGGGACCTGAGGAATTTTTTTCTATAGAAAAAACCTACCTCAGGGACCTGAGGAATTTTTTTCTATAGAAAAAACGTACCTCAGGGACCTGAGGAATTTTTTTCTATAGAAAAAACCTACCTCAGGGACCTGAGAAATTTTTTTCTATAGAAAAAACCTACCTCAGGGACCTGAGGAATTTTTTTCTATAGAAAAAACCTACCTCAGGGACCTGAGGAATTTTTTTCTATAGAAAAAACCTACCTCAGGGACCTGAGGAATTTTTTTCTATAGAAAAAACCTACCTCAGGGACCTGAGGAATTTTTTTCTATAGAAAAAACCTACCTCAGGGACCTGAGGAATTTTTTTCTATAGAATAAACCTACCTCAGGGACCTGAGGAATTTTTTTCTATAGAAAAAACCTACCTCAGGGACCTGAGGAATTTTTTTCTATAGAAAAAACCTACCTCAGGGACCTGAGGAATTTTTTTCTATAGAAAAAACCTACCTCAGGGACCTGAGGAATTTTTTTCTATAGAAAAAACCTACCTCAGGAACTGAGAAATTTTTTCTGCAGAAAAATCCTACCGCAGCGAACTGAGGATTTTTTTTTCTGTAGAAAAATCCTACCTCAGCGAACTGAGGAAATTTTTTCTATAGGTCCCTGAGGAATTTTTTTCTATAGAAAAAAACCTGCCTCAGGGAACTGAGGATTTTTTTTTCTAAAGAAAAAACCTGCCTCAGGGACCTGAGGAATTTTTTTCTATAGAAAAAACCTGCCTCAGGGACCTGAGGAATTTTTTTCTATAGAAAAAACCTGCCTCGGGGACCTGAGGAATTTTTTTCTATAGAAAAAACATACCTCAGGGACCTGAGGAATTTTTTTCTATAGAAAAAACCTACCTCAGGGACCTGAGGAATTTTTTTCTATAGAAAAAACCTACCTCAGGGACCTGAGGAATTTTTTTCTATAGAAAAAACCTACCTCAGGGACCTGAGGAATTTTTTTCTATAGAAAAAACCTACCTCAGGGACCTGAGGAATTTTTTTCTATAGAAAAAACCTACCTCAGGGACCTGAGGAATTTTTTTCTATAGAAAAAACCTACCTCAGGGACCTGAGGAATTTTTTTCTATAGAAAAAACCTACCTCAGGGACCTGAGGAATTTTTTTCTATAGAAAACTACCTCAGGACCTGAGGAATTTTTCTATAGAAACCTACCTCAGGGACCTGAGGAATTTTTTTCTATAGAAAAAACCTACCTCAGGGACCTGAGGAATTTTTTTCTATAGAAAAAACCTACCTCAGGGACCTGAGGAATTTTTTTCTATAGAAAAAACCTACCTCAGGGACCTGAGGAATTTTTTTCTATAGAAAAAACCTACCTCAGGGACCTGAGGAATTTTTTTCTATAGAAAAAACCTACCTCAGGGACCTGAGGAATTTTTTTCTATAGAAAAAACCTACCTCAGGGACCTGAGGAATTTTTTTCTATAGAAAAAACCTACCTCAGGGACCTGAGGAATTTTTTTCTATAGAAAAAACCTACCTCAGGGACCTGAGGAATTTTTTTCTATAGAAAAAACCTACCTCAGGGACCTGAGGAATTTTTTTCTATAGAAAAAACCTACCTCAGGGACCTGAGGAATTTTTTTCTATAGAAAAAACCTACCTCAGGGACCTGAGGATTTTTTTTCTATAGAAAAAACCTACCTCAGGGACCTGAGGAATTTTTTTCTATAGAAAAAACCTACCTCAGGGACCTGAGGAATTTTTTTCTATAGAAAAGACCTACCTCAGGGACCTGAGGAATTTTTTTCTATAGAAAAAACCTACCTCAGGGACCTGAGGAATTTTTTTCTATAGAAAAAACCTACCTCAGGGACCTGAGGAATTTTTTTCTATAGAAAAAACCTACCTCAGGGACCTGAGGAATTTTTTTCTATAGAAAAAACCTACCTCAGGGACCTGAGGAATTTTTTTCTATAGAAAAAACCTACCTCAGGGACCTGAGGAATTTTTTTCTATAGAAAAAACCTACCTCAGGGACCTGAGAAATTTTTTTCTATAGAAAAAACCTACCTCAGGGACCTGAGGAATTTTTTTCTATAGAAAAAAACGTACCTCAGGGACCTGAGGATTTTTTTTCTATAGAAAAAACCTACCTCAGGGACCTGAGGAATTTTTTCTATAGAAAAAACCTACCTCAGGGACCTGAGGAATTTTTTTCTATAGAAAAAACGTACCTCAGGGACCTGAGGAATTTTTTTCTATAGAAAAAACCTACCTCAGGGACCTGAGAAATTTTTTTCTATAGAAAAAACCTACCTCAGGGACCTGAGGAATTTTTTTCTATAGAAAAAACCTACCTCAGGGACCTGAGGAATTTTTTTCTATAGAAAAAACCTACCTCAGGGACCTGAGGAATTTTTTTCTATAGAAAAAACCTACCTCAGGGACCTGAGGAATTTTTTTCTATAGAAAAAACCTACCTCAGGGACCTGAGGAATTTTTTTCTATAGAATAAACCTACCTCAGGGACCTGAGGAATTTTTTTCTATAGAAAAAACCTACCTCAGGGACCTGAGGAATTTTTTTCTATAGAAAAAACCTACCTCAGGGACCTGAGAAATTTTTTTCTATAGAAAAAACCTACCTCAGGGACCTGAGGAATTTTTTTCTATAGAAAAAACCTACCTCAGGGACCTGAGGAATTTTTTTCTATAGAAAAAACGTACCTCAGGGACCTGAGGAATTTTTTTCTATAGAAAAAACCTACCTCAGGGACCTGAGGAATTTTTTTCTATAGAAAAAACCTACCTCAGGGACCTGAGGAATTTTTTTCTATAGAAAAAAACCTGCCTCATGGACCTGAGGAATTTTTTTCTATAGAAAAAAACCTGCCTCATGGACCTGAGGAATTTTTTTCTATAGAAAAAAACCTGCCTCAGGGACCTGAGGAATTTTTGTCTATAGAAAAAAACCTGCCTCATGGACCTGAGGAATTTTTTTCTATAGAAAAAAACCTGCCTCAGGGACCTGAGGAATTTTTTTCTATAGAAAAAAACCTGCCTCAGGGACCTGAGGAATTTTTTTCTATAGAAAAAAACCTGCCTCAGGGATTTGAGGCATTTTTTTCTATAGAAAAAACCTACCTCAGGGACCTGATTAATTTTTTTCTATAGAAAAAACCTACCTCAGGGACGTGAGGAATTTTTTTCTATAGAAAAAAACCTGCCTCAGGGACCTGAGGAATTTTTTTCTATAGAAAAAAACCTGCCTCAGGGACCTGAGGAATTTTTTTCTATAGAAAAAAACCTGCCTCATGGACCTGAGGAATTTTTTTCTATAGAAAAAAACCTGCCTCATGGACCTGAGGAATTTTTTTCTATAGAAAAAAACCTGCCTCAGGGACCTGAGGAATTTTTTTCTATAGAAAAAAACCTGCCTCATGGACCTGAGGAATTTTTTTCTATAGAAAAAAACCTGCCTCAGGGACCTGAGGAATTTTTTTCTATAGAAAAAAACCTGCCTCAGGGATTTGAGGAATTTTTTTCTATAGAAAAACCCTGCCTCAGGGACCTGAGGAATTTTTTTCTATAGAAAAACCCTGCCTCAGGGACCTGAGGAATTTTTTTCTATAGAAAAAACCTGCCTCAGGGACCTGAGGAATTTTTTTCTATAGAAAAAACCTGCCTCAGGGACCTGAGGAATTTTTTTCTATAGAAAAAACCTGCCTCAGGGACCTGAGGAATTTTTTTCTATAGAAAAAACCTGCCTCAGGGACCTGAGGAATTTTTTTCTATAGAAAAAACCAGCCTCAGGGACCTGAGGAATTTTTTTCTATAGAAAAAACCTGCCTCAGGGACCTGAGGAATTTTTTTCTATAGAAAAAACCTGCCTCTGGCAACTAAGGAAATTTTTTCTATAGAAAAAACCTGCCACAAGGACCTGAGAACGTTTTTTCTATGGAAAAACCTGCCTCCGTGACCTGGGGATTTTTTTTTTAAAGAAAAGCTCACCTCTGGTGCCTGAGCACCCCTTTTTTCTATAGAAAACCCCTGCTTCAGTGGCCTGAGGAATTTTTTGTCCTCAGATCCCTGAGGCAGGTTTTCCTATAGGAAAACATCTGAAGAGAAAATCTAGTCCCTTACCTTCATGGTCTTGAACAATGACGTATGGATATTGCCATCATGCGAACAGGCAATCTTACAAAGCTTTTCCTCACAGCCAGTTAAGGTGTCCGATATTGGCCCGAATACATTTTCAATAATCATCCTGAAGAACAAATAATGGTTATAAATCATTCCCCGCCGGCTGTCAGTCAAACGCAATCGCATCAATTACTCACCGGCTGTTACGTGGTGAATCCATCCACTCGCTGTCATGGTTAAAACGCAATAAATTCTCTTCCGAATTGAAATCATAATTCGGTTCAATTACACTGGCCGATAAAAGATTTTCCTCATCCTCGGAAGCGATATCGAAATTACGGGCACTCTTATTGTTCTTCTCGTTTATGGCCAAATAAAAGGTAACGACGATAAAACAAAGTCCAATTGTCAGGAGTACCCAGGCGCAGGCCTGGACACAATTTTCGCTTAAGCCACAAAAGTTTTTTCTGAAAGTAGAGATAGAAAGAGAGAGAGAGAGTAACAAGAAAATGAGAACAAATCGTACTCTCATGTGATAAAAACAACTCACTTTTTGCAGTTCTCTCCATTGGTATTCCCCTTAGTGCTAGCCTTTTTGGTATCCGCTTTATCCGATTCCTTGGTATTATTCACTGACAGGAATGTCATGACTCGTGGGCTGCCTGGTAACGACTAACTCTACGGCACTGAGGTCTGTGGACATTTAAGGACATATTGTTAACTTCGTTATCAGATTTAATAACTCTTATCTGCCCATCGAACAGGTTGCCCTATCTGGGTTACCATTTATCTCTCCACCTGCCCTGGTATTGGATAGACTATTATCATCGATATTTATCTAATCATTTAATTTCGAATTGTTGTTTGCCTGCGGCGTGTGTTTTTTGGCGGTGGCGAATAATGATTTGAAGGCTAAAAATAAATTTGCATAAGTTCCGCGAGCCGCCCCCACCTAGGAGGGGTAATGCAAATTAATAAGTATATTGTTTATTTGGAGGATACTTTTATTTGTGTAGACTATAGGGAGCCGCAAGTATTTATGGCAATATAATAAAATGAGGACAAGAAATCCATTTTCCACAACTTGAGAAATACAGCGTGAGATGAAAAAAAAAAAAACAGCAACCAACTTCAGACTGCTGTCATTTCTAAGCCACTCGTCCGACAGCTGTTAAAATTATTCCAGTGACAGCTCATTATATTGTTAACAAACGTACAAAAACTTTTTGGTGAGAATTTTCTAGAAAAAAAGTTATGCGTGATGGAATTGAAGCGTGATAGGGTGTTTTCTTTATATTTGGCTGAAAACCCACAAGTGGCTATCGTTAGAGCACTCCATCATTTAAATGTGGACAAAACGCTTGATCTCCTGAGGCCAACTTTTTTCTATAGAAAAAAATTGAGCTCAGGTCCCTGAGGCCAACTTTTTTCTATAGAAAAAAATTGAGCTCAGGTCCCTGAGGCCTACTTTTTTCTATAGAAAAAAATTGAGCTCAGGTTCCTGAGGCCAACTTTTTTCTATAGAAAAAAATTGAGCTCAGGTCCCTGAGGTCAACTTTTTTCTATAGAAAAAAATTGAGTTCAGGTCCCTGAGGCCAACTTTTTTCTATAGAAAAAATTGAGTTCAGGTCCCAGAGCCCAACTTTTTTCTATAGAAAAAATTGAGTTCAGGTCCCAGAGGCCAACTTTTTTCTATAGAAAAAAATTGAGTTCAGGTCCCTGAGGCCAACATTTTTCTATAGAAAAAAAAATTGAGTTCAGGTCCCTGAGGCCAACATTTTTCCATAAGGAAAAATTGAACTCAGGTCCATGAGGCCAACTTTTTTTCCATAGAAAAAATTGAGCTCAGGTCCCTGAGGTCAACTTTTTTGCATAGAAAAAATTGAGCTCAGGTCCCTGAGGTCAACTTTTTTCCATAGAAAAAATTGAGCTCAGGTCCTACAGAAAAAGATGTGATCAGGTCCCTGAGGCTAACTTTTTTCTATAAAAAACGTTGATCAGGTCTCTGAGCTCAGATACCTCAGGCCAACTGTTTTTCTTTAGAAAAAGTTCAGCTGGTCCCTGAGTCAAAAATTTTTCCATAAAAAATTTGAGCTCAGGTTCCCGGAAAAAATTGAGCTCAGGTCCCTCAAATCCTGTAATGGCGCCCAACGTAAATCTTCATATTCAGAATAGTTCCCTTAAAATTTAGAAAGTCACAAACATGCCCTCCCACTTTTTGTTGGTGGGAATACCCAATTACAATACAAATTAATTTCGCCAATATCAATTTGAACTATTCAATGACAATTGCGATCTATCTCCGCACGATAAGATAGAGATTATGGTGACAGATTTAATTATTTGCCAAACTCTTAACAAGCGTATCAAAATATGGCCATTATGATTTTTCTGATTGGAGTTGATACGCTTATTGAATCATTCTCCAACCAACTTTGGAAACGTGCAGAAGTCGGAGTTTTGATGGAAATGTAACACCATCGAAAATGTTAATCAAACATGAATCATTCGATGTGTCGCAGAGGAGAAAGTCTGACAGGAGGCTCTATGAGCCAGGCCAAGGCAAATATCCGTAAGTTTACATTTTGTACGGCATAATTTCCCCCCATAACTTCCTTTTGAATCCTTTCCTTAGATATTTGAAATTCATTTTGATACCCGCTGTCATTGGATTTATGCTGCTATGCATTCTCATGAATGTGGATTTCAGCCAGAACCCAGGGAAGTTGCATGGACCCAATCAGATCACAGTGGAAATTGAAATGAAAAACAAAAAATTAACGGCATCAATTGAAAAATCTCCAAAGTTTTTGGGATTTCACAACGAACAGGTGAAGAGAACCGAACAAATTACGTCAAATAACTTCAATGAGTTAGCTGCGAATTTTCCTGAAATTAAGGTTAATAGTCTTGTAATCGGCAGCCGTCTACCCGAAGGCAATAAAAATCAAAGGCGTCAACGTATTATAAAAATACAACGCAAAAACATTGATGCATTGCCAACTAGTATAACATCAAATTGGATCCCAGATAGTAACACATTTTTTATAAAAAGAAAATCTCAAAACGAAATGCCGTTCTTAAAAATCCCGAATATTCCCCTTAACGTAAATAAGGATATGGTTGGCAACACTGCTAATTACAATTTATACCAAGACCATTCGAAGAAGTATCAAAATAAAGAGGTTCCAGATGAATCTCTCTATGAAAACAACGGACAGTGGACTAAAACGTCTGTTAGTCCAATAATAGTGTTGCCAACTTTAAACGAAATCAATGCCACACAGCCCACGAGGTCAGTCAAAGAGATTTTCCAATCTAACGGAATGAAGTCATCATTTGAAAATAAAAGAAAAAGGACTAAAAAGTGGAATCTAGGAATTGTGGTGTTGCCAACTGCAAAGGAATTCATGAAAATTACAAACCAAATAGATTTTTCAAAATCTAAAACGGACACCAAAAGCAGTGAGGGACATAGAAATGACGATGCAAAACAGAAAAACGTGTCTGAGTTGGCAACTCCAAAGGTAAGAACAAAATTTCAAGAAGCTACAGCAAACATTAACACGCAATTCAGTTCAATTTTCAAAGTAATTTCAAACGATTTCGAAATGTTCTACAACAAAGAGTTGGCAACTCCGCATGCTAACATCAAACTTTCGGCCCATAAAGACATAAGTAACAGAGCAAATTTATCGCCCGCTAAGGACATGCCACCTGAAAATGATGGTGACGACTCCATTTCTAAAGAGTTGGCAACTCAACATGTAAAATTTCATGATGATTTTGATGACTCAATTAAAAATGAGTTGGCAACTCAAGAAATAAAATTTGGTACTTGGCCCCTCAAAACAATTAAAGACACTAAGGCAAGTAAAAAATCTGAACCAGATTTAAATACAAAAGATTTCCAGCATCCAGTCAATAACGAATTGCCAACTCCAAATTTGAAAAATCAATTTTGGCAGAATATTAATGGCACAGATAACGGTAATTTGAGTTTGGTTAATGGAAAGACTTCAGATGGTGATGTTTTGGAAACGCTAAACAGAACTTCGTTGGCAACACCAAAGAGAGACATTGAGAATTTAACAAATAATTTCACTAAAAACCAAGAGCTAAATCTAATATCTCAAGAAAATTCAATTCAAGTAGATTTGGAAACTAAAAACCAAACTGAGTTGGCAACTCGAAATATAAAACTTCTTCCAGTGCCACGAAAATCAACAAACCAAGAGGATGTAAACCCAAAATTTCAAAAAATCTCAACTGGCATCAACTTAAAAGCTCACGAGTTGGCAACTCTTAAAAGAGAAAAAGGCATTTCAATGGAAAAATTTCGTAAAGAAATTGGATCATCATCGGAAGACGAAGTATCTACAAATTCCAAAGCAGTTCAAAGTCTTTTAAAGGGCCCCCATGAAAATACGTTGGCAACTCCAAACACAAAATTATTAAACCTCAAAGACTTAAATCCAGTTTTGAAAAATATATCTCCAAACCATGATTTAAAGCTGACTACTACTAACGAGTTGGCAACGTTAAGCGGCGAAGTCAGTCTATCTTCTAAAATCGGAGTAAACAATGATAATACTATGCAATTATCTGCAAAACTTGCTCACCAGGGTGATTTTCAGGTGTCGATTAATAGTGGGTTGGCAACTCTAAAAGCAAATTATGGACTTTCCTTAGGAAATGCAACGCATGCTGCCAAAATAAGTGGAAATATTCCATCTACGAGTGTTTTGAAGTCATCCAATAGAAGTTGGTTGGCAACACCTACTGAAGGCTCTCGTACCTCCTTGAATAATGAAGAAAATATAAATGGTGAAAATAAGCTTCCTCAACATTCCTATCCTGAATTGCCAACTCGAAATGAAAAGGGTGACAATTTATTAAAAAGTGATGTAAATACGAATGGTATAAAAGGAGATTTTGATTCTCGTATACTAGATGATAATTTCAAGGCATCGAGCAGTAGTAAATTGGCAACGCATGCCGAAGAACTTGCCTTTACTTTAAAGACAGAAAAAAATATCCATTATTTAAATGAAATTGTTCAACAAAATCCGTCTAGGCATGATTTTAGAAATTCTGAAAATATGGAGTTGGCAACTCCAAACGCAAATTTTGCAATTCCCTCAATAAATGAAGGAAATATTAACGATTCTAGAGTTCCAACTGGGGATCTCGCCCCAAATTATGACTTAAAGACACATGCGAGCAGTAGGTTGGCAACTCGACAGACAATGGATAACATTCTCCAGCAAAAAGGAGTCCAAAATGGTGATTCCACACAAAACACAACGCTTATAGATGATCATTTGAATCCACCGAACTTAAACATAGTGTTGGCAACTCCAAATGGAACCATGAATGAATTGGCAACTCGGACATTTTTTTCAAATAATAGAAAAACAGTTAATAAAAATTTTCTATTTGAGTCAGACTCCACTAATTCCCATGATTTGACGACAGCGAGCACAAACCGGTTGGCAACGCGAAATATGAAAAACATTTTCCGCCACAAACGAGCCACTTCCCTAAATAAAACTTCAAGGGCAAATAATGCCATACCTTGTACGGAACATGTTCCGACTTGTACACTTTCCTGTTCCGGTGGCACTGTCAGTTATGTGGACGAGGAGCTGGAGTATTTGCAGACGGCGTGTTACAAAAAACAATTGACTCTGATTTTGGAAAATTGCACCTTTACCAATGGCGTTCTGAAGGCAACTTTTTTCTCCGGTTTTTATAATCTCCAAGAACTACAAATCAAAAATTGTAATTTGGCCTCAATTCAGGAGGGAGCTTTCCAAAAGACGACTGTTGCGAATTTATTGAAATTAAAGCTGATCAATAATACCATTACCACATTGAATGATCAGACATTTGGGGGTCTCAAGACATTGGAATATTTTGAATTTTCCCAAGAGGCTCTGGGACAGGGCAAACAATTTCAGGGATCGAAATTTTTAAATCCTTTCGCCGAGACATTGCAGTGGGCCCTGGTGAAACAAATAACGATTGCTGAGACGATACTCAATCCCCATGACTGGTGGTTGGGTGTGGACTTTCCCAGTTTGACATCACTCGACTTGAGCCACAACAATTTGCGAGGAATCCTGAAGGTTGACACATTTCAAAACATGAAGGCTTTGCAGGATTTGCATTTGGAAGATTGTAATTTGGATAAGCTGGATTTGGCTCCGTTTGGAGTTGTTGGGACCTTGAAAAGCTTAAATTTGAATTTTAATCATTTGAAATCTTTGGATTTGCATTTTTTGCAAGATCTCCATGGCAGGGGTATTGAGGTCCGCCTGAAGGGCAATGAATGGCATTGTGATTGTGAGAATCAAGAAATAATGGAATATTTGCGGAATTTGGATACAACAACAATTCATGTTGAGGACTTAATTTGTTTTAGCCCCGCGGAATATCATCAAATGCCAATGATGGATGTGAGTTTAGTTTGTGAAGAGGAATCCGACACTAGCACAATGGCAACGGTGGCTTCTACGACAGGGGAAACCTCTACAAAGTTTGATGGCATTACAACCTCTATGCCACCCTTTACTACAACTCCAAGCACTACCATTGCCTCTCCAGGTGATAAAACTCCAACCTCCACCATTGCCCCTCCCACAGACAACGGAACACTGCTGGATTGTTCTTATATTAAGGATTCATACGAGTTATGTTTCTCCCTTTACATTCCCGCAAAATTTCTGAACTTCACAATAACCATAAGTTCCGCAACCAGTGTCGTCATAACTTCCCTAACTCCCGTGAATCAATTCATACAATTCATCTATTTCACAAATTCTAAAGAGGCCCACAACAATACCCAACAAATCGCCCGAGATCAATGGAAAATCAATGATCTGCAAACGGGCGAAACCTATATATTTTGTGTCCTCAGTGATATCGATAACACCATTGCCACACCCTATGATTGCCAGGCCCTATATTTCGATATTTCTCTGCAAGGTTGGCTACACTCTTCCGACATGTATTGGCTGGCCATGGTCTTGGCAGTGGCCTGCATCAACTGCTATCTGTTGGGCATCGTGTTGGGCTATTTCCTGTGGCGCAAGAAACCAAATTACAATTTAAACACAATTGACTACGAAGAGTGGTTGGGTAAAAAATCCCCACTCCTGCTGAGGATGTCGAGGTGAGTAACATCTTCCATACATCAAAAAAATCTCCCAAAAACACATTTTCTCCCCTCTCTTTTAGCCTCTCCAATAATGTCGCTGCCACATATTTAAATCCCACTCTCACCCCGGACTACGACAATGACACCACTTCGCAGCAACTATACAATTCCTTTCACAAGCCACCCCAAGAAATGGCTCCAACTCCTCCAAATAAATATGGCCACATTTTACTTCCATCACCCGGCTATTCCAAGAAAATACCCAATCTGAATATCAATTCGGAATGTAATCTTACAAATTCAAAAATTCCCAATAATCGCAATTGCAACTGCAATGGAATGGAAACGAACATTTACGAAGTTGTACAGGATTCCATGAGGAGAGTGGAGGACCATCACCTCCCTGTCATGTGTGAAACGAAGGCCACCATAAATAATTATCAATTGGAGGATGATGTATATCATGAAATCGATCATTATGAAGTTGTAAATTATTAACAAAAAATGTATAATAAAAACTGCACAAAAAATAGAATAGATCCTTCGGGATCTGAGAATTTGTTCTGTCTAAAAATCAAAAAACGTGAGCTCAAATTTTTCTTGAGATCGCTTTTTTCTATAAAAAAAATTGAGAAATTCAGGGACCTGAGCTCAACTTTTTTCTATATTGTTTCTCATTTTTTTTATAGAAAAAAGCGATCTCAGGGACCTTTTCTATAAAAAAAAGTTGACCATAGGGACCTGAGGGATTTTTTTATGGAAAAAAATCCTCAGGAGCCTAAGGAAAGTTTTTTCGACTTTTTCTATAAAAAAATTTGGGCTCAGGGACCTGAGCTCAATTTTTTCTACAGAAAAAAAATTGGGCTCAGGGACCTGAGCTCAATTTTTTCTACAGAAAAAAAATTGGGCTCAGGGACCTGAGCTCAATTTTTTCTACAGAAAAAAAATTGGGCTCAGGGACCTGAGCTCAATTTTTTCTACAGAAAAAAATTTGGGCTCAGGGACCTGAGCTCAATTTTTTCTACAGAAAAAAAATTGGGCTCAGGGACCTGAGTTCAATTTTTTCTACAGAAAAAAAGTTGGGCTCAGGGACCTGAGCTCAATTTTTTTTATAGAAAAAATGTCAAAGAAAATCTGAGGATTTTTTTTCCTCTAGAAAAATTATCCTTAGTTGGATTCCAATATTCATAATTATTTTGAGGTTCTTGGAAAAAGCGTATTTTATTTAGAACTCTCTTAGATTTGTAACTCTTCATAGTAATCCATGTGTAGATTTATATATTGGTCTTTATTATTGTGAGACGATCTGGCAGGTGGGTCCAGGGAATCTCTCAAATATAATTGTACTTCAGCCAGTGAAATTCCTGCTGAAGATTGGGTGCACAGCCTGCGTCTGCAATAAAAAAAATACTAAAATCAAAAATTCAAATTCCCCATAATTCGCTTCAAAACTTACTCCATTTCGCCGGACTGACATTCTTGTTGCATCTGTTGACATTGACGCTTGGCCTTGCGTAGATTCTTCAGACGTAATATTGTAAAGCTTACAATTAAGCCGAAAAATATAAACAGACATATGCCCAAGGCAACCAGGGACAATATCCATCCCTTGTCTTCGTCCCAAATCCACGGCTCCACCGGATGATCTCCCGGCCCGGCGACATAATAACTTTTACAATCGAACGGTGATACCTTGTTTGTCGATTCTGATATGAGGCAAAACAAATAGGCCGAACCCACTTTCAAGTCGTTCACGAGTAAGGTATGGTCGAAAATTTGCGATCCCAATGAACGTCCTCGTAGCCAGTGTAACTCTTGAGCGTATTTCGTAAAGTGTATGATGTCGAAAATTAACGAGTACTGGTTGACATGGATGCGAACACTTGTCGGCGAATTGGGGGTAATTGTGAAGGGGCCTTGCGAAGGAAACAGGGCCAAATAGAGTTGGTCGCTGTTAAAGGCGTTGTGACAACAAATGTTGACAGTAGATGGCGGTGTTGCAGCAGTCGTGGAGGTGGTACTCTCAATCGTTGGTGGCAAAGGGGATTGTGTGGTTGTTGTTGTTGTCGTTGTGTATATAGTCGCTGAGGTGGTTGTTGTCACATTTCCATCCTCAGTAGAATCTGGCGTTGAGGGTTCAACCTCTGGACTTGTGTTTGCCACATTTGTCGTTTGTTCTGTGACGGAGGTTATCGTTGTGGTCTCTTCTTCAGTTGTGGAGATAATGGTGGTGACTTCTTCTGTTGTCAAATCTTCCTCTGTTGTGGTGATAATTGTGGTGACTTCTTCTTCTTTACATTTCAAGGTCATGAAAAAAATTCCCTGTCCCTTTAAATCACTTGGCGCAGCACACTTCACATATTCTCTATCCATAATTTTGTTGGAGAATTTTTCTTGCAATAATTTTAAAAAATCATAATTTTCACAACCACATTCCCAATTATTATCACCGAGAACCAAGCTATTAACTCCCCCCAGCTTAGCCAGCAGATCTGCATCCAAGGCCGACAATTGATTGTGGCTCAAATTCAAATATCTCAAAGTTTCCAACATTCCATCAAACATTCGCACTGGCAAAGCCTCGAGACTACAATTGGATAAATTCAAGGACTCCACCGGACCCAAACGCATAAAGCTCTGCTCTGTTAAAACATCGCGAAAATAATTGTCACTAAAATCCACATCTCTCAACTGCTGCATAACACCATCCCAAAACCAATTTTGAGGATCAAAAGTATCGGAATTTGTTTTGGATTTTTGGAAAATCTTCAAACTCTGCAGTGTTCCAGCCAAGGGTTTCAGGCAATTATTGCCATAGAACGGATAAGATGAATACGAATTTCCATTGCTTATGCGCAATACCTCCAAGCCTGCGAGACCATCAAAACTCCATTCCTGCAATCTTACAAATTGACTATTCAGAAGATGCAAACGCTTTAAATTCTTAACAGATTTCTGTTGGAATGCTCCCTCTTCGATATAGGCCAGAGCACAGTTATCTATCTCTAGGGTCTTTAGCCGAAAATCGCCCTCTAAAAATGTCGACTTCATGGTATCTCCCGGAAAACTGCAATCGTATAGAAATAATTCCACATCCGAACCACACATAGCATACAAAGGTTCAAGGTCTTTGTATAAATTATTTGTATTGCCGCCATAGCATGTCAGGCTACAGTTTACGCTGCTGCATTGCAGGCCACGTGTCGAGCGTAGTTGTCTGAAAATGCATATCACAAAAACACAAAGAGTCATAAATTTACCAATGAAATTGATAAAACAATAATTTTATTTATATAGTCTCGAAAGTAATGATATCTAGAATTTCTCAGAATTTCATTAAAATCGCTAAAGGGGACAAGGAACAAGTTGTGGGTTGAAAAGTTTCTAAAAAATTGACAAAAATATAAATCAATCTAAAATGGCGCCCAACTAAATTAGTATTATTTTAAGCTTGTTACAAATTATTTCCTTTGAAATACACGAAAAAGATACACAAATCATTGAAAATTAAGTCCAACTTAAAAATGACGCCCAATTAAAAAAAGGCGGCTAACTTAAAAATGGTGCCCAATACTCTTGAAAGTACAAAATGTTTCCCAGAATTTTATTTCCAAAATCTTTATTTCCCAGGATTTTACGAAAATCGCTAAAAAGGATCAGAAAATTTCCGATATTTGCAAAAATTAAAAAAAATATATATTTTCAAAAATGGCGCCCAACGTGGGAGTCACCTTAATTTCATTAATTCATATTATTTTAAGATTTATATAAATGTATATTAATATTCTTTCTCTAATCTTATTATATTCTTTTCCAGACACGAGACAGAAACTTTAAAAATGGCGTCCAAAAGGGGGACTTTTGACTTCATCATATCTGAACTGATATGTTTGGAAAAGTGTTATATATATTCACTCCAAGAGCATACTTTTATTATATACATTTATTTTTTAACAAAAACACGATCTAATGAGGCCATACAATATGGAAATACACATTTTACTGCTCTATAAAATAAAAAAATAGCGCCCAACGAGGGGATATGTAGGATATGTTTTCGTTATCTTTTCATATGAAACCTTAGGACAATTTCCAAGAATATTTTTCTAAGGTCCAACAGAGATAAAATCGTGAAATATTTTTTCAATGATTATCTGAGCTACAAATGGGAATTTTAAGAATATTTTTTCCAGGACCTTCAAAAATGGCGCCCAACATGGAAATCATGTTATTTACTTAATGAATATTATTTTAAGTTTTATACAAATCTAAATTAACTTCCTTTTCCAGACACGAGAAAGAAAATTTAAAAATGGCGCGCAAAGAGTGCTCTTTATCTTTTTCTTTTCTGAACTGATTGTTTGGAAAAAATATAAATTTTTTTACTCTGATCTACTTTTATTATACTGAATGTATTTCTTTCTAACAATATGGGAATACACATTTTACTGCTCTAGGTCTGGAATAAAAAAATGGCGCCCAACGAGGGGATATGTGGGATATGTTTTCATTATTTTTTATAAGAAGCCTTAGGTCAATTTCTAAGAATATTTCTCTAAGGTCCAACAGAGCTAAAATCGTGAAATATTTTTTCAATGATTATCTGAGCTACAAACGGGGATTTTAAGAATATTTATTCCAGGACCTTCAAAAATGGCCCCCAACATAGAAATCATTAATTAATATTATTTTAAGTTTGATGCAAATTAACTTCCTTTTCAAGTCACGAGAAAAAACGTGTCCCATCGAAATAACGGTTTTAGACCCTAAGTCTCTTTGGACCAAATCCGTTTCAGGACATTTGGAGTCGATCTAGGGATGTTCGTCCGTCTGTCTTGTTAATAAAAATATTGTGATGTGTGTAATTTGAGGAGAACTACATGCTTATTTCGGATTTTATGATCGTTTTTCTAATTCAAAATGTTGACCCTTTGTGGGGGAGGGGCCAGAAGGAATGGTCCGATCTCTACCATCTTTGTAACAGATCTTGTGTTGATAGAAATATTGAGATGGGCCGAAATTGATGTTAATTTCGTGTTTTATGAGCTTCAACGGATATTCGAAATTTTGACCTTTTGTGGGGGAGGTACCAGAAGGAGTGGACTGATATATCCCATGTTCACACCAGACCTTGAGTTAATTAAAATATTGTGATCTGTGCAATTTGAGGAGAAAGCATCCGATTTTTTCGGATTTTATGATCATTTTTGTTATTCAAAACTTTAACCCTTTGTGGGGGAGGGGCCAGAAGGAGTGGTCCGATCTCTACCATCTCTATAACAGATCTTCTGTTAATAAAAATATTGAGATTTGCCAAGTCTGACTGGAATCTGATGTTAATTTCGTGTTTTATGAGCTGCATGAATATTCAAAAGGTTGACCTTTTGTGTTGGAGGTACCAGAAGGAGTGGACCGATATATTCCATCTTTACACCAGACCTTGAGTCAATAAATGTATCGTCATGTGTACACTCTGAAGACAATCCGACTCTTACATCACATTTTATAAGAGTTATAATTATTCAAAATTGTGACACTTTGTGTGGGAGGTACTTGATGGAGTGGACCGATATTGTCCATTTTCGCACCAGACCTAGCACTGATGCAAATATTAGGATTTGCAAAATTGGAGCGAAATCGGATTATCCGTTCTCTTTCTTTGCAAAATTTCGAAAATTTTTTTGAAAATTTCGACCTTATGTGGGGGAGGTACCAGAAGGAGTGTACCGAAATTGCCCATCTCTGAACTCGATCTGAGTTTGAAAATATTATTATGATGTACCAAGTTTGGATCAAACCGGATACTCCCTTCGAGAGTTATCGTGCGCACCAGCCACCCAAACAGACAGACGGACGGATGGACATCGCTGGATCGACTCCAAATGTCCTGAAATGGATTTGGTCCAAAGAGACCTAAGGTCTAAGGTCTTTCGATGAGGCAGATTTTGGCCGTATCAAATGATATATACCCTCTTTAGCCATATGGTTGAGGGTATAAAAAAGCAAAATATATCAAATGGCGCCCAACGTAAAACTTTAAATAATCACTTATTTTAATACATATTTCTGCAACGCATTTGTTTTCACACATTGAATGGAGTTTTAACTGGCATTGAAAAGAGTTCCAATTAACAACGATAGGCTTCACATATGCTTCGTTCCAGAACCTGCCGGTATCTGCTAGTTTTGCCATTTTTTTTTTTTTTTTCGATATCATAAAGGGAAAATCGGTTATTGAAGTGCAAAAAATTTACATTCTAACAGTTCTGGAACAGAGTAATAATTACATTACAACGAAATATATACACATTTTTATTTCCAAAAAAAATGGCGCCCAAGAGGTATCTCTCGCATTAAATAAATTCAAACCAACCCCACAGGCTTTATTTAGATGAGGTACAAAATTATGTTATTTTCTTTCGACAACACCGCTTTCAGTTACTAAAAGGCAAACAAATTGAAAGTGGCGCCCAACGTGAGGTTTTACATAATAACACATTTCAACGAATGCGTCTTTATCAAAATTTATTGTCACCCATTGAAAGGAGTTCCAATTGGCACTGAAAGAAGTTGCAGCTGGCATTTCTCGATCGGTTATTTTGAGGTTATATTCGATATACCATATACCATATGGATACTAAATTCAGCAACGTCAACTATTTAGAAAATGTAACAATTATAATATCAAGGGCCACTAATTTTTTATCTTTATATGCTTCGAATGACCCTTGATCCAGCCAATCACAATTTTTGATTAAAAATCCAAAGTAATAATTACCCCAAAAATATACACCATATTTACCTCATTTTATTGACCATAGATGTTTCCTCAGCAAAAATTATTCGATTATCCTTTACCAATAACCAGGTATTATCGTAGGCGTTACCGGTAAAATCAACATTCGATAGAATCAGCAATAAAATAAATCCAATTAGCAGGGGAATAACCACAAATTTACACCATCTGTAGGGTGGGAAATAACCATTAGTTCTTTTGGAACAAATCGTACCAAAAAATCCAAATCCTACCGAAATTTCTTTGGTTGATACAATCTTTCCGTTGGTTTTCGGCTAGACTCCTTCCGGCTTAAAACAAAAGTTTTCCTTTTACCCATATTTGGAAAATCACCACTGCAAAACGCCGCCGTTCACAATTTATGTGAGTTTTTTTTTTTTTGGTGAGAAATGATCCTTCGGCCACAGAATTTCACCAGCAACTGAGAAATTCACGCTTGGCTGACTAATTAGATTCCATCATCAACATCATCCCTTTGGGGTTTTTTTTTGCGTTTGATACGATTAGCTTATCTTTATTCCATGTGGCAATTATGATTTATAACTGATTTTAATTGATAAATTAGATTTACGCTTATCAATTGTTCGCTATATGTTTGTGGGGGTTGGGGGCCCAGGGATGGCCAGGTGAGTGCTAGGGCTAAGTGTAAAGATGTGTTACACTTTGTTTTGGGTTGTAGCAAATTTTAGTTTGTGGTGTAAACTATGAGGATAAACAAAAACCATAACAGGTGATAAGCGGGGGGTTATGATAGGTCTGATATGTATTGTATGGACCCTCAGCATATATTATTGTTGATTGTGAAAAATATTCTCTCAGGAACTAAGGAATCTCTAAATTAGAAATTTTTTTTAGTATATTTCAAGACAAACAGAGTTATATTTTAAGAATATTTTTTAAGGGACTAACGGAGCTATAGGCTTGCCTTTTTTATATCCTATTATGTCTTTGTGGGTTTGTGTGTAACATGGAGAAGGAAACGAGATAGACCCATAGTTTGATTTAAGGATCTTCATAGAATCACTTTCTGAGGCGATTTATGTATATCAGACGGACTGTCCGTCCGTCTGTCCATTTATTTCTGTGAACAAAATGGAGGTCGCTGTTATTATCCAATTGAGATGAAATTTTCCAATTAATATTTGTTTGGTCCAAGGACGAACCCCATTGAAATTGGTGAGAATCGGTTCAAATGTAGATATAGCTCCCATATATATCTTCAACAGATTTCGGGTTGATTGTACACCAAATGGATAATATCAATCCAAATGACCTGCATTTTGGCACATCCGACCTATTTCAGTCTAGAAGCTAGTACATCAAAATTGATGAAAATCGGTTCAGATATAGCTACAGCTCCCATATATATGTTTCATCCGATTTGGGGTTTTAAGTCTCCCACATTCGTAATATGCACTCCACAACAATAATATTTGGTACCAGATATCAGATACAGCCCAGAAATATCTCTACCAAATTTTATCAAGATCGGTTCAGATTTGGACATAGCTCCCTTATATATCTCCAACCGATTTCAGGTTAATTGTGCTCCTAGTGGTCAATATCTGTCAAAATGTCCTGAATTTTGATACAACCGACCGAATTCAGTATAGAAGCAAGTACACCAATTTTTCACCAAATCGCTTCAGATACAGCTATAGCTCCCATATATATGTTTCATCCGATTTGGGGTTTTAAGTCCCTCACATTCGTAATATGCACCCCCCAAGGCTGATATTTGTTACCAGATATCTTATAGAGCACGAAAATACCTTTGCCAAATTTTATCGAGATCGGCTGAGATTTGGATATAGCTGCCATAAATATCCTTATTGCGATTTCATGTTTATTTTGCAAATAATAGCTAATATCAGCCCAATTCGGTAGAACTCTGCTCCGATATACAGGATGAGATAAAAACAACTCCAACAAAGTCAAAGGCCATAATTTTTACATTTGTTTTTTTTTTTTCAATTTTGTTAAATGAAAACAACAAATGTCGGAAACAACATCAAATTTAAGAATAAGTTTAGATTTGTTCGAATTGGTCACCTTTGGCACGAATTATGGCCTTCAAATGGCCAATGAAACCGTCACAAGCCATCCGAGTGTTGTTCTGCGGTATTTTGGCCCATTCCCGGCGAGGCGCTTGCTTGAGGTGATCGATACTTTGGTATTAGTATTAGTGCCAACCTTGCTTGGTGGCCAACCGAAAGTGCACATTTTCAGCTGAGCTCTTTGGCAAGTAAACACGATTGGTATCCGGAGATTTTGGTGGCCATTGTGTGCTGTAAATGAAGCGAGTAACCTCATTTTGTAATCATTCTTGGGTTGCGCGTGCTGAGTGCGATGGTGCTGAGTCCTGTTGAAATGTCCAAGGTCTGCGGCCAAAATGTTTGCGTGCTCAAGGCTTTAATACACCCTCCAGAATATTTTCACGATAATATTCGCTATTTATTTATTTCGATGCCACGGTCGATTTATACGAGCGGAAAGCGACCATCGGCTGTTATGGCGGCCCAACTCCATGCCGGCACTTGAATTCTGGTAGCCAACCGAAGGTGCACATTTTCAGCTGAGCTCTTTGGCAAGTAAACACGATTGGTATCCGGAGATTTTGGTGGTCATTGTGCGCTGGAAAAGAAGCGAGAAACCTCATTTTGTAACCATTCTTGGGTGGCGCGTGCTGAGTGCGATGGTGCTGAGTCCTGTACAAGGTCTACGGCCAAAATGTTTGCGTGCCCAAGGCTTTAATACACCCTCCAGAATATTTTCGCGATAATATTCGGCATTTTTTCTGATGCCACGGTCGATTAATAATAATATAATCGGCTGTTATAGCGGACCACATCATCACCATGGCCGGCTTGAGGCTTGAGTTCTGGTGGCCAACCGAATGTGCACATTTTTAGCTGACCTCTTTGGCAAGTAAACACGATCATTTTGTTTGTTTACGAACTGCTGAACAATGAATTCTCATCGGAGAAAACCCAAATTCGGCAGTTAACTACTTTCAGCCAAGCAAATCAACTCTTTAGCTCTTTTGAGTCTATTTTTTTTCCTTCTGAGCGGAGAGCGATCATCGGCTGTTATGGAGGTTCACACCATCACCATGACCAAGCGAAGCAACTCTTTAGCTATTTTGAGTTTATTTTCTTCCTGTTGCGGTGTAAGTTCTTGCAGTTTTTGGAATTTCAATGGCTTTACCCTTAGCTCATTTTTCAATAATTGCCGTATGGAATATTGCGATATGTTAGCTCTCGAACCATTTTTCGGCCACTGCGACACGGGATTAGATCAAGTCCCTTCTTTACTTTTCGAACCATTTCTGCTGATGTTTGTGTTTTCTTCCGTCCACTCCCTTGACGTCGGGCCACACTAGCAGTATCACGATAACGAGCAATGGTACGAGACACAAAAGATTTATTCACATTTAATTGCTGGAGTGCTCTAACGATAGCCACTTGTGGGTTTTCCAGCCAAATATAAAGAGATCACATTATCTTGCTTTAATTCCATCGCGGATTCCTTTTTTTCCTGGAAAATTCTCACCAACCATTCACGCTTGTAAAGAATATAATGGGCTATCACTGGATGACAGCAGTCTGAATTTGGGTGCAGTTTTTTTCATCTTACCCTGTATAATCGGGAATTTTTAAAGAAAGTTTTTTCCAGGACCAACCAAAATATAATTTCGGTTGATAATTTCGAATTGATTTTCAAGAATTAATGGGTTTGTAATCGCAGATTTTTAAAATAGTTTTTTTTTTTTCAATGACGAACAAAACCATTATTTCCATTTTTTTCAAGAATAGATTTTCAAGAACCAAGGGGGTTACAGTCGGGTACTTTTAAGAAAATTTTTCGAAGACCAACATTGCAATAATCGTAGATTTTATGAATATTTTTTCAAGGACCATCGGAGCTTTAATGATGACATTTTAAAAATATTCTTCAAAGAACAACGAAGCTTAAGAACTTTTTGGAAGCACTAATGGGCAATAATATTGGGTTTTCAAAAATTTTTTTTTTAGGATCAATGGAATGCGAATTTTTAAGAAGATTTTTCATTTCAAGGACCAACGTTGCTATAATCGTAGATTTTATGAATATTTTTTCAAAGACCATCCAAGAAATAGAGGACTTTCATCAGACCTTCTGCCTCATTTATGGAATATCTTCTATGCATACGTGCCCTTCATCATCTCTTTTACTGGGGTAGAATGCTTTATCGGATCTTCTTGTAGTTTTTTTCTGTCTGTAGATAACTTTTTTAGATAACGACCTAATACATGATTTCATTCTCCAATTCATCTGTCGATAGTTTTGAATATATCGAGGATCTGAGGTAGGTGTTTCGTTTGCTGAAGATTCATTTTCTAAACGTATTTTATTGAAAAAGAACAGTTGTGGGTCTTATAGGGATTCAAGACCTTCAACAGGTCTTTAAAGAATAGAACAAATTCATCAGGTCACTTGCTAGAGGAAGATTTTGAAAAAGTCCTCTATAGCTTAAAGTACTTCAATGGGTTCTCTAAAAATAAATAGTCTTCATTTGTTGTTCTATTGATTCAACAGCTTCTACAAGTCTTATATAGCTCCCTCTCCTTCCTCTCTTTCTCTCTCACTCTCTCCCTCTCTCTCCATAAAATATCAATTGTAACTTCCATGCAAATTTCTTTATTAAGTTCGGAATGCCTCCAAAAAATAAGTGATTTAACATAAAAAGACACAAAATGTTCGATCTAATATTATTGTGCCACTCCTACCCCTCCCCCTTGGCTACAACACGACGTCGCCATCACACCTGACTGTCCAGCATGTATATGACACCAATATCTCGATTGGCACTCTCTTCGAATGGACTTTGATCTCGGGGTACAGCCGGCAACGGATCGTTGGAGACACGTTTCGTGCGATATGGTATTTCGGCATAGTTAACCAAATCTGCCGAACTGGAGACGGTACTATTTAACGGTGTCAAATAACAAGATTCCAAATCATAGGTGTCTTTTGAATCGGGGTGGGGGGAATTTGGTTGGCCTGGTTGTGGCGACTGTGGAGATTCGGCCATATTGTTGATCAAAGTTGTGGTGGAAGACAACGAGGAAGCGGTGTCACCATCATAGCTACGACTTTGGGTGGGCGAGGCACTGATTTGGGAATATGCTGGTATAATTTCGTACAGATTTGTGTCCATATAGCTCTGGTAGCTGGCAATGCTCTCGGCGGATTTACGCCTCTTGGCCACCATGGGCTTGGAGCTGTAAAAAAGTGAAAGGTATTATAACTTTTTTCTTTTAAAAATTTAGTTTCCGAAACTCACTTCTTTCGAGCCAATTCATTCTCTTTCTCCTTCAGGACCTTTATGGATTTGGCTCGGGGCAGTACCACAATCTCATCACTGTGCGGCCCCACCGTGGTCACCCTTTTGCTGCCCTTCAGTAATATTGGTTTCTTCTTCAGCAGCAAATAGATCATTAGAATGCCAGCAAAGGAGAACATAATGATACCAAAGATAACCAAGGACAATCCGGTCACTTTCATGTCCCTGGTCAGCCAGGCACTGCTCTGCACCGACAGATTACCGCTAACATGTATGGACTTGCAGTTGAACGGGGATATGGTCAATTGATTCTTGAGAATAATGCAAAAGGTGTAGGCCACATTGGGTACTAGTTCGGTGACGGTATTCCGAGTGGATATGGAATAGTAGCAACCCAGGCCGTACTCATTGTAGTTGATTTCCATTTTATTGTACTGGGTGGTGGCCTTGCTAAACCAAATGAGGCCAACGGTTTTGTTCAAAGATTCCAGCGAGGCTGCAGAAAATGAGCTGTCCGCGGAGGATGAATAAGAAGAAGAAGATTCTGTAGCTTCGTCCTCTTCTTCTTGGACATTTTCTATGACCACATCCACGCTTAGCTGTTCTCTGGGCATCAATTGAAATTCCACCACTGGCTGTTTTAGAGTTTGTTTTACAAAAGCCTCCTCCTCCTCCTCCCGCCTCTCATTCCTGGATTTGTCCATTCCTCCTGCCCAACATCTCAGTTCAACTAAATCTGGACGCATGGGTGTAGATGGTACTTGATTACCATAATCTGGCCAAATGGGTGCAATGGGTATGCTTTCATATGGGGCGCCAATTGTTGTAGATACCATGAGAGTGTTCCCCTCCTCATCCTCTTCTTCTTTTATAACGCCTTCCATCGAAGAAGATTCATCGGACTCCATAATCAATGTGGTCCCACTTTCAATTTCATATATTCCACAGATACGATCATCAAACACCGACCAATTGGCCGGTGTGGCACATGTCAGCTTTGTGGTCTGATACACAAAAATATCCTTCATTTCCTTTTGCAGGCCACACGAACACTCCCACTCATTGTCGTTGGCAATGATTTTCAGATCCCTGGATATATCATGCCAACCAAATATCGTACGCGATATGGTCTTCAACTTATTGTAGGACAAATCCAAATATTCCAAAGTGTCGGCAACCTCGGCAAAAGCATAGGGTGGCACATATTCCAAATTCGAGTGCGACAAATCAATATGTTCCACCATCGACACTTTGCTGAACATTTTATCGCTAAAATGATCCCCAAAATCATTGAAACTGAAATCCACATAAATCAAGCTGTTCAACAAATTATCACTGCCAGTCAAATTGCGAACACACGCCAGGCCCACTTGCATGGTCAGATGTTTTATCTGATACTTCACATAGTCCAAAAAATCCGCATTAACCACTTTCAAGGGTTTCTCTTTTTGTATTATCGACAGCAGGCGAAAGTCTCGACTAATGCCCTCAAAGAAATCTTTTCTTAGCTCTTTCAATTTCAAATCTTCAAAATAGATTCTCTGAAATATGCCATTGGCAAAGCTACCGGCCGCCACATCGCTTATATTGGAAGAGGCCAGATATAGGGTATCCACCTTATTGCCATACGAACCGAGAAAGCCATAGTACAAATGTCCATCGGGAAATTCATAGTTGTACAGGCGGAGTTCCTCAATGCGCTCACAGGTGTAGTTCTGCAAAGGAAGGAGGGATATTGAAAAATATTGAAAGTTTCGAATTTATTCCATCCCGTACTTACATTTTTCTTGGACACAATATCTATGTCATGATCAATTTCCGTTGAGCGTCCATTAAAGCAAACAAATTTGCATAGCATCTGCACACAATTGGGCGGTACACCAGAGATGGTGATGTTCAGGAGGGGCCTAAAAAAAGAAAGCGGGAGAGAACAAGAAAGAGAAAACAAATGAAGAATGAAAAAAATAATGAAGCAAAAAATGCATATTAATATAAAAAATCTGGAGGTTGACTTTGGTCTTCCGTTACTCAGAGCAGACCCAGAACTCTTCTATTAGCTATAGAATACTGAAGGACCTTTCACTGTCTATAAAAAATCTATACATCGTATGTTGTCCAGAGCGGACAATATCTGTTTTTGTCTGTAGAAGACCCAGAGGTATCAAAACGCCTACAGAAGATCTAAAGGTTTTCTATTGCCCAAGAAAGTCCTTGAGGTGTTCTATTGTCTAATCGAAGTCCTGGAAGTCCTATACTGTTTAATTGAAAACTTAGAGGTATTCTAATGTCTATAAAGAATCTAGATGCCATATATATAGTCTATATAAGATCCATTGAGAACCTAGAGGCCTTTTATTGCCCCTATAAAACCAAGAGGTCTTATATTGCCTATAGAAGACTAAGAGGTTTATATTGCCCATAAAATAACTAGAGGTCTTCTGTTGCCAATCGACGAGGTCTTCTATTGCCTATCGAATAGGTCTTCTATTGCCTATTGAAGACCTAGAGATCTTTTATTGCCCATAGAAGACCTAGAGATCCTATATTGCCTCCAGAAGACCTACAGGTCTCCTATTGTCTCTTGAAGAATTAGCGGAATTCTATTCTAGACCTTTCGAAGACCTGCAGGTCCTCTATTGCCTATAGAAGACCTAGTGGTCTAATATTGTTTGTAGAAGACCTGTAGGTCCTATGTTGCTTATAGAAGATGTGTAGGTCCTCTATTGCCTATAGAAGACCTGTAGGTTATCTATTGCATATAGAAGACCTGTAGGTCCTCTATTGCATATAGAAGACCTGTAGGTCCTTCATAGCCTGTAGAAGACCTGTAGGTCCTCTATAGCATATAGAAGACCTGTAGGTCCTCTATTGCCCACAGTAGACCTGTAATTCTGTAGAAGACCTGTAGGTTTTCTATTGCCTCTGCAAGACATAGATGTCTACTATTAACTAAAGATATTATATTGCCTATAGAACCTGTAGGTCCTCTTTTGCCTATGGAAGACCTAGAGGTCTTCTATTGCCTATAAAAGACCTAATCGTCTTCTATTGCCTTCGGGGTCTTATATTGCTTACAGAAGAACTGTAGTTCCTCTGTTGCCTAGAGAAGACCTGTAGGTTTTCTATTGTCTTTAGAAGACCTGTAGGTCCTCTGTAGCCCATAGAAGACCTAGAGCTCTACTATTACCTAGAGATATTCTATTGCCTATAGAAGACCTGTAGGTCCTCTATTGCCTATAGAAGACTTGTAGGTCCACTATTTCCTATAGAAGACCTAGTGGTCTTGTATTGCCTATAGAAGACCTAATGGTCTTCCATTGCGTATAGGAGACCTAGATATCTTATATTTCCTATGGATGACCTCGAGGTCTTATATTGCTTATGGAAGATCTAGAGGTCTTTCATTGCTTGTGGAAGACATAGAGGTCTTCTATTGCCTATGGAAGACCTAGAGGTCTTCTATTGCCTATGGAAGACCTAGAGGTCTTCTATTGTACAGAGACCTCGAGGTCTTATATTGCCCATAGAAGACCTAGAAGACTTATATTGCCTATAGGAGACCAGAATTCTTCTATTTCTTGTAGAAGACCTAAAAGCCTTATATTTCCTGTAGAACACCTATAGGTCTTCTCTTGCCTCTAGATGACTTACAGGTCTTATATTGATTTTAGAAGACTTGGAACTCTTCTATTGCCTATGGAAGACCTAGAGGTCTTCTATTATTTATAGAAGACCTGGAGGTCTTCTATTACTTGTAGAAGACCTGGAGGTCTTCTATTACTTGTAGAAGATATAGAGGTCTTCTATTACTTATAGAAGACCTAGAGGTCTTCTATTACTTTTAGAAGACCTGTAACTCTTCTATTGCCTATAGAAGAAGATAGAAGTATTCTATTACCTATAAAAGACTTAGAAAGACTTGCCTATAGAAGACCTAAAATTCTTCTATTGCCTATATAAGACCTAGAATTCTTATATTACCTATAGAAGCCCTGCGAGTCCACTATTATCTCTAGAAGGATAAGAGGTTTGCTATTTCCTCTGGAAGACCTAGAGGTTTTCTATAAAAGTCGCTGAGGTATTCTATTGCCTTAAGAAGTCCTAGAGATCTTCCATTCCCTTAGGTAATATTTTTGTGCGGTGCCTAAAAGTATGCTATAAATATGATAAATCTAAATTTGAAGGAGTCCCTTTCTATGTGACTTTAAGAAGACAGCATGGGCAAAATTCTTGTATTCGACATCGAAAAGTATTCGATCGAAATGAATTGAGATGTCTGTTGTTGTTGTAGCAGCAAAAAAAAATTCAATAAAAGCAAACAAAAAATTGATTTCGATCAAAAATTTTCCAATATCGAAAAAGAATTTGGCTCCAGTAGCGGCTGAATGCCAAGTCTCCTCAATTTAGAAATTCCTCCTTGACACCCTGTCACCCATCATTCATTTAACCCTTATTTCGATACACTTGAAATTGTCTGAAGTTTATGACCGACAACAGGGATTTAAAAAAAACTACAACAATTGTGTTGAAATTAATCTGGGCAGTAAAATGTCTATTTAGCTATCGTTTATTTACTCTTGCATTAAATATCACAGACAACTTGGCTCCCACATGCAACGGAGGCAGGAAATGAGTTTCGTGCTTGCAGTTTTTTTTTTTTTTTTTTGTATTTCAATATGATATATGCATGTGTATAAATATGGGTCATTTGGATTAGCCATAGGTGGTGGTGGTATATGGTTGGAAAAAAAATAAGGCGCTAAAGTAGTTTATTTTTATGAGACCCTTTAAAAGGGTATCACTCTCTTAAAGGGTTTAATCTTTACGATGCCTATAAGGGGTCTTCTGTGTATGGAAGATCTTTAGAAAAATATTTTATCTCTAGAAGACCTTTCAAAGATCTACTAGGCATGGAAAATTTTTAAAAAGTTTTTCCATAGAACCAGGCTGATACCTATAGTTGTTCACGGTATTCGACTAAGACCCTTTAGAAGGGTATCAGTCTCTAAAAGGGTGTAGTCTTAAAAATACCTGTAAGGGGTCTTCTATGAATAGTAGACCTTTAGAAAAACATTTTATCTCTAAAAGACCTTTCAAAGATCTGCCATGAATAGAAATCTTAAAAAGTTTTTAATAAAACCTGACTGATACCTATAATTGTTCACGGTATTCGACTAAGACCCTTTAGAAGGGTATCAGTCTCTAAAAGGGGTATAGTCTTTAAAATACCTATAAGGGGTGTTCTATGAAAAAAAAAAGGGGTGTTCTTAGAAAAAAAAACATCTTATCTCTAGAAGACCTTTCAAAGATCTGCCATGAATAGAAAACTTTAAAAAAAATTTTTCATAGAACCTGACTGATACCTATAGTTGCTCAACGGTATTCGACTTTATTAAAAGTTGTCATATATTTTTATGATATGTACTCACGAGACTTCAAGTAGGGTATCCGTTAATTTGACTACATTTTTTAAAACCGCTAGCTTTGCAGATGATTGGTTTAGATTCAGGGACAGGCAATTTGTGAAAACACCAAAAATATGGAAACACACGAAACAGAAGATAAAATGCTTTGGAAGCATTTTATTGTGTTTTTGAATTGAAATGTGTTTTTTTTTTTTCAATGAAAATGTCTATACACTTTGCCACTTATTTCTTATTGTGAATTATTTTTCTCAAATCTTTTAATTTTTATAAAAGTTTTATTTTCTTTTTTAAACATTTGTTGGTTGGAACATGAAATATGTTTATATTCCAAATTTTTTATATGTATTTTCCATTGAAACTTTCAATATATTCTACATTTGTATTACCGATTCTGGAAACCGAACCGTTTAATTTTATTGCGTACCACAGACTAATGTCACAAATTCGTTGTAGTTTCACTAGGACTTCAAGCGAACTGATTTTTTTTGTTGTTGTCCATCTTATCAGCTTGCACCTGGAGGCTTATCAATTCTCATTAGTTCATGTTATCGATTTCTAATGATATTCATTATAACAACACACATATACACATACAGGGTGAGATGAAAAAAAAACGGCAACCAACTGCAGACTGCTGTCATTTCTAAGCCACTCGTCCGACAGCTGTTACAATTATTCCAGTGACAGCTCATTATACAAAAGCATTTTGGTGAAAATTTTCCAGAAAAAAAGTTATTCGTGATGGAATTCGAGCGTGATAGTGTGATTTCTTTATATTTGGCTGGAAAACCACAGGTGGCTATCGTTAGAGCACTCCAGCATTTCTATGGGAATAAATCTTTTGTGTCTCATGCCATTGCTCGTTACCGTGACGGGCTACACCGACGTCAGGAAAGTGGACGAAAAAAAAAAACAACAACATTAGCAGAAATGGTTCGAAAAGTAAAGAAACGACCCGCGTCGCAGTGGCCGAAAAATGGCTCGTGAGCTGAACGTATCGCAATATTCCATTCGGCAAATATTAAAAAAAGAGCTCGGGGTAAAGCCATTGAAATGCCAAAAAGTGCAGGAACTTACACCGCAACAGAAAGGAAATAGACTCAAAAGAGCTAAAGAGTTGCTTTGCTTGGCCGAAAGTGGTGACCGGCCGAATTTGGTTTCCGATTTTCTCCGATGAAAAATATAGAAAAATTAGCTCGGGGTAAAGCCATTGAAATTCCAAAAAATGCAAGAACTTACACCGCCACAGAAAAAAAATGGACTCAAAAGAGCTAAAGAGTTGCTTCGCTTGGCCAATAGTGGTGACCGGCCGAATTTGATTTCCGATTTTCTCCGATGAGAAAGAATTTGTTTGTTGCAGTTTGTAAACAAACAAAATGATCGGGTTTCCTGGCCAAAGAGGTCAGCTGAAAATGTGCGCCTTCGGTTGGCCACCGGAACTCAAGTGCCGGCCATGGTGATGGTGTGGACCACCATAACAGCCGATGGTCGCTCTCCGCTCGTATTAATCTCCGTGGCATCAGAGTAAATGACGAATATTATCGCGAAAATATTCTGGAGGCTATGTTAAAGCCTTGAACTCGCAAACATTTTGGCCGCAGCCCTTGAACATTCCAACAGAACTCAGCACCATCGCACTCAGCATGCGCCACCAAAGAATGGCTACAAAATGAGGTTCCTCGCTTCATTTCCAGCGCACAATGGCCAGCAAAATCTCCGGATACCAATCCTTTGGACTATTCGGTCTGGAGTATTTTGGAAAGTAAGGTTGGCACTAAAAAAATACCAAAGTGTCGATCACCTCAAGCAAGCGCTTCGCCGGGAATGGGCCAATATACCGCAGAGCAGCGTGTGACGGTTTCATTGGCCGTTTGAAGGCCATATCTCGTGCCAAAGGTGACTAATTCGAACAAAGCTAAATTTATTCTAAAAATTGATGCTATTTCCGGTCATTTTTATACCCTCCACATTAAAAAGGAGGGTATATTAACTTTGTTATTCCGTTTGTAACACCCATAAATATTCGTCGTAGACCCCATAAAGTATATCTATTCATGATCAGCATAAAATTCTAAGTCGATTTAACGATGTAAGTCTGTCTCTCTGTCTGTCTGTACAGCTCACATTATTTGACGTAGAGCTTTGGCAGAACAATTTGTATTATGTCTAGGATGGTTGGTATTGAAAATAAAAAGATATCGGTCCACGTTTTGGTATAGCTCTCATACAATGGTACCCTTCCGATATTCGGTATTTCGATGATTTTAGCGACATTATTCGCCGGAATTGTTTCAAATTTTGGTATTTGAAGTTCGTAACGGTTATTACAGCCTGTGACAGAAAATTGTCAGTGCAGGTCCACGTCTTCGTACAGCCCTCAGACAACGGTACCTACCGATATTCGATATTTCGATGATTTTAGCGACATTATTCTCCGGAATTGTTTCAAATTTGGTATTTGAAGTTCGTAACGGATATTACAGCCTGTGACAGAAAATTGTCAGTGCATGTCCCGTCTTCGTATAGTCCTCATACAACGGTACCTCCCGTTATTCGGTATTTTGATGATTTTAGCGACACTATTCGCCGGAATTGTTTCAAATTTGGTATTTGAAGTTCGTCATGGATACTACAGCCTATGACAGAAAATTGTCAATCCACGTTTTGGTATGGCCCCCATAAAATGGTACCTCACTATATCCGGTATTTTGATGATTTTAGTTAAAATATTCACCGATTTTTTTCATGTTTCGCAATTGAATATTATGACTAAAGTTGCCTATGCAGGTCCACGTGGTCGTATTTTTAACGGTTTTTATTTTTTGAAAATTGCCAAATTCGTTCCAAATGGTGGAGGGCCTGGCCGAAATTACAGCTTTTTTACTTGTTTGATTTCATTCAATAAAATGTAAAAATGTAAAAATTATGACATTTGACTTTGTTGCAGTTTATTTTTATCTCACCCTGTATACACACTTACCCATATACTCTGGGATGCAAAAAAGTTTATCATGAATTTTCCAGCCAGTCAGCCAGCCAGCAGGCCAGGGCAATATGAATGAAAGTGAAATTGGTTTACTTTGTCGGTTGATCCGTTTGGTAGGTGGATTGATTGGTTGTTCGCCATTCAGTGTGAGAACTTTTCCACTTGGTCTGGTTGGCGAAACATTTTGTTTACATTTTTGCGGGATTTATGCCGATATGTAGAAAGAATTGATTATTACAGTTGGTAGCTGGTTAGTTTAATACATTTTTATTATCATCCTCAAAAGGGGGGAAGTAAACCTTAGATTTAAAGAGAAACAAATCTTATCAACCAAAAGAAAATTGAAACCACTGCAACATTTAAGATTTTTCACAACTTTTTGAAGAATCAAATAAATGCTGAAGGCCAAAAGCGTTTGTTTACAATGTCTAAATATGGGTATACTTCCCAAAAAAATATTTGTTTACCTTTCCTCCTTTTACCCTGTATTGGTGCAAAATAAATAATTGAATATGGTAAAACATTATAATTAGAATATAGATATTGCGAAAATCATTGAATGATTAAGCATGGAAAACTTTGCATACATATGTAGGTCTTCTGCAGGTTAGAAGGTCGTCTACAGATCAAGGATCATCTATAAAAAGATCTTATTTGGTTAAATAGACTTTCCATGGGTACTCTATGGCCTAGTATATTCCATTTCCATTCCATTTTATACAGGTCTATTTATACTTATATACTCATACATAAGCCGTGCGTCTGTAGATACTTTATAATCGGCCTAAAGGCTTTGTATACACAGGATGAGATAAAAAACTGCAACAAAGTCGAAGGCCATAATTTTTAATTTTTTTTTTTAATTTTATTGACTGAAAGCAAAAAATGTCGGAAATATCATCAAATTTTAGAATAAATTTTGATTTTTTCGAATTGGTCATCTTTGGCACAAGTTATATCCTTCAAACCCCCAATGAAACCGCACACGCTGCCCGAATGTTGCTCTGCGGTATTTTGGGTCCATTTCCCGGCGAAGCGCTTGCCTGAGGTAATTTTTAGTGCCAACTTTGCTTTCCAAAATACTCCAGACACAATAGTCCAACGGATTGGTATCCGGAGATTTTGCTGACCATTGTGAGCTGGAAATAAAGCGAGGAACCTCATTTTGTAAACATTCTTGGGTGGCGCGTGCTGAGTGCGATGGTACTGAGTTCCGTTGGAATGTCCAAGGTCTGCGGCCAAAATGTTTGCGTGCCCAGGGATTTAGTACACCCTCCAGAATATTTTCGCGATAATATTCGGCATTTATTTCGATGCCCCGGTCAATTAATATGAGCCATGGCCGGCGCTTGAGTTCTGGTGGCAAACCAAAGGTGCACATTTTAAGCTGACCTCTTTGGCAAGAAAACACGATCTTTTTGATTCTTTACTAGCTGCTGGACAACGAATGATTTCTCATCGGATGGATTTGGATGCTTATTTCGCTTTCTGTGAACGTTTTGTTTTTCAGAATGTTAACTCTTTGTGGCGGAGGTACCAGAAGGAATAGTCCGATCTCTACCATCTTTAAAATAGATCTTGTGTTAATGGAAATATTGAGATGTGCCTACTCTATATGGAATCGGATGTTAATTTCGTGTTTTATGACCTTCATATATATTCAAAATTTTACCCTTTGTGAGGGAGGTACCAGAAGGACCTTGGGCTAATAAAAATATTACGCTGTTTGTAATTTGAAGAGAACCGGATGGATATTTCGGATTTTATTATAGTTTTGGTTATTCAAAATTTTAACCCATTGTGGGGAAGGTACCAGAGGGGATCGTCCGATCCCTACCATCTTTATAACAGATCTTGTGTTGATAGAAATATTGAGATGTGCTAAGTCTGAATGGATTCGGATGTTTATTTCGCGTCTTATGAGCTTCATGGATATTCAACACTTTGACCATTTGTGGGGGAGGTAGCAGAAGAAGTGGGCCGATATATTCCATCTTCATACCAGATCTTGGACTTATAAAAATATTGCGCTGTGTGTAATTTGAAGACAATCGGGCTCTTACATTACATTTTATAAGAGTTGTAATTATTCAAAATTGTTAGCGTTTGTAGGGGAGGTATTTGATGGAGTGGACCGATATTGTCCATTTTTGCAACTGACCTAGCATTGATGTAAATATTAATTAAAAAAGTTGGAGCAAAATAGTATTATCCCTTCTCTTTCTGTGCAGCAAATTATTCCCTTTGAAAATATTGACATTTTGTGGGAGAGGTAGCAGAAGTAGTGGACCGATATTGCTCATCGCCGAATTCCATCTAAGTTTGACAAAAACATTACGATGTACCAAGTTTGGATCAAATCGGATACTCTCTTCGGGAGCCATCGTGCGCTGGCGCGCACATACGGATGGACGGACGGACGTACATCGCTAGATCGACTCCAAATGTGCTGAAACAGATTTGGTCCAAAGGGCCTAAATCCCTTATTTCGATGATGCACGTTTTGGCCATAGTAAATGATATATACCCTCTGTAGCCATACGGAAACTTCAATAAGAACTTTGAAAATTTTCTTCTGGTTTTTCGTTTGAAAATTTTATGTGTAAAAATGTTTTTTTTTTATAAAGGCCCATTTTACTTGTAGAAAATCTTCAATGAATAGAAAGTATTCTGGAAGGTCTTTCATCCATCCAGCTGGCATAAAGAAGATTGAAGATTTTTACAGCAGACTAATAATAACTTCCCCAACTTGCACTGTGAAATGTTTTGTAGTTTTGAATCCTTTATTCATGCGTATAGGACTGTAAAAAATTAATAACTCTATAAATTATTTGTTAATTATTTCACCATTTCGTAAAAATATATCATTGCAACTTCAATTGACAGCCAATAGAGCATTCCATGCATTAACATTTCTTGGATGCAATAAAATTGCTTTTTGTATGAGTTTCAAGGAACGCCTATTATCCACTGGCTGTAAAGCTTGGCTGGCAACCAATAGTGTTTGGGAATCTTCCAGAGAGTCACTCCTAAAATCCAAAAAAAAGCAATCAAAATAAAAATTATTACCGCTAAAACCTTTAAAACGACTTACTTCTTTGTTTTGCTCGAATGTACCAATGCAATGGCACTCAGGGCTATTTGGCTGGTGGCAGTTTGATATTGACGTTTGTGGCCATAGTTATCCAATAGGAAATTGGCCAAAACTTTACGTAATTGAGCACAATGGGGGAAAATGTGAACACGTGTCATAAGATAGCTCAGAGCTTTGCGAGGTTGTTTCTAAACCAGAAATGAAAAAATAATTATAATGTCCTAAAATAGATTATTAAAAACTTACATTCACTAAATAATATTGGGATGTTAAATAGGCAATATCGGCCACATGTTTTTCTGAATTTTCACGTTTCTTAAGCTCGGTCAATATGGTTTCGGATAATTGATTGTCTTGATGCAAAATACCCAAGGCACAGGCGGAGAACAAGGCTTGTATGGGTGAGTCTTTTAAAAGAATACTGAAATTAAGAAAAAATAAAACGTTATACCATCCCAAGAAATTAAAATCACATTCAGCCAGCCTACCATTGATATAAAATTGTCTTGGTATCGGCTTCACCCTGAAAAGCATAAACCATAGACGCCATGGCCACCAAAATTCTGGATGCCTTGTCATCTTCAATGCCTGCCACACTTTTCAGCACCGACTTGTATACCGAATATGACTCCTGGTGTTGACCAGCCTTGTAGTAGGCCAAAGCTAAACCAATCATTGGCTTAAATGAGGCATGAGCGATTTTATTAAAAGCCATAATAGCCTCATTTGGTTCGTTCAATTTCAAATGGCTATAACCAAGATTGGTAAACATTAAATCACGTTCATTTCCCGTCGACTTTTCTGCTGCCTTGGCAAAGGCTTTTGTGGCCAATCTATATAGTCTATGACGTTCACAAAGGAAACCCAGGAAAGACCATGCACTGGACGATGCATCATTCTCTTCATTTATCGTATACCAATTGATGGCATCAAAAGCAACCACATCGGCATACATGGAGTCAATGGCATGCTTGTAATGGGGTAATTTGCATTTCTCTTTGTCCGACAGAATTTGACACACCCAGTGGGCATAGCCCAAAGATGACTCTGGATGATATTCGAATTGTTGACAGTGGCGAAACAAGTCCACAGCCTCCTCTTCTTCCTTGATATACTCAGCAATCATAGCTTGACCAATCCAAGCATTTGGATAGACTGGAGAGGATTGTTGGGCTCTTTGGAAAGCCTGGTTGGCCATGCGAATTTCATTTAATTTCAAATATAAAACACCCAAATTTGTCCAAGTAGTGTACGATTTACGTTCCAGTGTGAGAGCTTGTACAAAACAGTGTTGGGCAAGTGGTAAATTATTAATGGCTAAAAAGAAAAAAGATAATTTAAATTCATATTCTCTGTATTTGTTTGGTAACACATTACTCTTATGCATATTTATAACTCCCAGCAAATTCCAGTTCTGCCATCTATTGGGATCTTCCTTAATGGCCATTTGGCTGGCTTTTGTAGCCATTTCCAAATGCTGTTCAGCTTCTTCACCATACATATTGGTACTGTAATATGAACACAAGGCCAGCTCATACCAAAGATAGGTATTTTGCTTGATTTTCAATGCACATGTATAAAATCTAAAACACAAAATATTTAGAATAAATCCTAAATAAAAATATATTGGCCTATAAACTCCTTACCTAAGAGCCAAACTCAGTAAATCTTTGCGTGTCAGAAAGGCTATATCAGATTCACGTTTAGCCAGTTTACCACTAACATCCAAATTGGCCAATGACTCAGGCATTTGGGCAGTTGAGACAAAAACGTTTGCCGTTAGACGCCATAACCAAACCATATTTAGATTTTCAGGCATGAGAAAACATCTAAAATTGAAAAGAATTCATCGTGTTATAAATGTTTTACTAACAATTTATACTACCTTTGTAGCAAATTGATGGCCATTTGAAAATGGTCCTTGGCCCGACCATAACGATATTCCTGATTCAAAAAATTCGCTAAACCAATATGGGCCTCGGCCGCCCCCTTTAAGGCTGGCAAATAATCTTCATGCTCCTTTAACAAATTATTAAAATCTTCTATAGCCTCGGAGTACATGCGTATTGTTGTTTTCATAATGGCCATCTGAAGTTTGGCATAAACATTGGTGGGTTCCATTTCCAAAATCTTTTGGTATACCCTTATGGCCGAATTATACGAACCCCTGGATGCATAAGCATCACCCAGTGATTCCCAATAAATCATACAAGAAACATCATGTTTAATAGCCGTACGAAAGCATTGTATGGCCTAGAAAAATATATACAACTTAAAAATCAAAACAATTTTGCATTAATATTATTTACCTCATCACAATTATTCACATTCAAATAATGTAATCCCAGCTTATAGTGAATGTGTTTAAATTTCGATGGCGTTTTAATTTTTTTCAAGGTATTCAAAAGTAAGGCAACATTCAGATCCTGAAAGAAATAAGACCAGTAAGAAAAGTACAAAAAAAAAAACTCCAACTATTTACCTCTTCACCCAATTGTTGATAAATTGATGAAAGATTTTCCACAGCATCCTCATTTATGGGATTCAATGAAACACATTTTTCAAAACATTTTCGTGAACGCACAATATCATTGGTGGCCAAATAAATTTTACCCAAATGATAGAAGCACAAGGAACTGTATGGCCTTAAACGTGTAGCTTTTAAGGCACATGTCAGGGCTACATCATAGTCCTGCAATTGATAATAGTAATGGGCACGTAATATCAAAGCATTATAGGTTTCCAAATCTTCCCAAGTTGAGCCTAAAAATTGAATGGCTTCCGAAGGTGAATCATAACTGAAACACATTTTAGTATTAAATGAAAAGATGTTTACACAATTGATAATTCAGGGCTTACTAGAAAAACTCTGCTTTAGAAACATCACTCATTTGTAGGCGATTGAGATTGCGAGCATCCCCCAATTTTAGGTAGCATCTGGAACAAATAAAAATATAAACCCATTCAATTAATGCCTAAAAAAACTTTTTGTTTTAAGGCCCTTTACAAATATGTAACTGGAGTACCTAGGACTTTATACTTCAGAGTCCTTTAAAAATTCTTCTATTCAATAGAATTCACTCACCTTGCCAAAGCTCTAACCACCTCTTCGGATTTTTCTTCCGGTACCTTTAGAACTTCAACGGCCTCGTTCAATTTTTCCTGATCCACACCATACGAGACACATATTGCATATTCAATATTAGTTCTATCATTCAATTGTTGCCAGAGGGCATGTGCCAAACCAAAAGCTTCCAAATGCATTTCACAGCGTGCCAATAATTTTATTGCCACAGAATAGTTAGGTTGTATCACCAGCACTTTATACAATATATCTCTTGCAGCCACATATTGTTCGACCTTAAATTTCTCAATGGCTTGTATGAGAAAAGCCAAACTTGATTGAGGATTCAATTCGCCAAGTTTTGAGGCATAGTATTCTATATTTTGTGACATGCTTTCCAAACACTTGCTTTGTTCCGATAAATCATAATTTTCGCAATAGATCTTACAAATCCATTCATAGGCATAGATATCATTGGGATAATTTTCGACTAGCTTGCATGCATGTTCCAGACATTTCGACAAATCTTGTTGTTTGTACAAGAGCTTGAGGTAACGTTTGTAGGCTGATAGATAAACATCCAATGAATTGTCATTTAAGATCTCTTCCAAACTGGCTTTGTACTATTAATATATATTTTTTTTTAAATTAAAGAAATTCATAAACATATATTTTAAACTAACCGTTTCCTCGTCCTCCTCTTCTGCAGGAAGATCTCTTTGTATCAATATTCTACCATAGTATTTAAGTAGTACAGTTTTGTGGGTTTTGACTTCTTCGCTTCCCAGGAGACGTTTAAATGCATGAAAACACTGAGTGGCCACTTTGGAACTGTTTGATGAAACATTGTATAATTTTTCAAAATAGTCCAGTTGCTTTTCTCTGAAAAAAAAATAATTTAGACCAATAAATGCTTCCAACCGACCGTTAATACTTACGGTACTAATTTTATTAATTGTTCATAGATATTTGGCAATTCCTCGCTGGGAGCACAATTTGAAAGGCCCTAAATGTGTCAGAAATAACAAAAGTTATCGGAAAAATATATTCAAAATTCCATTCTCTTTTTTATAAAAACCTGAAGAGCAACAGTTGGTGGTTGAGGTGCCGAGTATTCCACAGCTTTGCGCAAATATTTCGCAGCTTCCTGTTTGTTGCTATTTTGATAAGCAGCGCCAAGCAGCAGATGCCCCATATACGATTTGGGTTCTATCTTCAGTACTTCCTAAGAAGGAATTTGTGACCAATAAATTCGTGCCTATAAAACAAAGACCAAAATATACCTACTTCACATTTCTTAATAGCTTCTTCGCATTTCTCCGCTTTTATAGCTTCCCGTATTTCTTTAAGCAAAGCTTTGGTTTCTTTGGAGGACATATTACTCCCTTTTATGGAAACTATAGGACAAATCTAACAAGAATTAAAGGGGACTCAAGGATCCGTGATTTGTGTGGTTCGTTGCGGAGCAAACTGTTCAATGATAGGATTCACTAACTGAAAATTTGTGAACTAGTTTCATGTTTTTCAGAAACCGTGTATAGATACAAGTTATTCTTTTATATAAAACGTTATTTTTGGAGGATAGTAAACGCAGTCGATCTCTGTAATATCTTATAAAGTCCCATTTCGTGCAAGAAATTCATTAATTTAATGTTTTGAGATATCTTAATTTACATTTGCATTATGATAAATGGTTCATGTAGTTCCATTATTCACTTCATGCCGGTTGCAAAAATCATCTGTTGTTTGCAGTTTATGTTTTCATTCACAATAGATTTGCAAAATTCACAATTGTGAATGGCATGAAGCACAGTGTTTATAGAATAAAGTAAAGTAAAAATTATTGGAATCAGACATGGAATTGGAATCGAGTCAAAATAGACATTGGGCATTTTTCAAATAGCACAAACGATATTACAAAATTTATGATTTGCTAAGTTTCAATAAAATTGCTACTCTTTTCGTTTCCTATGTAGCATATCATGACTTTGAAAATGTTGACCACTTAAGAAGGGGGTTTCAGAAGAATTTGAACTATGTTGAGCACTTTCTGGCTAAATCTAAATTTGATAGAAACTCTGCGAGCTAAAATTGTGGAACAAAATAAGCCACTAAAAAATCAGCTAAATTCTGCCGGTTCGATCTTCTTATACCCTCCACCAAAAAAATTCCGTCGAAAAATACCGCTCAAATAAAAACCTTTATATGGGGGCTATACGAAGACGTGGTGCTGCATACGTAATTTTTTCATAGGCTGTAGCATGGTACAATAAGGAGGTAGATCAGCTTCGAAAAAGCACAGAAATACAGCCCTGAGGCTATGCCCGCTTCTTGTCAGACTCATTAAAAATTGTATACAAAAAGTTGTTTTAATTTTTTCATAACTGTTCAATCTTTCAATTTCATGGCAAAACTTGCGAATAGCTTTAATGCGCGTCCCGCAATGTTCGTTTCTTCAACTCATTAATTTTGAAAATATTTTGTTTTTATTTTTCAAAACAACAAATACACAAAAAATAGCAGAAGTCGGGCACACTTAGAAAAAAAATTGTAATCAGCTGGTAGCTCTACCTTACCTTCTTGTTGTACCATGGGCTGTAGTAACGATTCCCAACTTCAAATACGAAATTTGAAACGATTTCGGTGAATAATATCGCTAATATCATCAAAATGCCGAATAAAGAGAGATATAGGTTTATGGGGCCATACAAAGACGTGGACCCGTATAGACAATTTTCCGTAATAGATTGTAGTGTCCATTACGAACTCCAAACACGAAATTTGAAACAATTTCAGTTAATAATGCCACCAAAGTCATGGAAATACCGAATATCAGGAACGTGAACCCGTAAAGACAATTCTCTTCCAGGGGGTAAAGCACTCAGAGGGAACTCCTTGTGTGGATTTTCAGACAATTCTATTGAAAAATTTGGCTACAATCATCAAAATACCGAATATCGGGAGGTATCGTTATATGATGGATATGCGATGTCGTGAACCTATACAGACAATTCTATTTCATGGGATATAGTAGTCACGAAGAACTCCTTGTGTAGAATTTCTGATAATTCCATTGATAAATTTGGCTAAAATCATCAAAATACCGAATATAGGGCGAACCGTTATATGGGGGCTTTACAATTTCGAGGACCGATATAGCTCATCTTCGAACTTGACCTGCCTGCTGACGAATACAGGTCAGTGCAAAATTTTACCTTCTTATCTTTATTTGTTTTGACTCTAGCATGAGTACAACAGACAGACGGCTAAATCGTCTTACAATCCTCTTTTACGCTAAACAAGATAATATATACATTGTTGGGTGTAAAATTATTATTTCGATGATGTATGGTGGAGGATATTAAGAGGTGGCCAATATCTTCATAATATCCCTTATTAAGATTCTGTTCTAGAAAGAGAACTAACTCTTCCGATTTTCTGCATTCTATTTGATAATGGAGGAAATAAATGGTCTACCGGTTCTTCAGTAAAACAAGGCGCATGTGATTTATTAATGCGAGGGCCTAAGCTTGGGGCTTTCGATTTTGTGTTTCTCGGTAGACTCAGTTCATTTCTGGGTACCACAGAGGTCTTCCATCTACAGAAGTCATTGCGATAAGGTCACCTGTCTCAACACATTTAATTTTTTATTTACAATTCTAAAATTGTTCTGATTATCGAAACCGTGAATAGATACAATAATGTTTGTGATGTAAATTTAAAATAACATCAGAAACAAGTTATAATGTGGTGTTAGATAACAACACATTTTGGAGCATGTATTCTCTCATCTATTCATATATAAAACCCATTTATTAGGTCAAAAATTGAAACTGTAATTCAAATACGTGTTATTTACTTCCCAATAATGATACAGGCTTTCTACCTAACAATTGTTTTGACAATTGCCAGCACCGCCGGAGAACGTGTAAGTTTTGAATTTCGTATTAAATCACTATTTAAAATGACCTATTTCGGTTTTTGCAGCAAAGGACCTGGACCTATAGTGTTCAATCGGTGATCTGTACCAATGAAACTCCCGATGTCTTCGAGATGAAAGCCGAAAAGCGTTTTGTTTCCCGTGGCGTTTACAAGACCAGCGGCATTATGGAGGTGAAACAAAATCTTACCGACGCCTTTGAAGTAGCCGTTGATGTATTCTACAGTCCGGAGGGAAACAAATTTACGCGCACCCCATTTCGTGTACTCAAAACAAGTCTATCGGATTTTGCCAACTCCTATTACATACCGATGTATATGAAAAGTTTTCAAAACTGTACACATAATGTTCCCGAGTTGTCATCCCCATTTCATCCGCCATTGCCAGTTTGTCGTGTTACCATGTCACAGTGTCGCGTAAATACTGAGAATTTTCCATCGTATTTAAGGAGTGGCTATTATCGTATGGTTCTAAGCTATTCAGGCCAGGCAACTGGTACAATTTCTGTGGAGGCTCAAGTGGAGCAAAAATCGAATATGTAGTTGGAAGTTTGAAAGGTTGGAAAAATTATATGAAAGAAGATCTTAATATATTATGTATATAGGACGAGGCAATTACGGAAATTTATTTTCGACGGTCACAATTTTTAATCAACATCAACACCACCACTGACATGGGTTGGAATGCTAGCTAATATCAAAATAAAACGAAATATCTGTTTGTTTTTATTTAAGAAACTACAAACCAATAGAAAATTTAAAAGTCAATAAAGCAAGCGATTGTGTAAAGGTACCTAATAACACCCTTTCTCATAGATGAAGATCTTAAAAACTCCCTTTTCTTGAGTATGGAGTTATAAAAGCAACATACGAAATGTACCCACTCTTAGAGAAGAAAAAAGAAGAAATTTGAAAAGAGTTGGATGCTTTTTTTGCTTCTTTGAGCGTTTTGTTTTTCAAAATCTTGAACCGTATGTGAGGGAGGTACCAAAATAATTGGTTCGATCTCCACCATCTTTATAGCAGATGTTGTGTTGATAGAAATATTGAGATGTACCAAGTCTGAATGAAATCGGATGTTAATTTGGTGTTATATGAGCTTCATGGATCTTCAAAATCTTGACCCTTTGTGGGGGAGGTAGCAGAAGGAGTGTACCGATGTATTCCATCTTCACACCAGACTTTTGGTTAGCAAAAATATTCAGATGGGTGTAATTTGAACATACATCACATTTTATAAGAGTTATAATTATTCCAAATTTTCAGCCTTTGTGGGGGAGGTACTTGATGGAGTGAACCGATATTGTCCATTTTCGCATCTGACCTAGCACTGATGCAAATATTAGGATTTGCAAAGTTGGAGCAAAATCGGATTATCTCTTCTCTTTCTGTGCAGTAAATTATTTTGTTTGAAAAAGTTGCCGTTTTGTGGGGGAGGTAGCAGAAGGAGTAGACCGATATTGCCCATCTCCGAACACGATCTTAGTTCGACAATAATATTACGATATACCAAGTTTGGATCAAATCAGATACTTCGAGAGTTATTGTGCGCACCAGCCAGCAAGGAAGACAGACAGACGGACGGACGGGCATCGTTAAATCGACTCCTAATGTCCTGAAATGAAAGAGACCTAGGGTATAAATCGTTATTTCGATGAAGCACGTTATACAAATGATATATACGCTCTCCAGCCATATGGCAGAGGGTATATTAATGACCGTCTAACATCAATTTTAAAAAGAAATCGATAAATCTATTTGTTTTATTGAAAAGAATCTAAAGACGAACAAAACACAAAATACAAACTAAAAATATGTTTTTAATAACACCATTTTAAAGAAAGGTCTCAAATATAGCTCGTATAAAATTCCCGACAATTGTTTCTTCTGCAATTACACCTATATGCTTAATATATTTATATTTTTCAACATATCCCAATTCTGACCTCTCAAATTTCCAACTACAAATTCGATATTTGCTCCACTAGAGCCTCCACCAAAATTGTACCATTTGCCTGGCCTGAATAGTATAGGACCATACGATAATAGCCACTCCTTAAATACGATGGAAAATTATCAGTGTTAACTCGACACTGTGCCATGGTTACCCGACAAACTGGCAATGGCGGACGAAATGGCGACGGCAACTGCGGAACATTCTCTGTACAGTTTTGAAAACTTTTCATAAAAATCGGCACGTAATAGGTGTTGGCAAAATCCGATAGACTTGTTTTGAGTACACGAAATGGTGCGCGTGTAAACTGCTTTCCCTCCGGACTGTAGAATACATCAACGGCTATTTCAAAGGCGTCGGTAAGACTTTGTTTCACCTCCATTATGCCGCTGGTCTTGTAAACGCCACGGGAAACAAAACGTTTTTCGGCTTTCATCTCGAAGACGTCGGGAGTGTCATTGGTACAGATCACCGATTGAACACTATAGGTCCAGGTCCTTTGCTGTAAAGGCTGAAAGAAGGCTATATAAAATATTAAATTTAAGTGAAATTCTAAACTTACAAGTTGTCCGGCGGTGCTGGCAATTGTCAAAACAATTGTTAGATAGAGAGACTGTAACATCGTTGGGAAATAAATAACAGGTATTTGCATTTCAGTTTGAATTTTTTGTTTTAATAAATCGGTTTTATATATGATTTTAGTTAAAGGTTTGTAGAGCTGGGGGGAGACCACTTCCAAAATGGTGTTAAAAAGTGTTGTTCTTTAACACTACATTGGAGCTTGTTCCTGGTGTTATTTTAAATTGTTAACATTGTAATAACTTTATTGGTTCTTCTCACGAAACAGAAATAATTATAGAAATGTAAAACAAATGAAATGTGTTGAATCTGCGGGGACTGGGTCGAAACTACGTCTACAGCTGAAAGAAGGGTCTCTAAAGCATCTCAATTTAGATAGTAGATTTATATAAGTGTTTAATCTTAAGAAAAATAGGAACTGCGTGGAATATTGTATCGAAGGCCCTCTTGAACAATGAACCAAACAATAAGCCCGAAAAGCAATAATCGGTAGCCACTGTAAAAGTCGGGGGTACGAGTTTAAACCCCCGTATCAATAAATCACAGGCCGATACAAATTCATAATAGCCTGGACAACAATTATACCTAGACAGCAGGCATGAACAGGAGTATATTGCGTCCTATTTTACTAGAACCCCGGTAGAGGACTTCTTTTCTGCATTTTCTGTCGGAATAACTGAAATTGATTGCAGAAAAGGTCGGATTATTTATTTTGACAGGAAATCTGGGATACCTGTTCGATCTTATATAGACCTTGCATCTGATTGAATGAAGTTCTGTTATAATTTCGATCGAAAACCCTGGCTTATTAATAAATTTGAGACAACAACTTTTGGGTGAGTTTGTTTTTATCTACCTTTATCTAAATCATGTTATAATTTTCTTCGGATTTCTTTTTCCATACAAAGGAAGCTTTATGATGATCCCATCTTTTAAATAAGTTTCTTGTAAAAATATTCTTCTTATAGGATGTGTGATTTTTCAGGTAATATGGCTACAGAGGGTATATTTCATTTGATACGGCCAACACGTGCCACATCGAAGTAATGGTTTTAGACATTAGGTTTTTTTGGACCAAATCCGTTTCAGGACATTTGGAGTCGATCTAGAGATGCCAGTCCGTCCGTCTGTCAGTCTGACTGGCTTCTGTGCATGAAGGGAGTATCCGATTTGATCCAAACTTGGTACATCGTAACATTATTGTCAAACTTAGATCGAGTTCGGATATAGTCATATCTCCTTCTGGTACCTCCCAATTTTCAAAGAAAATAATTTACTGCACAGAAAGAGAATGGATGATCCGATTTTGCTGCAACTTTGCGAATCCTAATATTTGCATCAGTACTAGGTCAGGTGCGAAAATGGACTATATCGGTCCAATCCATCAAGTACCTCCCCCACAATGGGTCAAACATGTGAATAAATATAATCCTTATAAAATGTGATGTAAGTGTCCGATTGTCTTTAAATTACACCCATCACAGGTCTAGTGTGAAGATGGAATATATCGGTCCACTCCATCAAGTACCTCCCCCACAAAGGTTAACATTTTGAATATTCATGAAACTCGTAAAACACAGAAGTAACATCCAATACCATTCACACTTTGCACATCTCAATATTTATGTCAACACAAGATCTGTTATAAAGATGGTAGAGATCAAAGCATTCGGACCATTCCTTCTGGTACCTCTCCCACAAAAGGTCAACATTTGAAATAACCAAAACCATCATAAAATCCGAAATAAGCATCCAGTTCTCTTCAAATTACACATATCGCAATATTTTTATTAAACCAATGTCTAGTGTGAAAATGGGATATATCGGTCTCTCTCCTTCTGGTATCTCACCCACAAAAGGTCAAAATTTTGAGTATCCATGAAGCTCATAAAACTCGAAATTAACATTCGATTCGACACAGCCTTGTTACATCTTAATATTTCTATCAGATCGGACCATTTCTTCTGATACCTCCCACACATAGGGTTCAAGATTTTCAAAAAAACAAAATGTTCAAAGAAAGCGAAATAAGCACCCAACTCCCTTCAAATTTCACATATCCAAATATTTTTGCAAACGCAAGATCTGTTGTGAAGATCATGTATACCTGCCAACCCCTTCTGGTACCTCATCCACAAAGTGTTACAATTTCCAATACCAACTACAAACTAAAAAAATGTGCATTCCAATAGAGCAACAAATCGGAAAAACACATCCCTAAATAATAGACTCTAAATGCATCCTTTTTTAAATAATGGGGCCCTAAATTACATTTCTTACATTAGGGTACCTAAAAGAGCACCCTTTCTAATAGATAAAGCACCATTTTCTGAAGTTATTTGAATCTCTGCCCGAGAATGCACTTTTCACTGCACCCTTTCCCGTAGACAGAAAAAATAAGTGCACCTTTTAATTGAAAAATGGTCTTAATAGAAATATATATCCCATAGAACAGTGTTGGCTTGTTTGTTCGGGATACCATAGTAGTTTGTTGTTGAAAAATGGTCAGGCTTAATCCCTTTTACCCCCTGTTAAACATTACCATCGTTCTCCACTAATAAACAAACGTCGTTTTTATAAAAACAACAATAAAGAGATTAAGCCTGACCATTTTGCAACAACAAAATATATCCCATAAGAAAATATTGTTAAAGCACCTCCAATTAGAAAAAGGGCCCATAATAAAGTCCCATTTCTTCAACATAGGAAATTGTTTTTCTCTAACCAATCGAAAAATATTTTATGGCGTTGCACAGATTCAAACTACTAAAATCTAGTGTATGAACTTACATCTAAAGGCCATTCAGCAAAACTGTTCTGTTGTACCAAGGACCAGTATCATTATTCTTCTGAGTCCAGTTTTCAAAAAAAAAAACAAGTAAGCAAAGGCTACAGTCGAGCGGGGCCGACCGTTGAATACCCTACAACACCATAATAAACGATACAGTTCATATAGGCGAGATACTCGAAAGAATTGCACAAGATATTGTTACAAATAATAAAAGAAAACCATCAGGTTTCGTTCTCTAATTTTCGAATATTAGCAACTTTACCTAATTTGCTCATTTCATATTTATTGGTAAATGTTGCACGTAAATGGTCTTCCTAGATCTGGAACCAATATTTCCCAAAGACCCATAGTCTCTCAGAAGTGGCAAAAGATTAACATTTATTATTGGCTTTTGACTGAAACGCATCTATATGAGATACAGACATTTGACTATATTCTTCCACGAACTCAGCGTTAACGAAATAGTCAGAAGTGCGTCTTTCCTGTATTTGTGAATTCTCCATAGAGTCACTGGAATGGAGATTTTCGTATTTTGTCTACAAAAGTTGGCAAACTATTTCCCACATTGAATATTTTTGGATGGCCATCCAAAACTGCTTGGCTTTTTGCAATGCCCGTAACCCCCATTCAAATGTGCGCGAGGATCGGGCGATAATTACGACCTGCCGACAATTTTGCAGCTTTTTGGTCCATTTCTACCCCTAAATATATGGCGATCATCTCCAAAAAGAGTAGGCTTCTATTCTGACCCTCATCTTGTCCCCATGCAAAATTTCGTAAGGATCGGGCCATAAATGCGATCTGTATATGATATCCTGATATCCCAACTACTTAGTTTTGTTAGCTGTAGAAATATTACCAAATGTTTAATTCAAAATGAAAATATGCCAAAAATATGACAAAATTGAAAAAATATGAGAAAATGTTACAACATCAATATTTTCATCTTTAGAGAGATATTTTTATGCGATTTTTTTACACGTTTTTTCTTTCCTGCCAAGAGGCCATTCTGAATTAATGAGATCTTTCGAAATCAGTTCAGCCGTTCTCGACATATAAGAGATCTTTCAAGCCTATCTTCTTTGATAAACATATATATCGCACATATTTTGCTATATATCCGATTTTTTGGATGTTAACATCAATGTAAAGGTCAGAAGTAACCTTGCCATGGCTTAGTGATTTCGCTGGGATTTAAAATGTTCGCGGTTTAATGAAAAATTTTGAATTTTTTCAACACAAAATATATGGTCTATTTTACCCGCTAAATATTATCCGATGATCACCCAAATTGGTAGGCTTCTTCCCCGTCCTGAACTCTAGCTACATGCGAAATTCCGCGTCGATTGGTCTATAAATGCGACCTGTATAGCTACTGCAAAATCCGACATTTTTTCAGTATTTGGTCCATTTCAACCCCTAAACATTTGGCGATCATCTCCAAAAGAAATAGGGTTCTTTTCTGACATTAACCCCACCTCCATACTAAATTTCGTGAAGATCGGGCCATAATTGCGACCTGTAGAGTGATTACAAATTAACATGGACAGACGGACAGACGGACGGACGGACATACATAGCTAGATCGACTCAGCTCGGCGAGCTAGGAAGATCCATATATACTTTCCTATGTGGGAAACCAATATTTCGTGGTGTTACATAATTTTTGGCTCAATCAAACTTATAATACCCCCAACACATAGTGTTGTAGGGTATAAAAAATAGTTTTGCCCCAATCATCCAGAAAGAAAGAAAAATTATGTTCGAGTGCAAAGTTTTTTTAATTGTGTATTTTCTATTTTGTTGTTACTCATCTTTTTTTCAATAAACTTATATATGGTTGCTTTTATGGGGAGCGAAAACGTAATACATTACAATATGCAGCAAGTAAATTCAGGGCATCTTATACCATTTAATACAAACATTTTTCATAAATATCAGTGTATAGCCTTGCTTGTTTCACTTAAGATGAATAAAATGCCATTTATCGACTGAAATGAGAAGGAAAGAAATAAGAAATGAAAAACAAACATCATTTTAGTTAAATTCCAAATAGGAGATATGACAAAAAGAGGAACTACAAACACCGTGTATTTTATTTGTAAAAAAATCTATATACATTGTTTTTATAAAATTAGAAACTTAGATTAGCAACTTATTTTACTTAGCTACACACAAATCACCATAATTATTAATTTTGTTGTGTATGTGCAGGAAAGCTATTAGAGTTTCTAGGTTTACGCATAATTGTGTTATACAACGTGAAGCATTCCAAACAATGTGAGGTTTTAGAGTTTAGCATAGATATTCGTGGAAAGAAAATGTATCTTACCTATGTCGGTGACCTCTTCAACATCTCCACCCTCGGGAGCTTCAGAGATGATTTTTTCAGCCTCTTCGGTATTTGTAAGGAATGGTGAATCAGTAACGGTTGTATTCAATCTGCAAAGATAAATGAAAATACGAAATAATTATTTGCAAAGCAAGACTAAGAAAACTGCTATAAGTAAGAAAAATTATAATTCGAACTAGACGATTAGAAATGTTCAAGCATTTGACTGTGATCTTATATCGGAAATATATAAGAAAAACCCGCAATTGAATGAATAATTTTTAAGGTACGACTAGACCTATCAAAAAACCTCACAGTTTTTGCTATAAAAATCTTACTAAGAAGTTTGATTAGAGAACATTCACATTTCACTTTCCTGTCTTCTTATTTTAGCTTGTTCTCAAATCCAAGCAGTAACATAAGGTTCCATTTTTCACCACGTTTGAGCTTTGACCCACCTGACATCCAAATACCTGACAGGGACGCCTGGGCCCGTAGCAATCCACCTTTCCGCGGCTTAGCTCTTTATAGCGACGGTTCAAAGATGGAATACGGAACGGGAGCTAGTGTCTTCTGTGACACTCTTAATGTTCGCGAAACCTACAAGCTTAGAAACGACTGTAGCGTGTTCCAGGCGGAAATCTTTGCGGTCAAAAAAAAAACCATAGACCTAGTGTTTACGAGGAACAACGCGGTTAGCGGTCCGGTGTCTATATACGTCGATAGTCAAGCGGTACTGAAAACCTTAAACTCCTCTACTATTAAATATAGGGTTGTTTTGGTCTGCAGGAGATCCTTGGAAAGCACTGGGTTGTCCATCGAGCTCTGTTGGGTTCCTGGTCATTACAATATTCCAGACAACGAGACTGCATACGAATTGGCTAGCCTAGGGTCCGAATCAGCTACCATTGAATTTGAAAACTCGGTCAAACCACCCCTGTGCCACTTCTTATAGGTAATTCATAGGCACTTCTCTCAGAGAATTCAACAAAAATGGCTGGATGAAAGGGGATGTAGCATCTCCAAAAAAATCTGGCCCGTACTCTCGGAGAAAAGAACAAAGTCGCTACTGTCCTTGTCGAAGCCTGATTTAAAACTTGAAGGGGGTTTCATCACAGGTCACTGCAAGGTGAGAGCAATGACCTCTAAATTGGACAGCGATGATATTGACTACTGTAGAATCTCTCAAATCTCTCTCTCCATCACTTATTAACGTGAGACACAGGTTGGTGGGGGAACAAGTGTCACATAACGACACGGCAAATTTTCTAACCGTGGATTACGTGGATTACCCTTATAACTCTATCTCCTATCAGTAAGATCTTCACTTTTTCCACCAATCTTTTCTTTCTTCCACTTTCTTCATTTAGGATGGACACAATGGACCAGCAGCTTAACCTAACCTAACATAAGGTTCCACATTGTATAGAGGGTACATAATTTTGTCATTCCGTTTCTAACACTCGAAATATACATTTAGACCTATTTTAAGTGGGTAGAACTTTTGGTATTGCAAATAGGTTCTATATATAATTTTCTGTAATTTAGCTAATTTTTTAAAGAGAATTTTGTCAAACTTGATATTTGGCGTTCGTAATAGTCACCGACATCTCGGACATAGAAGTTCATGCTTTCCTATAGCCCCCATATAACTTCTCGTCCGGTATTCGGTATTTTCCCAACTTTTGCGACATTTTTTAAGGTATTCTTTTTTACATTTTGCAAATTCCTTCCGAATGGTGGAGCATATGAAAAGTTCGACCGTTTCTCGCTTGTTTATATTACTTTTGTATGTAGGATATATTTCATTCAATGTCTTTCATTTACGATATTTTATCAGGTTATTGCCAAAATTGATTGAGATGGGAAATTTCATTTTCGTTGAATTGTCACAACTTACCTTGAAATGGAGCCTCCTTCCAATTGTTGACTAATCAAACCCTGCCAGAATTTGTGGGTTTCCGAAACAACATTTGTGGCAAATGCAGCATTTTTGGCATCACCATTGAAGGCAAATTGATTCTCAGGCTTACCATCGGGAATCTTGTAGATTTTGAACCATTCAACGGTGGCGCGCAACAAACCCGGGAAGTACTTATCAACATCACCAATATCGTTCATTTTTTCCGCCAATGGATCCTTAACATCGATGGCAATGATTTTCCAATCTGTCTCACCCTCATCGATCAGAGCAATGGTACCCAAAATTTTCACCTGAACAACTTCGCCACGTTTGGCAACACGATAACCAATTTCCAAAACATCAATGGGATCATTGTCACCCTTGCAACCAGTGCTGGGTTCAATGTGATCGGGATTTTCCCAGGTTTGGGGGAAGGCACCGTAATTCCAAATGTAACCCTTGTGGGGGAAGCAGTTGGCAACAAAACGCAATTTACCCTTCTTGACGTCCTGTTTAATGGGATTCAAGGGATTCTTGAGACTAATCTGAAATCAAAGAGAAGGAGGAGAAGTGAAGGACACGCAATAATGTAATTAATTTTTTCGTGATTGCAATTCAAACATGTTAAATACAAACGGGTTAAATACAAAACAAGTTAACTGCTATAGGTTGGCACCATTTGCATTTCAGAAAATTGTATGGAATAAAAAAACCAAAGCCAAAACTGAAGACATAAAGGTACTTGTAATTCACCAAAATTATTTATTTTAATATAGTATCAGTGAGGTAACAGATATAGCGGACCAAATTATTCCATTTTCATACTTCATCTAATACAGAAAAATATATAAATATGTGAAAAATTTAAAAGAAAACGAACATTTATATTCAATTTTATGCGAAATCATAATTTCCATAAATTACATATTCATATCGGAGTTCTGGTTAAGAGAAATATTTAGATATAGCAAGTTATGACTGATATAAGTATTGGAAATTGTGACCCTTTGGGTGAGTTAGCAGAAGGGTTGGCAGATGTATATCATCTTCACCACAGATCTTCCGTTTGCAAAATTATTTGGATATGTGAAATTTGAAAAGAGTTGGATGCTTATTCCGTTTTCTTTAAGAGTTTTGTTTTTCATAATTTTGAACCCTATGTGGGGGAGGTACCAGAAGAAATGGTCTAATCTCTACTATCTTTATAACAGATATTGCGTTGATGGAAGTATTGAGATATGCCAATGAATGGAATCGGACGTTGTTTTCGAGTTTTATGAGTTTCATGGTTACTCAAAATGTTGACCCTTTTGTGGGGGAGGTACCATATTCACACCAGACCTTGGGATAATAAAAATATTGTGATGTGTGAAATTTGGAGATTATCGGACTCTAACATCACATTTTAGAAGAGTTAAAATAATTCCAAATTTTGACCCCTTGTGGGGGAGGTACTTGATTGAGTGGACCGATATTGTCAATTTTCGCACCCTACCCAGGACTGATGCAAATATTAGGATTTGCAAAGTTGGAGCAAAATCGGATTATCTGTTTGTCTTTCTGTGCAGTAAATTATTTTCTTTGAAAATGTTGACATTTTGTGGGGGAGGTACCAAAAAGAGTGGACCAATATTGCCCATCTCCGAACTCGATCTAAGTTTGACAATATTATTACGATGTACCAAGTTTGGATCAAATCGGATATACCCTTTGAGAGTTATCGTGCGCACTAGCCAGACATACAGACGGACGGACAGACATCGCTAGATCACCTCCAAATGTCCTGAAACGGATTTGGTCCAAAAAGACCTCGAGTCTAAAGCCGTTAATTCGATAAGGCACGTTTTGGCCATATCAAAAGATATATACCCTTTGTAGCCATATGGCTGAGGGCATAAAAAATTGAGTTTTTTACAACTTGTCATTATTAAAAAATAACCAACAAATGACAATTAGGTTATTTTGCTTTTTGGTTAACACTCTAGACAATACAATGAATTACCCACCTCCATTTTAGCATTTGTCCAGCGTGGTACTTCCACCACCATATTGTATACGGTCTTCTCTTCATTGGCATAGAGGGGGATGTCGTGCAATGGAGATACTCCTTTGCCACAAGCAGTTTCTGTAAATAAAAAAAAATATAAATTAAGGAATAGTCCATATCGAAATTGGGGCAGACATCAATTACTTTATCAATTGACCAATAATATTAAATAATAAGGAGAAGAAAATTGTGTAAGTGAAATAAAATACATTAGGTTGGAGGGAGAGCAAACTTAGATTACAATTTATTTCAATATTGTAATTAACACCCCTTTGTTTTCTTCGTAGACTCGAAACAATAAATAAGTGATAAAACATTTTATCTACTGAATTATATGAAAAGATAAGTAGTCCACTGTACTTTGCATTTGGTCAATAAATTAATTCAATTTAGCTTATTACGAAATAAGAAATTCCATTTTGGAGTATTATATATGTAATCAAAAATTCGCTGATAACAGCCGCATACGACCCATACACAAATACATTGCACAACATTATGACGAAGGGTAATAATTGAACACAATGTTGAGGTATTATTTTTTTTTTAAATCAAAATAAAAATTTGGCAAAATGTAAAATTCAATACTGACTTAAATGTGAAGATATTTTCCTAATTTGATTTAAAATATAAGACCTTTACACAGCTGCAGCATGTAGAAGACCTTTGGCACCACTTTTATTGGTAGAACCCGTCTCTGTAGATAGTATATATTTTATAGGTCTTGTACAGATATAAGTCGATTTATAAAAAAACAGGCAAAACTTTTTACAGATATTTGGTACATAGAATACCTTTTATGGATCGTTTGTAGATGAAAGATCTTTCACAGGCTTCCTGTGAATAAAATACCTTTTACAGGTTTTCTACAGATATAAGTCCATTAAACAAGATCCTTTACAGATCTTCTATAGATGTACAGGGTGAAATAAAAAAAATGCAACAAAGTCAAACTCCATAATTTTATTTTTTTTTTTTTAATTTTATTGAATGAAAGCAAAAAATGTCGGAAATAGCATCAAATTTTAGAAGAAGTTCAGACTTGTTTGAATTGGTGCCCTTTGGCACGAAGTATGGCCTTCAAACGGCCAATGAAACCGTCACATGCTGCCCGAAAGTTGCTCTTCGGTATTTTGTCCCATTCCGGCGAAGCGCTTGCTTGAGGTGATCGACACTTTGGTATTTTTTAGTGCCAACCTTGCTTTCCAAAATAATTCCAGACACAATAATCCAACGGATTGGTATCCGGAGATTTTGGTGGCCATTGTGCGCTGGAAATGAAATGGAAATGGCGCGTGCTGAGCCCGATAGTGCTGAGTTCTGTTGGAATGTCCAACGTCTACGGCCAGAATGTTTGCGTGCCCAAGGCTTTAATACACCCTCCAAAATATTTTCGATTTAATACGAATAATAGGAGTGAAGAGCGACCATCGGCTGTTATGGCGGCCCACACCATCACCATGGCCGGCGCTTGAGTTTTGATGGCCAACCGAAGGTGCACATTTCCAACTGACCTCATTGGCAAGTAAACACGATTATTTTGTTTGTTTAGAAACTGCTGGACAATGAATGTTTTCTCATTGGAGAAACACAAATTCGGCAGTTTACAACTTTCGGCCAAGCAAAGCAACTCTTTAGCTCTTTTAAGTCTATTTTCTTTCTGTTGCGGTGTAAGATCTTGAACATTTTGGAATTCCAATGGCTTTACCCGAGCTCATTTTTCAATATTTGCCGAATAAAATATTGCGATATGTTCAGCTCACGAGCCATTTTTCGGCCACTGCGACACGGATTTCGATCAAGTCGCTTCTTTTCGAAGCATTTCTGTTGATGTTGCTGTTTTCTTCCGTCCACTTCCTTGACGTCGGGCTACGTTACCAGTATCACGGTAACAAGCAATGGTACGAGACACAAAAGATTTACTCATATTTAAATGCTGGAGTGCTCTGACGATAGCCACTTGGGGGTTTTCAACCAAATATAAGGAAATCACACGATCACGCTTGAATTCCATCACGAATAACTTTTTTTCTGGAAAATTCTCACCAAAATGCTTTTGTACGCTTGTAAACAATATAATGAGCTGTCACTGGAATAATTTTAACAGCTGTCAACGAGTGGCTTAGAAATGACGGCAGTCTGAAGTTGGTTGCAGTTTTTTCATCTCACTCTGTATATATTTCACAAATTTATTAGCTTTTACAAGTCTATATAAGGAGATATCTTACAAGCCTTCTCTATACCCCATAAATAGTTGACCTTTTGGGTATCGCCTAAAAGTAAAAGACTGACCGTCTAAAACATTTTGGGTAGAAGACCTTTAGAAGGCGTTTTATAGCTGTTCTATGAACAAAGAGTTGTCTATAAGAAATCGTTTGCATGATTGAGAGATTTAATATAGAACGTATGAATCTATAAATTATTATTTCAATGAGTCACCTAAGTACAAAATGATAATCTGCAACATATTTATTGTTGGCAAGGTCTTAAGAATAAAATATTTAGACTATTAAACCATGAACCTTTTCCGAATAGTTATCATTGTTATCTGGTATAATTTAAGTGTTAAACGTGCAGTTTTTTATAACACCTAAAGAATATACTGATTCCATATAATCATATCACAAAGAAGGTGTGCACCCGTGAAGTGGGATAAGAAAGAAATTTCTAGCACAATTATTTAGGTATTAATTCCCCACAGGCAATTTAATTCCCTTTCAGAAAGACTAATTTTTCAAGAAGTCTATAGACACCTGTTTCAATACCATTTAGGTGGATGTTTCCACAATTTACCTAAATAGTGGGTACTTATCGATTTCCAATGCTATTTTTAGAAAATACGGAAAGCTTACGGAAATTCGAACATTGTGCATCTATTAACAATTCCAATAGCACTGATGTCCGTCCGAAGAACCTAGAGCTCTCAGGTGCATAAAAATGCATAATTAATACCCGGCGCACGCATTAAAAATAAAGACCGGGAATATACCTCCTCATTGCGTGTTAAACACACTACAAATAACAACAACAAATCACAACGAACTTTGGCGTGACCGACAAACGGACAGACACAAAGTCAATTTACGGTGCTCTCCTTATCAATTTCACCGTTTATAAAAAATATTGCATAAGCTTTCGGTGGCTTAGAACAATTAATACCGAACAGATAACAGCAGAACACCACACAACCACTTCAAATTTTCAACAATAATTAAACAATACAAACGGATGAATGGGTTATGGTCAATGTCATTTCAATTTGCCAGCAATTAATGTGTCCAAAAGCCGGTAAAATGCAATTCTTCACATTTTTTTTCTCTTATCGTATCGTATTCACTTTATTTCAAAATCACATTACTTACTGAAATAAATGCTATAATTTGTTGAGTTGGGAGCACCCTTTTCCACAATTTGATAGTTGGACATTTTCTTGAGATTGTCTTTAGTTAACGTTTGCAAATGTTGTGCCGTGATAGCGTGGAAACGTCGAGTTTCTTTTGCTGACGATGACGAAAACAAGTTTCTGCCAAACACGTTATGGATCGGAATTTTTGTGAACACAAATCGAGGTACTACCCCCATCGACATGATGCAAAAAAAAAACGGTGCAAAGAAATAAATCGATTAGTAGATTAATCGAAGAGAGGGAGAAATAGGGACAGGTAGGTCGACTTTACATTAATGTATTTTCTGCAGTGCACACTAGCGGGCATGAATGAATGTCATAAGTCCTTCTTCAAACGTACACAGTGGATTTGACAAATTGCTTATAGAGGTCTACCTGTTTGGCTTGTAATGGAATTACTATAAAAAAAAACAATCAAAAAACCAAACAACTTGTTGCATTGATTTTCAATAAATAAACTGAATGAAAAAAATGTCAATTTTTTCAAAACCATGTTCTATATCTTAAAGTTTTTTTCGCTACAAAAACTATAGTTTACATCTACGTTTCAATAAGCATTTTGAAAAACCCAAATTTGAATATTTTCAATTTTTTTATACCCTCAGCCATATGGCCTCGAAATAAAGGTTTTACACCCTAGGTCTTTTGGACCAAATCCGTTTCAGGATATTTGGAGTCGGTCTAACGATGTCTGTCCGTACGTCCGACCATCCGTCTGTCTGGCTGGCTGGTGCGCACGATAACTCTCGAAGGGAGTATCGATTTGATCCAAACTTGGTACATCGTAGTATTATTGTCAAACTTAGATCGAGATCGGATAGGGGCAATATCGGTCACCCCTTCTGGTACCTCCCCCACAAAAAGTCAACATTTTCAAAGAAAATAATTTACAGACAGAAAGAGAAAAAATAATCCCATTTTTTCCAAATTTGCAAATCCAAATATTCGCATCCTAGGTCAGGTGCAAAAATATACAATATCGGTTCACTCCATCGAGTGCCTCCCCCACAAGGCGTCAAAATTTTAAATTATTATAACTTTTATAAAATGTGATACAAGAGTCCGATTGACTTCAAATTGTATAGATCACAATATTTTTATTAACCCAAGGTCTGGTGTGAAGATGGAATATATCGGTCCACTCCTCCTGGTACCTCCCCCACAAAGGGTCAACATTTTAAATATTCATGAAACTCATAAAACATGAAATAAACATCCGAATCCATTCAGACTTGGCACATCTCAATATATAAACACAAGATCTACTATAAAGATGATATACATCGGACCATTCTTTCTGTTTCACTACACCCCCCCCCCCCCACCCAAAGGTTCAGAGTTTTGAATAACCAAAACAATCATAAAATCCGAAAAAAAACATTCAGTTCACTTTAAAGTACACAAATCACAATTTTTGTATTAACCCAAGTTGTGATGTGAAAATGGAATATATCGGTAAATTCCTTCTGGGACCTCCCCCAAAAAGGTTGAAAATTTTGAATATTCATGAAGCTCACAAGACGTGAAATTAAGATCCGGTTACATTCAGACTTGGCACATCTCAATATTTCCAACAACTCAAGATCTGTTATAAAGATGGTAGAGATCGGAACATTCCTTCTGGTACCTCCCCCACAAATAACGTCCGATTCCATTCAGACTTAGTACATCTCAAAATTTTCATCAACACAAGATCTGTTATAAAGATGGTAGAGATCGGACCATTTCGTCTGGTAGCTCCCCCACATAGGGTTCAAGATTTTGAAAAAGAAAACGCTCAAAGAAAGCCAACTGCTTCGGAACCTCCCCCGTAAAGGATGAACATTTTAAATAATCATAATTCAAGGCAGGGGGGTTTACATCTGTCGGCAAATCCGACTGATACTAGGTGTGTCTGGTTACCTTAAAATTTTTAAAAATTGTTACTGGAGGTCTTTGCTGTTAACACAAAAGATTGGGAACAACTCCAGTTTAGTAAAAACTCTTCGATTTTTTTTCCAGAGGTAGGTATTTTTACCCTGATCCCGGGAAACTATTTTTTTTTTCTTGGGGGACGGACCCGGGAGTCCGGGATCAAGACCCCGCCTGGACCCGGATCCACTTACCCGATATAGACAATATGGGTATCGATTGAAAGCTTATAGAAGTACCTATCCAACAAGTGGTCATCATGAAGGAGTAAGTTGTCATGGTTCGGAAGTTATTGTCAAATTATCGATCAGGGTAAAAATACCTACCACTGGAAAAAAATTTCGAAAAAATTGAAGTGTTTTTACTGAACTGGAGTTAAGCCAAGATTTGCAAAAGAGAGCGATTGAAGAGAACAATTTTCACAGTTCATTCACTGAGAGTTTGCAAATCCTTGCTGACAAACAAATTTCTTCTGCAAACACTTGCAACTCTTTTTCTTCCCCTTCCTGTAATGCCTATTTGGGCAAGAAAATTAAGAACATTTTTATGTAAAAAAATGCAAGCCAATTGTTTGGTTTTTCGATTTCTCGAGGACAAATTGCTTTGTTTTGATAAATCAGCTGATGGCTTGCAAGTCTGTTTACTTTTCACAGTTTTGTTGCAAACGAGAAAAAAACTAACTTACTCTTTCATAAAGAATTTGCTGGACAATCCCTGCAGGAAAAGTAACCAGATATACCTATTATTTTTCTTGTTATTATTGAAAATAACTCACACACATAAACAAATAAAGTTGATATATTAAGGCAAGAAAAAAATAAAATAACATCATATGGTATCATAATCCTACCTTGATTTTCTTGTACCATGTCACCAATATTGTTCAAAACACTTGCGAATATGAGTTATGATTTCGGTCACAAAATGTATAGTTTCCTAGTAAATATAAGAAATTTAACCTTATTTTGGAGTGTATTGTTTTATTGTTATTCTGTTGCCTTATTGTTATCATATAACATTTCATTATTTTACGTACATATTTGTTCATACAGGTAGTTATATAAAAAAACGAACACTCTCTATATATTTTATATAAATTATATATACTCTGTTGATGGTTTGTATAACGTAAACATTTGTATGCATAAGTGTTTAGTTTTAGTTTTGTTCTAAACAAAATGAAATCACCATTTATTGCAATATTTATATTGTAATGTATTTAGTATTGTTGATGTTCTGCTTCCTTGTATTGTTTTTTTTTTTTTTTTTAGTTTAAAACTTCAAATAAATATCGAATGAAATAGCCTGAACTAAAGATAAAACAAATAATATCTATAATACACTAAAGAAGGGAATTTGAGGCCACATAATTTTGGTAAAACAATTTAAATTCTACATTTGTTTGAAACAAAATAAGGGTGAATTTAGAACAACAAAAAAATGAAATAAGCTCATTTAAATATAAAACTTAAATCGCGAAAAGAGTTTTATACATATTTTGCGAAAACATATTTTAAAATAAGACAAATTAAAATAAAAAATAAAACACTTAAAATCTGAAAAAATCAATATTCATTGGTTCTGGACTACTGAAAAGAACGGATTCTTAGCTAAAACTATTTATTTATAATCGAAAACAACGGCTAATTAAAAAATCGTTTGCGACTTAAAGCGATCTCTTTAATTTCATATTTATGCATTTCTTTCGCCAGAGAATAAACACTTTTTCTGTCATGTCAATATCTGTACAAAAGAGGAAAATTTTCTTGTTCTTGTCTAAGCTTTTGTAATGGATTTACGATTTCCGCTTAGCTCGGGGAAATTTTGCACGATTTCATGCATTTTCTTGTGATCGGCCATGTCGACTGGCAATAGTACCTGTTTACAAGTGGAACAAACTTCCATGGTGGGCAGATTTTTACGTTTAGCAGCTGACATGGTGTTCAAACGTTGTTGATGTACTAAATACAAGGACTGCAATAGAAACCATTTAATTAAGATTTCTCAACTACATTTCATTATACCTCATACATACCTGTTGTTTGCTAATGTCGGGTAAAAGCACCACCAGTTCCGGAAATACATAATCAAATTTATCCTTTAAGGCAGCTTGGCAATGTTCATAGTAGGAATCAGCTTTGACCACACCATCCCGATATAATTGCGAAATATTACGAAATTCTTCTAAGGCTTCCATGGATTCCAAAATATCTCTGAAGTATAAGATTAATCTCTGCAAAAAAAAGGGTAATCACATTTAGGTTTTGTTTAGAAAGAAATTCATCTATTCACTCTACCTGATTACGCAGCATAGCATCTGTGGGTGGTGTAAAGGTGTGGGCTGGCAAAATGCTATAGCTCTCGCCCAGTGAACTGGTAAATGTTAAATTGTTTGGCGATTTGGCCACTGAATTAACGGTTACATTTGAATGATGTTCCGGGGCTGAGGGCGACTTCTTTGCTTGCGGTGATTTGGGTGGTGGGGAGGCGGAATTTTGTTTTTGATTGTTATTGTTGCTATTCAAATTATTGTTCGTCGCTTTATTTTCGTTGTTGTTATTCGGTTCCTTGGGCTTCTTCTCTTTAGTTTTCTCCTTTTTATCCTTTTTATTGTTAGCAGCAATGTTGGCCGCATTACTTTGTACATTACCGTTAGTTAATACTGCTGCTGCTGGTTTTGGTGCCGTTGCGTAGTTATTAGTTTTTGTGGGTAGGACAGGGGCGGGCGCCACTTTGTTTTTGCGGTTTTCCAATTCTTTTTGACGTTTCTCATTGACCACGGCCTTAACCCAGGTGTTTGTGGGGGCCGATGACTTGGATGCTGGTGGACCACCCAATGACGGAAAATCTTGGCTGGTTAGTTTTGGAGCACTTCGCGCTTCTGCTTCTCTGCGCGCTTTTGCTTCCAATTCTTCCTTTTGCACCATTTGAATTTTTTGGAAATTAGCAGGATTAGCAACGGATACGTAATCATCAACCAGAGTACGATGTTTGGCTGCCACCGTGGATACGGGCAGATGGAGACCCGTTGTACCCATGTCTTCGGTCAGTACCGCTGATTTGCCCTTTTTCGATTTCGTTGATGTGGGCAGCGCTGGAAAGTCCATAGCACTCGGTTTCTTAGTTTGAGTGGGTGGATTTGTTGGACGATTAGAGACATGTATTACCATGCCACTACTGGTCAATGGTCCATTTTTGGGCGCAGGTGTTCTTGGAACAGCTCCGGTGGCAGGAGTTGGTTTCTTCTTCAACATTGCTGAAATCGGCTGTTGTTGTTGGGCAGATCTTGCGGCACTAAAACCACCACCATCACCTCCGCTATTGCTACCGGTTGCGTTAGCGCCTAAGGCTGGGAAATTCTCCTTGGTTCGAGCCAGACCCGATATTCTATTATGATTGATAATTGTTGGTGGCGGTGGTCGGGTGAGAGATAAACTTGGTCCAGTTGCACCACCGGCAAGAGATGGGAATTCCTGCTCACTGCATGGATTGATATTTTGACGCGTTGGTGTTTGACTCTGCTGTGGGTAGGAGGGCTCAGGAACTTCAGGCTCAGGTTCATGGTTGTTGCTGAAAACGACACATAGAATATATAATTTTTTTTCACAAATTTTACAAATTGGCCTTAACATACCTTCCTCTACTTCTCATACTGGCCACTCCCTGCTCCGTCTGGCCGGAACGACCTCTTGGTCCCAAAGTTATCTCCAGTTGTAAAGTTCGTGTCTGCTTCGCCTGTTGTTTATTCATGCCTTTGCCATGTACATTGGCAACATGAGCTTTGAAATCGATTTCTGTACGAAATGCTCCTGTAAATTCTTCCGTTGCACATTTCCCCTCTTCACACAAAAAGTGATCCTGCCGAAAATGTTCGGCGAGCGCGGAATAGTCGCGATAGAATTCATTACAACCATCTGCATCACAAAAGTGGCAGTAGTAATGTTCTCGTCTCAAATGACGAAATAGTTCGTCACGATCCAGATAGCGTTTGTTGCAGTATTCACACAAGGGATGGCCACGATGTGAACGATTATCCGGATCACCTTTGGTCCGATGAATCCCTAACTCTGCCTGGGTATAACAGCGCCGCTCAAACGTAAATATTTTCAGGTTTTCCACGCACAAATCACAATAGAAATGGTCATGTTCTTTGCGAACATGATTGCGAAGGCCTTGAAAAGTACGATAAGGGGGGCAGTCACATCTACGCAAAACGACAAAAGGGGACAAACAAAGAAAAGAAAAACGAAATGGTCAGCTAAAGAAATGCAATTTCAAATACAAGGAAGCTCTTACTTGGGACATGGATGATCTAGTAGTTCAAAGAATTTCTGCTGTATTTCACTCGTATAGAAACATATCTTATATTTCTTGCTGTAATATTCCGAACGATTCTTGGCCTCCAATTCACGGTAAGGCAGTTTATCATAAGTGAATATAACCTAGAAAACAAAAGCAAAAACAAAATTGTAATTATTTGCAAACCCATGTAATGTCATCTGATTGGAATTCAGATGAGATGGAGACAATAATGATTGGTACCTTTGATAAGACCTGTCTGCAAATGGGGCATTCATTTTGTTCACAAAGAACCCTCATTCGAGTGGAACACTCATAACAAACGGGATGGTCACATTCTCCTATGGAAAATATTTCCACCGTCTTGAAACAAACCACACAGGCATTGTCATCGGCAGTAGTGGTGACGGAATTGGACCCATTGGAAGCAGCAACAGCATCAGTTTTTCCATTTTGGGAGGATTTCTTGGATGACTTCTTGTTGTTGACGGCGCTCATGGTGATAGATATTTCAATTTTTTGTTGAATATAAACCGAAATAAATTTATTAAATTGGGGGTTTTTCAGTGTTTTATCAACTTTTCTTGGTTTTTTTAGTTTTCTAAACGTGTAACGTGTTATAGGTGGCAAAAAATCGATATCGATATTTTGTTTTTTAAATGGTTATCGATTGAAGTATTGTTCTGTCGATGTTGTCGGACGAAATACTTGTACTAGGCTCTGTTCCAGAACTGCAAGAAAGGCAAAAACATTTGACGTAGAAGCATTTTTACATTCATACAGGTTCTGGAACAGAGCGCTGGTGTTGTGTATCGTTACGTTTGTCCCGTATGTTCCATGCTACAGTAAGGCGGTAAAACAACGTCATTCATCAACTACTACTGCAATGCAGCCCTGAGGTAATCCCCTTTTTCTGCCAAATTGAATTTAACAAGTTGTTCAGAAACAGTTAAATATTCAATTCCATTGCTAAAAAAGTTTAATATCTTTAATGTGCGAACGCAATATAAGTCTCTTTCTATCATTTAATTTCACAAGAAAAAAGAAACACCTGCTCTGTTCCAAAACCTGCAAGAATCCACTTGTTTTGCAATTGTTTCGAAAGATTCCAACTCCGATTTGTTTATGTACAAAGGATTTATAAATAAACATTCCAAAAATATATGTTTTCAAATGAAAAATGTCATAAAATTGCAAACATATTATAGCATGACTACTATGCCCTCGTACAATGGTTATTTTGATGATATTAGTGACATAATTCACCAGAACTGTTTCAAATTTCGGAATCGTTACTACAGCCTATGACAATAAATTACTCTTGACTGAGAAATTAACACATTTGTTCTGTTCCAAAACAGCAAAACAGAATGTAAAAGTTTTTACTACGATAACCGATTTTCCCTTTATTATATCGGAGAAAATTGCAAAGCTAGTAGAACTCCTTTTAAATACGTCAAATAATTAAGTTGCCTGTGTAAAGCTATGATAGCAGTTTGTTTTTGTCTTTGCCAATATAACGAAATCGACGCCGTTGATATTAACTGTGTACACTGCAACATAAAGAGCGACCCCTTTGAATAATTTTTCTTACTACTAAATTTTATAAAAATATTTCAATTCTAAAACATTTTTAGTACAAAAGACAAATAAGCTCATAATAATAAAGAAAAATATTATTTGTTTTTTATCTTTTTAATTTATTGCAAATGTCGCCAAAACAAATTTATTGTCAAACACCTCTTTTGAATGTTTACTATTGTGAATGATTTTGCGTTTGCATTTCGCAGCGCCCTCAGTAGACGCTAAATGACATTTCATATTGTGGCTTGGTTTTTTGGTTTTTTCAAGACACAAACACAGGGCACAATTTGTTAATCCTAAGCATTTTTGCACATAAAAACTAGAAAAATAATTATATTACAAGCGTACAATTGTTTTATTATACGGAACATATACAATGGCTAATAAATTGGATCAGGAAACATTGCAGCAAGAGTTGAAAAAGAGGAAAATATGTCGTTTTTGTTTATGTGAATCGGTGTCGAAGCTGAGTAATATTTATATGCGCGATACACGAATAAAAACCTCAGCTCCTTTGCCAATACAAATTATGGCCATCGCATCAATTGAGGTACGTTTGTTAAACTGTATTACAAAATTCAAATATCTCTCCCCAGGCAGCTGATAGTGTACTGGTGCGTCATGGCTATAGTTTAGCAGATCCACATTCCCGCCACAAATTTGTGGTGCAAAACTTTGGTGTCAATTGTAAAACTTTAATAAACCTGACAGGATTGCAAGAGGGTGTTTTTGGCGAGGCATTTCCAACTAAAGAAACACATTTTACTAATTTTAACTCACATTACTAAATTCCCTAAAATCCTTTATTTATTTTTAGGTATTCAGCAATGATGGTATGCCATGCTTTGTCTGTTCCGATTGTACGGCAATTTTTGAATTTAGCTATCAATTCAAACAAGTTTGCAAACAAGCTGATAATCTGTTGCGACAATATCCCTTAACCGGTCAATGGCCTAAGCCATTACCTTTACCGGTGCTGATTCGTCCAACGCAAAATGTCCTCAATAGTAAGCAGTGCACCAAAACCACGCAAATTCGCATGCAGCAGGGCAGCAAGCAATCTCCCTCTCAGGAATCACCAGCCCAAATAAGGAAAATTTTAAATGCAGCACCAGCATCCGATCCTGAGCCACCACAACCACTCCGTACAAAGATAGAGAAGATCGATGACGACGACACAACAATAAGTTTATTGGCAAAACTTGAAGAGACTGACGAAATATCCTTCGACGATATACAACAATTGATGGCCGCCGAAGAAACCGACCAAATAGTTGATGAAACCACTGCACCAGACTTTCAATCAGATATGCCAATTGTCATCTTGGATGCCGGATTGAAATCCAAACCGAAATTATTGAATAAATCTTCTGTTCGTATATTAAACAAGGAGGCTGCCCGTGACAAGGAGCCTCGTTTGAGTCTGCCCAAAATAAAACAGGATTCGGAAGGCAATATGGAAATTGTAGCCGAAATTCTGGATGCCAATCAACCCTATGAAGATGAATCGGATCCCAAAAATGCTGAAGTCATTGAAACCCAAGTCTATCCTTGCCCACATTGTGATCGTTCATTCCCTCTGGTGCAACTAAGGGATTTGCACATGAAGAATCACACACGTGATAGAAAATTCGATTGCGAGGAATGCGACAAAAGCTTCTTTTCCAAATACGACTTGCAAAGACATGTCTTCACCCACAATGGCGAAAAACCTTTCAAGTGTTCAGCATGCGATAAAGTAATGTTTCTATCGTTTCTCATCATATCAAACATGAATTTATGTAAATTTCTTTTTAGGCCTTCTCACGTTCGACTCTGCTACAAAGGCACGAAAAAACCCATACAGAAGTACCCAAGTATATTTGCGTAACCTGCGAGAGGCCTTTCATTTCAAAGGAGGACATGGAAAAACATGCCGAGCGTCATAAGATAAATCGTCCTTTCCAATGCAAGCTGTGCAACAAAGGATTTGCTTTTAAACAAGGCCTGGAACGACATGAGGTGGTGCATTCTAGACAGCAACCCTACCCATGTCAATACTGTAACCAAAGTTTCTCAACTCCCAGCAAATTGGCACGGCATCTAACTGCTCACGCCGGCCAAAGACCATATCCCTGCAAATATTGTAATAAATCATATTTACTATCACATCATTTGACCCGGCATATGCGTTCACATAAAGAGCATGTGGACAAATCCAATGCTGCGTGGTTTATGTGCAGCCGATGTTCGGAAAGTTTCCAGACAAGAGATGAGCTGATTTCGCACTCGTCCACACATGCTGATGCAAATAATCTCTCGTGTTCTCTCTGCAAGGAGGTATTCATCAGTGTGGATGAACTTACAGGCCACATAAAACAGCATTCTGTTGGTGAAGCTTACGCTTGTGAATTTTGTGACTTAATCTTCACAATGGCAGATAAATTACAAGAGCACATCGATTCGGAACATGCCCAAGAAATGGAAGCATATCATGAAGATGATCGTATTCAAGCAGATCGCAGAATGAAGGAGGGGAATTTAACGCAACCGGATGGTATAGAAGAAACTCTGCAAGACTCGGTTAATGAAATACTATTTGATGATACAACAGAAGCAAGTGGAAATATTGGCGAGCAGATAACTATTAAAAAAGGTATGACGAATTGTTTAAACTTTTACATATCCATGCTAATTATTTCCTTTTCCAGAAAAAGAAAATCCGGAAATAATCCAACAAGTTATTATTAAAAGTGCTGCTCCGATAAAAAGGCCGACCGAAGACAATGACGACAATAGCCTCTTAATTCCACTCAAACAAAGAAAAGTTCAAATTAATAGTAATAAATTAATAACTCAAGCAGCAAGTCCAAATACAACACAAACACAATTACGACGCAAGCTACCAACAGCGCCTCAGGCAAGAGAAAAAAATCAACCATCGATTGCAGATTCAATTATGAGAATGCCCAAAGGTATAACCGTAAAGAAAACCACAAGCAATGAAGATAAAATTAATGCAAACCAATCGCCGAACACAACCCGGTCGCCTAGATCTGGAAATACATCATTAAATGTTTCACCATCGACATCATCTTCGTCGTCGTCACAAACAGGTGTTACAAATGTACGAATACAGCGAATGCGTGTTACAAAGGCCCAGGCAGAGCAATTGGTCAAAGAAGGTCGCATCAAAATGAAGGATGGCCAAATGATTTTAAATAAGGAAAAATAATTTATTTATTTTCATTTTATCAGTTTTAATTACTGCATGTTTTTATATAATTGATGTATTTCTATCATTGAATCATTTTCATTGTTTTTTCATTGTTTATCTATTAATTTAAAGCTGAAGTACATAATATATATGTATACTTCGATTTTTAATGGCAAGAGATAAATAAAAACTAAATTTATGCGAAATGTAAAAACCATGTCGTTCTAATTTTTAACAAATCTCGACTCTCATTTCGTGTTTGGTATTTATGTTTAACACATAAAGAATTTCATATTTGACGGTAAAACCATCATTAGGATCTACCCCAACAGAGGACGGAATATATTTACATTTTTGCATTTCCCGGACATTGTTCCAATTTTACTTTATTTCATAATTTTGAAAAATATTTTAATGGGGTGTTTGACCGATTGATTGACATACAACAAAGATATGCAAAGAACGAAATCTTTAGTACAATATTTCCTTGATACAAACAAACATATGTACAAGTCTTTTGTTCTTTTTTCCCTATAGATTTGAGTGCTTTTTGTTGTGAATTTTTATGAAAAACTTGAGTAGGGAGGCAGAATTTTTCTTTTATCTATCGTGTGCTTATTAACCACTCGGCGTCTTACATTAATATTAAATAAATTAATTTATAAAATATTGCAAGTACATAAGTCTACAGGTATGTATTTATTTGAAAACAAATCTTAGCCATAGTATTTCTTGAGGAATAAATTTAAAAATCATGTAAACTTCCCGGAAAATTTATTTACAAAAACATTTTTTTTGTTTAATAATATTGGCATATTATTTTGTGATTTTCGAAAGAAGTCTCTTCATCTGAACAATAAAATTAATTGATAAATGTCGTAAATACACCCCCCATAGATATGTTGTATATCATCGTTCATGTCTGTAAAAAATGTTGAGAAATTTTTCATATCACAGCCGACAAGGTCTATTAATAAATACCCTGGCCTCTGTTGTTTTCATTGAAAGCAAATAAAAAACAATGTGAAAAAGAAGAAATTTAAATAAAAAATGGTCATTGATAAAAATGTGGATACTCTAAAATGTTGACAATTACTAATTTTTATAAAGAAATTTAAATGTCGGTGAGTAGAAAGGGATCTCTCCTTCTTCCTGCTTTTTATCCCTTTGTTTTTATACGCTTTACTAAAAAAACTAAAGGTGGGAACACATAAATCGCTTATCTGGCTGGCTTTTTCGGAAATGAACAAAGGAGCCTAGGGCCAAAAGCGAACTAAGTCAACCTACAACTCCTTTGTTCATCTACGAAGAAGTCAGCCGATGACTTAAGCCAGCCAAATATGCGCTTTATGTATTTCCACCCTAATTTTTCGAAATATATTGATGATGATGAGTATGGGTGGCGCTTTCCGAAACCTAGGTATTCCCAGCCCTACCCCCTGGTAAACATTACCACCGTTCTCCACTAATAAACCAACGTTGTTTTTATAAAAATAAAAACAATAAAAGGGATTAAGCCAGACCATTTGGAAACAACAAAATACAACAAATGGTATCTCCAAAAAAACAACTGTTATATATATTTTAATGTAAAAATTGTTCACGTTAGAATTAACAGGTGCTCTCATAGTAGAAGAATATAGTTAGATGCATCAACGCTTGGGAACATTGATATGTCAACATTTTTAAAATATTTTATTTTTTATATGTTAAAAATTTTAAATGTTTTTATACGACGCAAATCAGAGGTTGTTATAATATGAATTTTTCAACATTTTTTACAAATTTTAATAATTTTTCGTTCAACATTTTCATTGTCCCATCAGCTGTGTCGATACGACTACCTGTATTCTTCTACCATGGGTGCTCTGTTCCAAAACGTGCAAAAATCTACTAGTTTGCAATTTTTTCGATATCAAAAAAGGAATATCGGTTATCGTAGTCAAAATTTGTGCATTCTTGCGGTTCTGAAACAGAGCAATTATAAGGTTGTTGTTGTTATTTATAATTGTCGTTAATTCCGTCGTAAAAGTTGCGGATTTATACTGACTAAAGTCATCGGTCATTCGGAAAATAATCGAGGAGCGTAGGGTGTACGAGTAGAACTATGGGCAGAAATCGAACTAAGTCAACCTAAAACACCTTTGTTCTTTTGAAGTACTTGAGAAATTAGAAGGCTACTTTGGCTGGCTTATTCGTAAAAGAACAAGAAGTTGTAGAGTGAAACTCCTGCTGTCTGCACCTTAACATTTGCTCTGTTCCAGAACTACAAGAATATAAAACTTTTTATTGCAATAATCGATTTTTTTATGATATCGAGAATAATTGCAAAACCATTCGATTCTTGCTGGTTCTGAAACAGGGCAATTTTTACATTGCTCTGTTCCAGAAGAAAGTAAAGGTGCAAGTATTTAAAAAGCTCGAAGTTCGTCTTTGTTCGTCTACGAATAAGCCAGCCGAATAAGCGCTTTATGTATTCCCACCTTAAGAGTTTTTACTATGAAAACCGATTTTTCCTTTATGATATCGACAAATCAATTCTTTAATCAATTATTCGATAGTCGACTTATGCATCCCTACATCTGAAGAGTATAAACAATTTTTATTTGTGAGAGAGAGCATGCACAAAAACAATAGGAGCAACAACTCATTAATTGTAGACTGTTTTGTTTTATTAAATTTTCGAGTTCTGAGTGTGCAGTATTATTACCGCTTGTTTTTGCATCTATAGTTTGGCGATTAATGATGCACTTTAATTCCTTCGAACGATGTTTGTTCTAACAAAATGCATAACCTCCAAAAAATCAAACGTCATAAAAAATGCATTTATCCAGCAACAACAACGACGACGACAATAGCAAAAAACAATAAAAGCAGTTTTGATGTTTGCCCATATTAGTAAACAAATTTGTTAGAAGAAATGACAAAAAACTGTGTGATTTCGGTGACAAATAGCAATAAATAAATAGTGTTTAATCTATATTGTCAAGTGCAACAACAGTCCCGGCCGATAATTCTTGGCCTTGACAATAGGTTGTGTGTGGGGTTATAACCAAAAAAAAATTGGCGTGTCTGCTTGTTTCGTTCTGCAGAGTTTGAATTGTGTGTGCTGTGCAAGCGTCGGCATTACAAGTTTGTGGGTGAAGTTGGAGAAATAGAAAGAATAGTTTGCAGGCAATAGAAAGTAGAGATTTAAACTAACTACTCTACACAATACTTCCTCCAATACGCAGTAGTTTAGTTTTATTTAAATTGCCTGCTCGTTGTTATTGTGTGGTGGTGTTCTTATCTGGAAAAACTAAAAGCAAAAGAATATATAATACTGAATCACATAATTTATTGAATACGAAAAATAAACACAAACAGAGCAAGCACCAAAATGACGGACGACTGCATATCAACCACAACTATTGAATATATAACAAAAGCTACGCTAAAAATGAACACTACTACCCCACGAAATCCAACAGATTCGATTCGCTTTGAAGACGAGATCGGCGATCGACCTGATGCATTGGGTATGGGCATTATGGGCGGTGAAGAGCCGTCTAGTGAAAATAAGACTGCAAACGGTGTGCTGCAAACACATCAAACTAACGGCAAAGTCGTCAGGTAAGTCCTTTTTTTGGGTGTTTAAGTGACAGCTGAACTGAAAACCTAAATTTGTTAGCAAGTGCGATGTGATTTCAATATGAGTAAAGTCCATCCAGAAGTACGATAACAATTTTGTGTCCTTACTATATGTTACTATATGATTATTAATTAAAACAATATTGCATTTGGGTTATAATCTTTATCAATAATGCGGAATAAATGTGTTCACCAAATGATTTTTGGTCACATTTTATATAGACATATTAAAGAAGTGCCGTTTATGCACCAAAACAACGAAAATTAGATCTTGGACAAAAGCCAGGCGGGACCGAATATATGGTACCCTACATCACTCGGCATATTTAGCAGTGTTTCCCATTTGTGAGAAGTAAATCATACCAGTCATATCAATAAATGTTACTCAATGCGCATTACAGCCTCGCCATAATTGGAAAATCAAAGCAATGCATGCTGCATCATTAACATCAAATCGTAGAGAATAACTTATGGGAGCTATATAAAGGGCGATTTTTTAAGGGAAAGTTTTTCCAAAAGAAAACCAGTAAAGAAAGTCTAAAAGTCGGGCGGGCCGATTTTATGATAACCTACACCATTTTGCATATTTAATAGAGATTCATATAGCAAATAAAAAATATATAACCAATCGGATGAACAATATAAATGGGAAATATAGCTATATCTGAACCGATTTTCACCAAATTTGACATATTTGTTTCTAGGCTCAATTTGACCAAAATTTGGGCAAATGTTACACGTTTGGTGCACAATAAAAGACAAATTCGATGAAGATATATATGGGAGCTATATCAAAATGTGAACCAATCTCGATAAATTTTGGAAAGGACATTTCTTTGTAGTATTTAATATATTTCCCCAAAAATCGCTGTTACAGAGTGCGGAGGACAAAAATGTCAAATCGGATGAACAATATATATGGTAGCTATATCTAAATCGATTTCGATCAAATTTGGCAGACTTATTTCCAGGCTTAATCTTGTCGTATATGCAAAAATCTATTCTACGTTTGGTGCACATTAAAAGGCAAATCGGACAAAGATATATATGGGAGCTATATCTAACTTTTGACCGATTATCCCCAATTTCAATAGGGTAAATGACTTGTGCTAAATTTCATCTGGATCGGGCAATAAACGCGACATGTACCTTAAAAAATACATGGATAGACGGACGGACGTTCATGCATAAATCGACTCAGAATGTGATTCTATGCATATAATCAATAAGAATTAGATAGAACTTCGTCTCCTTTCGCCTGTTACAAACAAATGCAATGACATAATACCCTGACCAGCTTGTGTAGGGTATAAACATATTATACACAAACATGTAAAGATATTCTTTATTTGAATTTATAGACCGGTTCATATAATTTAATCTTCAAAGATTATGTCATGCAAATGTTGACCCCGACTGTGAGTTAATTGGTCTATCTGCTAAGTCCAATTTTGGCATACTCTTTCAAACATATCGGCAGATATCTCTCGAAGAAATACTTCATTGTGGTCTTCAAGTGCGTCATTTGAAGCCGTCTCGTCTGTATAGACAAGAGTTTTAAAATAGCCCATCGCGAAATAGTCTAAAGGCATTTAATCGCATAATCTAGGCAACCAATTTACCAGTCCCTAAATTTGGGATGTGTAAAATTTGAAGGGAATCGGATGCTTACTACGCATTTATAAGCGTTTTGGTTATTTCAAATTTTGACTGTTTGTGTGGGAGGTACCAAAAGGAGTGGACCGACATATTCCATCTTCACACCAGATCTTAGGTTAATAAAAATATTGATATATGAGAAAATTGAGGAGAATCGGGTGCTTACTTCGCATTTTACAAGAGTTATAATTATTCCATATGTCGACCCTTTGTGTAATAGCTACATGTTGGAGTGGACCGATATTTTCCATTTTCGCACCTGACCTAGAACTGATACAAATATTGGTATTTGCAAAGTTTGCACGAAATGGGATGATCCTTTCTTTGATTTCTGTGAAAATTTTGACTTTTTTTGGGGGAGATATCAGAAGGAGTGGACCGATATTGCCCATCTCCGGACACACCAAATCGGACACTCCCTTCGAAAGTTATCGTGCACCCCAGCTAGCCAGAAAGACGGACGGACGCACGGACATCACTCTAAAACCATTATTTCGACTAGGCACGTTGATATATACCCCATCTAGCCATATGGCTAAGGTTATAATCAAGGATTAGTGTACCACCTTAACAATTTAAACCTGTGCTGAGGATATATGTCTTGCAGTAAAAACGGATATTTGCTTTTAAGAAAAACTTAAAAACCCAGCTCGAGCACCTAAGAGATTTGGAAAGGACTATAAAATCTCGACATAGACATATAAAGGTGAACACCTAAATCGCAAAATTGAGGCCCAACCGATATATGTTTACAACCATATATTTTGCGGTCCACGAAACCAGTCGAAAAACACTTTATTCGATATGCAAAAATTCGTTGGGAACAGCTGATTAAAAAATCGGTTGAGCATTTGCAAACGTTATTAATTTAGATGAAGAATATACTGAATCCCGCTTTACTGTTATACAATAGTGTCCTTTGAAGAACACATGTCTTTATTTTTATCCTAATTTTCTAATTAACTTATTTAATAAATAATCCTAAGATCCAAATTTTTATTTACAGCTTTGAAATAGCATCTGTTGCCCGCATGCCCACTGAACGTAACGCCATGGAGTATAATATGAATCATAAACGGCGTGGTCACGCACTAATCTTTAATCATGAATTTTATGATATACCATCGTTGGAACCGCGCAAAGGTACAAATGTGGACTGTGAGAAGCTAAAGAATGCATTGAAAAACTTAGATTTCGATGTAAAGGTTCATAAAGATTGTAAACTGCGCGAATTATATAAACATATCGAAAAAGGTGAGTACTGCTGATAATGGCAAGCGAAAGTAACGTAGGGGATAATGATTCATATTGCTTAACGCAATTGAAAACAATTATTTGATGTACATCTAATGCAAAGGTCTTGGTTGGCAATAAAAGTTTATTGATAATAATTTATTTGATTTGTCGTGGTCGAATTTAGGGAAATCTCTTTACTATCTTTATTAATACACTGTGTTGGGAAAACAAACAAATACACCTTAACGAATCATGTACACAGGAGAACCGGTAGAAAGTAATTAATAGCTGAAACAAGTTAATGCAAGCAAGACGTTTCGAAAACGTATTAATTAATTAATTATTTATTTACCTGTACTATGTAGAATTATAATAATACTGATCATTTCAAATGGTTCAAATAGTTACATAGAAACAAGTAAAATTGTATCAGCCATCCTTGACTTATGATTATTTAAACTGTTGACCCTTTATGGGTGGAAGTTCCTAAGCAGTTGGACAATACTGATCAATTCGTATCAGACCTAAGACTTTTAAAAATATTTTAACGTGCCAGATTTGGAATATATCGACTACTTCCTATACTATATATGAGATATGTGCAATTTTTAGGAAAATGTGGAAATATGTGTGTGGTTACAGATATAGCGGACCGAAGTATTCCATTTTCATACTTCATCTAATACAGATAATTTGAAGGAAATCGAACACCTATATCCAATTTTATGCGAAATCATAAATTCCAGATTTATGGTTAAGAAAAAGTTGTAAAGAATCGCCGGCTTGTTTCGCAAGTTATGGCAGTTATAAGTATTGGAAATTGTGAACCTTTATGGGTGATGTACCAGAAGAGATTTGCAGATATATATCATCTTCACAACATATATTTAGATTTGTGAAATTCGAAGAGAGTTGGATGCTTATTCCGCTTTCTTTAAACGTTTTGTTATTCAAAAATCTTGAACAATATGTGGGAGAGGAACCCGAAAAAATGGTCCGATGCCATCTTTAATAACAGATCTTGTGCTTAAGCCCGCTAAGCATACACGTAGAGGAACAGGCAATTAGGAGTTCTCTTCGGCTCAAAGAACTAAACCAATGGCGCAGTCAATCCTTTGGACATTCTGCGTGTAAGGGATGTGGGGTGTTTATATTTCACCACGATTGACCTTTGACCCACCTGACATCCACATACCTGACAGGGACGCCTGGGCCCGTAGCAATTCTCCCTTCCATAGCTACTTATACCGAGGGTTCAAATATGGAATACGCAACGGGAGCTGGTGTCTTCGGTGACAATCATAATATCCGCGAATCTTACAAGGTTAGAAACGACTGTAGCGATACCATTGAAGTTGAAAACTCGGTCAAACCACCCCTGTGCCACCTCTTACAGGTAATACATAGACACTATTCTGAGAGAATTCAACAAAAATGGCTGGACGAAAGGGGATGTAGCATCTCCAGAAGTAGCTGGCCCATGCTCTCGGAGAAGAGAACAAAGTCGCTACTGCCCTTGTCGAAACCTGATTTAAATCACAGGTCACTGCCATCGAAATAGGACAGCGATGATACCGACTACTGTAGAATCTGTCAAGAGACAATGGAACATTTGCTCTGCCACTGTCCAGCACTCATTTACGTGAGACACTGATTGGTGGGGGAACAAGTGTCACATGATTTATCTTCGTTCTCTAACACTGACCCTGCAGTAATTCTTCAATTAGCCAGGAGACTTAATTGGCTAAAGACGACACGGCAACATTTCTAGCCGTGGATTACTCTTGTAACTCTATCTCTATCAGTAAGATCTTCACTTCTTCCACCAGTCTTTTCTTTCTTCCACTTTCTACATTTAGGTTGAACACAATGGACCAGCAGGAGTCCGAGTGGAGCGGTTACCATACGGCAATCGCGCGTCGTTTAACCTAATCTAGCCTAGGCTATTATTTTGTGCTTTCTTTACTGGTTTTTACTAGACTTTGTCATAAGAAGCTTTAATTTAAAAAAAAAAATGTCTATAATTTAAAGCAAATGGGTATGATACATTGGTATATTTTAGGCAAGTTTTCCCATTCGACATTTTAGGAATATTTGTGGCACTAGATGGGTATTCGATCGCATTTGGTTCTTAAAGCATCTTATGTACCTCATATTTTTTCCTTCTTCCTTCTAGAACGAAAAATTTAAGATCAAGAAATACAAATAATAAACCAAAATCGAAATCATTTTAAAAATATTATAAATTGTTCCTTTTCTTTTACATACTCATCGAAACTTTAGCCGCTTCACAAGATCACAGCGACAATGATTGCATAGCCGTTGCAATACTCACCCATGGTGAACATGGCTACTTGTATGCCAAAGATGTTATGTATAAGTTGGAAAATATCTGGCACTATTTCACTGCCCACGAGTGCCCAACATTAGCTGGAAAACCAAAACTATTCTTTATACAAGCTTGCCGAGGTGATCGTCTAGATCCAGGAATAAAACTACAAAAGACTGAAACAGACGGTGAGACATTTTCCGAAATGACTTACCGCATACCGGTACATGCTGATTTTCTCATTTCCTATTCCACAATACCAGGTTTGCTTAAATGAATACAATGCCAATGGAACACTAATGTTTAAAGAGTTTTTTTTTTCATTTTTTCTTCAAATATAGGTTTTTATTCTTGGCGCAATACCACAGATGGCTCATGGTACATTCAATCATTGGTAGAGGAATTGAATAGAAATGGCAAAAAGTATGACATGCTTACGCTCTTGACATTTGTTAGCCAACGTGTGGCTGTGGGATTTGAATCCTGTGTACCATCGCGCCCCATTATGGACCAACAAAAACAAATACCTTGCCTCACATCGATGCTAACCCGTATTTTACGTTTCAACGAAAAACCAAACAAAACAAACTAAATAATTCTCAACTAAATGCATTGCTGCATTTTTCTGTCTCTCTCTCACTCTCTCTCTCAGAAAAGAAAGTGTAATTTTATCAAGTGTCACATCATTGCGTACAAATTTACAACTAATTTCCGAAAAGAAACTGAAATACTTCTATTTTCAGATTGAATATTTAACAACGAAATTTGTTATAAGATTTTTTTTGTGTAATAGAACAAAATTTTGCTAAAGAAAATATATAATATTATAAATACTTATATAGTAAAGTAAGTTTATATATACTTAATCACATTATATACAAACATACAAATCATGCATTTTTAAGCAATAATACAAATTGTTTGTGTTCCATATCTATGTTTCATGTAACTCTTTGCTGGCCTGGCTATTTTGTGACAAGCTGTAAACTGTTATATCAGTTTTATGAAAAAAATTGCCTTTAGATAAGTTCTTATGGTCTCTCTGTCAATGAATTTCCAATTAACTTGCAATCTTTTTTAATTTTAAATATTTCTTTAATATTGCCTTCCACAAGAAAATGGTTGCCATTTGTTAATTTTAAGATATTTTTATAAGAAAAAGTGTTTCTTAAATAATATGAATATGATGTACAACAAGTTTTGTCTTTTCTTTTGGGTCATTGGTCATGGGTCGTCTGGGTACAAATACTTTCATGCAATATCGAAAACAATGTGTTCGAAATGAATTTTATTACGTCAATTTTTCCTTGATTTAATTGAAAATTTCGATAGAAAATTTTTATAATTTAAAATGGGAATATAGAACTTTTACGATGTACCAATTTTGGAGAAAATTTGATACTCCCTTCGAGGGTTGTCGTGCGCCCAGCCAGACGGACAGAACTAGATCGGCCCCAAATGTCCTGAAACCATGAGGCCTTATCAAAATGATTTATACGCTTGGTAGCATAAGCCAAAAATATAATCATAATAATCAAAATACCAAATATCGGGAGCCCAATGAACGGAAACCGATTGCATGCAAGACTTGTGGTCGCATGTTTAAGATAAAGTGAGCCTAACGCACCCACATGGAACGGCATCGTGATGAGAAGAATCTTATGAAATGACAAAAATGTCCACGCACCTTCCATCTATGGCGGCTTTACCTAGACCATTACCGACTATTTAATTGAAGAAAATAACCTACCCACTGAGAACTCGAAATACAGATGATATGGTTAAAAATTAGGATCAAAACACTCGAAATACCGAAAACCAGGAGATTCCTTTACAACATCTTAGGGGACCACAACCAAATATTGTGATCTCTATCTTGATTTTAATTGCTAACAGGCAGAGGACTACCTTACATCGACTTAGAATTTTATGTTCATCACCAATATACAGGGTGAGATGAAAAAACTGCAACCAACTTCAGACTGCTGTCATTTCTAAGCCACTAGTCCGACAGCTGTAAAATTATTCCAGTGACAGCTCATTATATTGTGATTTAATTCGAGTGTGGTAGTGTGATTCTTTATATTTGGCTGGAAAACCACAAATGGCTATCGCTAGAGCACTCCAGCGTTTAAATGTGAATAAATCTTTTGTGTCTCGTACCATCACACGTTACCGTGATACTGGTAGCGTATCCCGTCGTCAAGGAAGTGGACGGAAGAAAAATGTAACATCAGCAGAAATGTTTCGAAAAGTAAAGAAACGACTTGATCGAAACCCCCGTCGCAGTGTCCGAAAAATGGCTCGTGAGCTGAACATATTGCAATATTCCATTGAAATTCCAAAAGGTGCAAGAACTTACACCGCAAGTGAAAGAAGATAGACCTAAAGGAGCTTGGCCGAAAGTGGTGAACTGCCGAATTTGGGTTTCTCCGATGAGAAAACATTCGTTGTCCAGCAGTTTTTAAACAAACAAAATGATCATGTCTACTTGCCAAAGAGGTCAGCTGAAAATGTGCACCTTCGGTTGGCCACCAGAACTCAAGCCATGGCCATGGTGATTGTGTGGGCCGCCATAACAGCCGATGGTCGCTCTCCGCTCGTATTAATCGACCGTGGCATCAGAATATATGCCGAATATTATCGCGAAAATATTCTTGAGGGTGTATTAAAGCCTTGGGCTTATCGCACTTACACGCGCCACCCAAGAATGGTTACAAAATCTCCGGATACTTATCCGTTGGACTATTGTGTCTGGAGTATTTTGGTAAGCAAGGTTGACACTAAAAAATACCAAAGTGTGGATTACCTCAAGTAAGCGCTTCGCCAGGAATGGGCCAAAATACAGCAGATCAATATTCGGGCAGCGTGTGTCGATTTCATTTGCCGTTTGAAGGTCATAATTCATGCCAAAGGTGACCAATTCGATCAAATCTAAACTTATTCTATGATTTGATGCTATTTCCGACATTTTTTGCTTTCATCCAATAAAATTTAAAAACATATACATAAAAATTATATCGTTTGACTTTGCTGCAGTTTTTTTTCTCACCCTGTGTATATAAAATAAAAAATATAATTTAGTATTTTATTTTGTTTGTTATAATTTTTATTGTTTTTGATATCTTAATTTATGTTTAACACACACACACACATTCTATGTTAATTATGTTCCTTGAATGGTTTTGTTTGTTGCTGGCGTTTTCTTGCTTCCCATCTACAAATCATTTTTGAAATGGTTGTTATGGATAAAACAAAGAAAGAATAAAAACATAAAACAACAAGTAAAATAAAACAGAATATAAAAATTAGAATTTATTGTTTTATATTTATTTAAATTATCTTAAATATTACAAGAAAAAAATACGAAGCTTACATCTGTGTTTTTTTTTTTTTTTTAATTTGTTTTTTAAAGCTAAAAGCAAAATGTTGTATTTCGTAATTTAAGGAAAACTTCAGTTTTCATTTTTTTTACTTTCGCATGATGATTGGTGGCGATTATAACACAAAGAAAATGTGGGCGGGTTTGTGCTGGAGAGATAGAGTGAGATAGGAAAGGATATATAGACGGCATGGGTGGCAAACAAAAAAAATATGAAAATATTGTTTGCAAACAGGTTCGTCGCATTTGCTTAACACCGAATTTTTCGTGTGTTTTTATTCGAATCTCAATAAAGGTAACTAGTCAAATTATAATAAGCCAATTTCTTATTTGTTTGCACAAAATTCAAAAAGAACTCGAGTCAATATTCTTTCTCCAGATATAAATTTGGGGTTGTTATATCAATGATAATTTTGTTAGCAGCGGTGGTGTTGGTGGTAGATCCATATCTAACTAAATCTTAATAGATGTGTTTACAACAACAATATATAATTTATGAGTGCCAAAACATAAAGGGAAACAAGGTTCTTGTTGTTTTGAAAACAAGCAAAAGATGGATATCGATGATAAAAACGTCTAATAAACAAATAAAACAATTTATTTTTAAATAATAATTTCAATTTATGATACGTTAAAAGGAGTGTAGGGAGAAGGGAAGGTTTAGAAAAAAAGCGGGGGAGACAATGAATAAAATCAAAATATTACATGTTTGCAGATCATAAACACAAGAAGTTTGCCACAGCAGTGATGTGAAAGTTGGTTGGGAGTAAATAAAGACCAGTGATAGAAAAATATAAACCGGGTAAAGAATATTTTCAACGAAACAATTGTTTCAAACGTTATTATTAAATGAGATATCTTTCAACTTTCTTCACCAGCAGTAGTTTTTTTTTTCTTTCTTCTTCATTTTGCATGACATCCACACTCGCACATACACAACAAATTACAGACAGTTACACATCGTTGCCTTTTGGGTTTTCTTTATGATGTACTCTTGCTTTGATCTTATTAATTTACGCCAAATAACTGTAGGTATCCTTTTGTCCTTCCATTCGCTCCAAATATTCTTTCTCGATCAAAATGTCTATGCATTTCTTGATAACCGGCACCTTGGGCTTGAAACGCGATGACAATTGATTGATTACCTCGGTAATGAGCTGTGTGTGATTGAGCTTTCGTCGCATTTTCATAATGCGCACAATGGCGGCTTGTATCAACAATTTGCGATCCTCCTCAATGTGTTTATGTACGGCCTCTTGTTCGACCTTAAGTTCAGTCTTCAAAGGTTGATTGATGTTGATGCGTAATTTCTTATTCTTATAGTCGGCATACAATTCCACAACAGAGTTGGGTGTTAGGGAATTTTCATCATCGGCACAGGTTAGAAGTTTTGCCTTGAGTAAAATTTGTAAAACCTGTAATGGCCAAAACGTAAAGGATTATTTCACATTCGTCTGTACAAATACGAATATCATATTTACCTGCACTAAATTCTCCAACTGTATCTGTGTATTATCCAGCAATTGCTTTATGGTATAACGTGTCTGGTCATTGAATTGCAATAGAACAGCCATTTGGAACGTACTGGCCTGCAGTGTGTATTTGTTGCGGAAGCAATTCGTTACCAATTCTCCCTTGCACATGTGATACAGCCAATTTAATTTTCGGCCCGAATGGCGTGCAGCATAGAATGTGTTGAAATGTTGCACGGCTTTCTCCAGTTCTGTCGGCAGCGAAAAACTACTGCTCTGATTAAATGGCCATGAACCTGAGGATAAAACTTCAATGCTAAAATCAATTTCCATGGGAATATTAGCCGTTTGAAGATATTGTTTGAAATTGTTATTTAGATCTTTGGATAGACCAATGTCCTGGAACATGCGTTGCAATTTAATGGTGTACTCATAGCCACAGGTCTGTTTCAATTTGGAAATCATAACAGCCTCGGCATCGTCAGAGGCCGAGGTGTGATTAACCAAACGTTTGGCCAACATTTTGGAGTAGAATTTCTGAAAGACATCCTTGTCTTCGATGTATTTGAAAACGACCATAACCTGATTCAGATTATCTTCCAGTTCCTTTTCTTCGGGATTCTTGGATGACTTTTTCAGCAGAATATCGCAATATTTGGCAAGTAATTCCGGGGATTTGCTAGCACTACTTGCTTGAGTAACCACATTTGAGTTGATAAACTTGCCACAGGCCTTATCTAATGCAGCCACAAAGCCATTGTCATTGTTGAAGGCGGTTAAAACAAGAGCATTATATTTTTTGTGTACCTCCAGTATGGTTTGGACATATATTTTGGGATCGTTGGCAGCTTCGGTATTGCCACATTTTTCGATGGCCTGAGATCCTTGTTGAAGAATGTGCTCCTCCAAAATCGTTTTCAATTCATTAAGATTGCGTGGAGTGCGTGCCACCAATGTGTACATACGTTTTAAATCGGCATTCTTGTCGGCATTCAATAGGTTTTGGAATTCGGAACGGAATATGTCTAAATGTTTTTCGATAAGAACCTAAAAAGAGAGACAAGCGGGAATTAACAACTACATTTCTAAACAAATAATTTATAATGAAAAATCTTACCACTTCGCAAGTTTCTACCAATTTATCCAGAGTACTGACGTGCAAGTATGATGTTAATACTGAATTAAAATCGGCACTGTTCACTCTTTTACGTTCTTCATCCAAACGTTTTTCCACATGTTTCATGTACTCGGACACGGTGTTGCTGCTCAAAAATGCCTCAGATTCATGTTTGTAGAAGGCGGCAGTTTCTGCCAGGAATTTCTTTTCGAAATGATCACGATATACGGACAGCTTTTGTTTTTTCGCATCCTTGTTGTCCATATCCTCCTCCTCGTCGAAACCCAATTCCACGTAGCAGTTGATGACATCGCGTACAAGAGAACGTTTTATGGTCTTACCACGACGTTCTTCATCAATGGATTTAAGCACGGCATTGGTAACGGGTTCATTAAGAACCTTGAACAACTGTTCCTTCCATGTAACCAATGCCAAACGATAAATCTCATAGATACCCTTTTGCCCTTCTTCATATTCCCGCTTGACCCAGTGTCTGTTTAAGTATGAGCAAATACCATTCAAAACGGTGCTGGAGAACTGATACAGAACCCATTGTTTGGTATAATGATCCAAGAGGACTTCTTCTCCTTTGATGGCCTTAAAATTCGTCAGCAAATCGGCCAAATAATCTTTGAGGAAATCCTTTAGACGCTCATAGAGCTTTTTGCCCACCAGTTGGGCACCACCCAATTTATTCGAACGATTGCTGTTGTTCTGAACGGTATTAACACTGGTGCAGTAGTTATAGACATATGTATACAGTTGCATATAACGTTCCTTTGTCAGCGATTGTTCTTGTTGGAATACTTGTTTTATGCCCTGTTCCAGATCTGTCCATATTTCGTCCAAATTTGAATGTTTCTGTGCAGAAGTTCCATGGGAACTTGGACGTTGCATTTTATGTGGACACGAGTTTATTGATGATGATGGTGATGTTTTATTTTTGTCTATCTTTGAAGACCTGTAGTGTGACAGAGATGATGATGCTGTTGATGGTGGTAGTGGTAGTGACGAGGCTAATTCTGGCAAGGGGTTTCTCTTTTTATCCTCCTTGGTACCCGCCGTTGCTTGTTTTTGTGGAGGTGATTGTTGCCGTGATCTTTTCAATGTTCTGAGGGTCCGTATGTTTGTAGTTTTAAGACAGCAAGTCGTTTACACATAAAATTGTATTGGAATATTGCGTAAAAGATTAAATTTGAGAATCTCGTTTTGTTGGAGAATATTGTTATATCTGCAATATGAAAAGGAAAAATATTAAGTTACCGCTGTATTTGAATTAAATATAATAATATATGAATACCAATGGGCTCTTTTTTAACAATTCAAATCAAGCGAAACAATAATCCTTACATCAATGCAGGAATTAAAATGCTGCAATTTAAGATAAAAAATTTGCCTCCGTTATTAATGGAAAGGCTTCATTCTATTGAGCCTAGCAGATAATTTGGACAATTTGTCCGTCGGCAGTCAAAGCCTAAACAATATTCGTCCTTTCTTGTGAAATGAGTTTTCAAATACACAGTCATTTATATAGGTTGGTACCTTTAATGTTTCAAATCTTCCATCTACATTAAGCCATTAACGGCGCGAAGCGGCCAATGCTTTGTCTTTTTTCAAATATAAACAATATAATCACGTACGCACGTACTTATATTTCCATTAAGATTAAATAAACAATTACGGTGGGTACATATATCGACAAGTAAATAAACTCCAAAAAATAAAAGACAAAAGTGAAGGTTATTTAGCAGTTTCTTTTTTGGAGTGTAGGTATCACACACGCACACACACTTGACACATACACACAACACAAATTAACACACATAACCCCGGACAACAATGGAATAAAGCAGGCAAACAATGATAAGAAGCAGCACCTTCGTAAGCCAAACCAAGCTTTTTCTGTTTAGTGGATCAAACTCCAAAAAATGCAACAAAAGAAGATGCAAGAAACAGTTATGTATGCAATAAGGAACATGTTTCAAAACATATGTTGGCAAAGCAGAATATTGAAATTGTTCGATATTCAACCAAGAAAATTTATTGCAGCACAATGATGGTGATAAATATCAATTTTAAATTGCAAATGATTTTTTGTGAAAGTTATATTTTTCAACACTCAAATATTGCAAACGCACACACACACCATTGAGTTTAAAGTTTCACAGCATAATGGATGGTAAACAGGAAGTTATTTTACAAAACACCACAGCATGTATCAAATTTAAGAAAAAAAATACGGATATATACAGCATTAATATGTAACTTTAACAAACATTTTTAGATATTTTATATATTACTTCAATTTTCTAAATACTTTTGTGGCACATTTCACATTATTTGCTAATTTGCACAATTTATTTAGGAAGATATCCCAAACAACAGACAGCAAGTAATAAAAATCAAATTAAAAATGTTAGCTTGTTATTTTTTCTTGCTGACTTGTTTTTAACCTTGTTTGGGTATATATTGCCCACTCTTTCTAGCTCATGACAATTGTTTTTAAACCACTAGAGGCAAGCTTTCTCTTTCGCTCTTTAGAGCCTTGTATGTGTCTCCATGATTTCTCAATAATTTTTTTCACAGCCTGGCATTTAATTTTTCTTTTGTTTTTTTGGTAAATTATTTTTTTTAACTTTTGTGTATTTATTTACAAATTTCAGCCACTTTTAACAATTAATTCGTATTTATATTTTTGTTCAAGTTTTCTTTGCCTTTGTTAAATTCACATTGGCCACTCTCGCTTCATTGACATAACCACAAAGTTCGTAGTATTGCATTTTAAAGTGAATTCGTTGCGTTTTAATTTCCGTTTTTGTTAAATATTACCTCTTTATTGATTATTTGCGTATGAAAAACGTAAAATTTCTTGTTATTTCGTATTAAATGTTCAAAAAGTTATTTTTCTCCATCAAAGTAATTTTCTCATTTATTTCTGTTAGGCATCAAGAAATCGACTATTGACTGTCGACATTTCGAGTCAATGTCGAACAATCGATTACTCGGTTTTGTTGCTGTCATTTTTGATATCACTATTAAACAATGTAATCAATTGTCACTGCATTACGTTTGTAAGCAACAAAGAGAAAATGTAAATTTTTCATAATTTGTCACATGTATTTACATTTTATAGTTTTAAAAAGTATTGCCTATAATAAAAAACAATGGATTATCTTTGTCATTGGATCAGTTTTAGTTTTATGTAATTGTAGAATGTAATCACAAAATGTAAAGCACCATTTGCTTTAACTTCGTCAAACTGTTAATTCGATGCAACTCTGTTGTTTTGTGAAAAAAAAGTCCAATACGATTTAGTTTTGCGCCAGTTTTCAGTTTACAACGAAATTATTCAGTTTTTTTCTTTAAAAGAATGTCGTTGCTTGCAGCATTTTATTAAAATTTTTGGTATAAGTGATTTTGTCGTGCCCGTGAGTGTGTTGCCTTAAAAAATATAGTTCTTAAACAAGGATTGGCTCAAATAAAACGTAGTGGATACGACCCAGCTCGAGGCTTTCATTGTTTCCGGTGTAGAATAAAAATTCGTTTCGTAAAACGCGAAAATCTGTGATATATTCAATATTTTTAATTGGTGTCATATAAATCAGTGAAAATTTTGTGAAAATATTGGGTTCTTTCAATAAAGTCCTTACTATCGTAAAAATTTGGCTCATGTAAAACGTCGTGAATACGGCCCAGCTCGAGCTTTCATTGTTGTTGGAAAAAAAATCATTTTGCAAATTGCAAAAATCTGTCAATCAATCTTTTTAATTGGTGTCATACAAATCAGTGAACATTTTTTGAAAATATTGTTTTTTTTTTTTTTTTTCAATAAAGTCCTTATTATCTTTGAAATTAAGGGATATTACAGCGTGTTCGTGAGCGTGTTGTCTTGAAAAAAATAATAGTTGTTAAACGAGGTTTGGCTCATGTAAAATGTCGCGAATACGGCCCAAATTGAAGCTTTCCGTTTCCGTTGTAGAAAAAAATCGTTCCGAAAATCGCAAAAATCTGTGATCAATTTGTTAAAAGTTTTTAATTGTGTTTTTGTTTTCAATAAAGTCATTGCTATCGTAAAATTCGAGGATACTGCAGCAATACGTAACAAATAATTGTAGTAATCATCCGAAATGATTGCTACTGCATCATTTGGTTTCGCCATTGTAAATTGATGGTAAGTAAGATTTGAAATCATAAATGATAAATCTGGATGCCATGATCTATATTGTCTGTTTCAAATTCATTTTTATCTATTCTAGGGAGATTATTTACATTACAAGAAACCAATACGAATATCCATTCTTTTGTTTAGCTATTAGAAAAATCAGTTTACCTCCCCCATATGGATATTTTGTGAATTCGGTATATATTTGATTCCATTTATGAATGTTTTATTAGTATCACAAACATTTACAGAGTATTATTACAACAACGAAAAATAACATTGTATATAGGATGTAGATAGTTATGTATGTATGTTACATGTTCCATTTATAGACTTTTAAAAAGGGCGCGAAAGTCTCTATAAACAGGGGCCATGGTTCGATAAAGAAATTAAGACAAATGTAAAGGCTTCGTTGAATTTAAAGGCCATTAATGTTATAGCATGTTTCCATTGGAAACCGAACAACGTTGTTCGCTCTCAGAATTATGTACACGAATTAACCCGTTCATACGGCACGATTCGTAATTCATAGTAAAATAATTCCTTTTTTCAAAAATTTTGTTTGTTGATTTTAATGGGAATTTATACGAAAATACATGAAATTCTCACTAATATGAATAGAAGAAATGATTGTTTTTCTCCCAAAGATTTATTATATCATTAATTTTATAATTTTCATTCACGTTTTCAACTTTTTGTGCAAATGTTGACATTTTGAATATATTTTTGTATTTTTCTATTTTTAAATTTTGCTGGAGAGACACTTGTCAAACATTTTTTCTGCCGATACAAAGTTTTTGAAGATATTGCCTCTTTTGTTTGCAGTTTTCTGTGGAAATTTCAACTCGTGGACAAAATGCGTACCTCGAATCAGATAGAAAACAAAATGTACTTTCGTTTGAATGTACATACGCCATTCAACATTGTAGTTTTCATTCATAATTTTCAGTCTTCCCAAAAATTTTTAAAATTTCATTACATTTTTCTATTTTTAATTTTTAAATGTCATAATTTATTTTTTCGATAAATGCTCTCATTTGTTAGGGATGGGACATATTTTTTCGTTGTTCTGAGAGTGATTTGATTTGAACAACGTACAAATATGAGTGTTCGCTCAGGAAATTTTGTGTGAAGAATTAGGTAGTTTTTTCATAGTTAAGGGTCAAACAACGAATAGAGAGCGAATCAAGTGCAGTGGAAACGCCACATTAGGCCCAGATAATGCCAATCAATGGCATTCACATGAGACATGTAAAGATTTCTTTGAGATTTTTTGGTTGTGTTTCCTTTTTTTAGTTTAAAACTGAAATACTCCACGCCAAGTAAATCGTTTGAATGCATGCTTGTAACAGAAGACATTTATATGCTTAAAATTAGATAACTGTAAAAGTACAGTATATATCGTGTTAGTTATTTGTTTTTAGTTAGCACATCCAATTATTTTCGAATTAGCTTAAGCCTAATATATGAGATTTTCTTCCCTTCAAGGAAGATAGCATAAAAGGATTTCATAATATTCTTATATTTTGACGATTGATTTCGAAAACAGTTTGATCTTCATCGTCGCTGTGTCCATCCTCAATGCCAATGGGTAGTGGTGTAAGTTCCTGAGTTGAACGATCGCCTTGTACCCCGTATTTTCGTTCGGCACGTGACAAACGTAGTCTGGAAAGTGTAAATACATGTTAGGTAAATAATAGAATTGGTGTAATTTGAATAAAGTTTACTTTACCTATAAATTTTAAAGATTATAAATAATATAGCGCTCAAGCTTAAGGCCGCAAAAAAGTAGAAACCAGTCTTTAAAGAATCGGAAATTTCTTCATTGTTCCTCAGGATAGTTTCTTCTTGATGAAAGAAGACATCAGAAGTTGCTGCAGCCGGTTGTGATACGGACGGCGAGGTAGATGATACTATAGCTGGCGATTTCTTGTCGGTGGTGACAACTGTGGAGTTGGTGGATATAGTTTGTTTTGTTTTGAGACCATTGACAGCATCAATGGTCTTATCGGTTTCATTTGGCATTGCTTGAGGAGCCAGTTGCTCCTTCTTTTCATTTGATTCATTGGTGGTTTTTAATTTCTCCTCATTATTGGATATATCATCGGGCCGTTGAGACTCTGGCAATGGTACTTTCAATTCTTTTTTCACTGTCTTTGGTATTGACTGCGATTGTTTTATTTTTTCATCAGTTTTCTCTGGTATATTGACATTTTGTTGTTGCTGTGCTTCGTCACCATCAACTTTTTCAGCTCCAGCAGCCCAGGATATTAACAATGCAAAAATTAACAAATAAACTGCCTGATTTGGTCGATGTAGCCGCATTTTGCTCTCAATAATTTTTTGGTTTGGGTTCTTTGCAAGTGAGCATTTATTTAGAGATGAATTTTGTTACTATTTTTGCCAATTTATAATAAATTTCCGGGAATAATAAAAAGTTTATTGTTACGAATATCGACAATGAGGGAAAATCCAATAAGAATTGTCAAATGGCGAAATTGTTTCTTTCACGATAAGGAACAAAACGATATAAATTCTCTGCGAGAATGAAGATAATTATCTGATTAAATACCGGAGGTAACAGATATATCCATTTTCTAGGGATTTTCTTAAGGATACTTTCAAAAAAGGGTTCTTTCCAAAAAATAATGTTTTGTTTTGATTTCGGAACGTCAGCAGCAACTAGATGATTCAAAAATACTATTCTCTACAATGAACTGTGGTACAAGTTCATAATTTTGTTCATAATGAACCAGTGAAATTATGGGAACAAGGGACTAGTTCTTTTGAAAATAATAGGAAAAACTACTCCTTATTAAATATAAACGATTTAAATAGATTGAACATATAATTTCCTAAGAGAAAAACATGGTAGTAGTATTCTTTATTTGAGACTTCTTGTTTTTAATAACATTTATAAATGTACTACGAAATTATAACATTGTACATACGAACTGTTTTCGCTTGTTTCTAATACAGAGAAATGCTGCTTGCTAATAATAACAAATATTATTTATGGAATAACAACAAAAAGAGTGCGAATGAGAGCTTTTCCCACAGTAGTGGAATTCTCGAACTTACTTTTTGAGCTAGCGACAAAAATCGATAACATTGAAACCCAAGGTCTTTGCCAACAGCACAGTGTTGATTCACGAAATGCGATATGGTTCTTCAAAAAATCCTAGAAGCACGATAATATTCACATTCCAGGATGAATTGTAAACAACACATTAAGGCTTGTGATTACTCAAAAATGAAGAAGAAGAAAATTTGGCATTACTCTATGCAAAAACAAAACGAAAAATATGTGTAGTTTATTAAAAATAAGAATGAAAATTGACCAAATCACTCTCTTTTACAAAACTTTTGTGTTTTTTCCTTCCCGTAATAATTTGCGACAATTGTTAAAAAATTGGGCAATCAGACACACCTGTTGCATTTCATTATACATTGCGTATTTTTCTCTTAATTAAAAAAATCTATTTTTGATGTAAAAATAAGACTTCTTATTGAAACCCCATTTATTATCAAACTTATATTCACATTGAATCGATAACATTGAATACTGAGTGTCACCCTGTTTATTTGCCACAACATATGGTGTCCGTTATAGCAAACAGCATGTGAAGAGAATTCATTTAAAATCAATTTTGAGAAAAAAAGGCCATATGGCCGACATTGTTTTTCAGTTTTATCGGCATATCTTCCTCTTTAGTAAATAAATCGATCATTTATTGACATTATTCTAAATACCCCAGAAAAACAATTTTCATTTACATGTAAACTGTTGTTCACACTGAATCTATAACAACGAAAAAAGTGTTTTATGAGTGTCTCCCTGTTTCCTTTGTAATAACATATGATGCCCGTTAGAGAAAATAACATGTGAAGAAAATTAATTTAAAATCAATTTTGGGAAAAAAGACGGTTCATTTTGTGGCCATTCGGCCGATATTGTTTTCATTTTTAATGGCATATCTTCCTCTTTATCATTTATTGACATTATTTTAAATAAAACCTCCCGCCTCCCAAAAAAAAACACCAATCATTTGTACGCAAACTGTTATTCACACTGAATCGTTAACAATGAAAAAAGTATTTTATAGTGTCACCCTGCTTTTTGCCGTAAGATATGGTGACCGTTAGAAAACAGCACACTGAATTTATAAAATTGAAAGCAAATAGTTTATGAATGTCACCCTGTTTCTTTCGTCACAACATATGGTGACCGTTAGAAAGCAGCATATGAAGAGAAGAAAATAAAACTTATTGATAAAATCCGCATACTCAAAATACCATTCACACTGAATTGATAACATTGATGCATTGTTGAAGAGTGCCACCCTGTTATTTTTCCTTTACATATGGCGACCATTAACCAAATTTTCCTTTGAAATTTAATTTATAGTTAAAATATTAAAGTATCCTTTAATAAATAAGATAAAACCCAATTCTTGTAATATTTTGTTTTATTTATTTATAAAAAAACACTAGATTACATTCTTACGACATATTATTTTCTATACAATAACAATTTGTTTCGTTTCATTTACAATTAGGTTTTAAGAATAGTTATGTTTTTCGTATTTACAAAGAAATCTTACTAAAAAGTCTTTGTTATGGTTATGCAAATATTTGTTCTTAGTTTAGATTTTCGTACATAGTATATAAAAAATGTGTTTCTTTTGTCTTGAGACTGCTAAAAAGACATTCAATTGAGGCGTTGTGCTTTGTTGCGATCTGGGGATCAGTTATAACACAAATGCAGTTTTACGCCATGTTTTTGCAATTTTTTTTTATTTTATTTATCTTCAAAAAACTTACATAACTAACATCACAAAATAATTTATTAACAATACTGCTGCCATATGGAGAATATAAAAAAACTAGAAAAAAACTTTATTATTTTTATTTTACAAAAACTTGTTATTGTTTTATTAAATATAAACATTAAATTACATATGTATAAGAATTAAGTGTTTTAAAAAGATTTTTTTTGTTATTAATTAATGCGAACTTCGTATTTAATTTACATTATTTCGTAATCGACAGGAGTCTCCTCTAATTTAATGCTTGTAAAGCTTCTTTGGAAAGCCAAGCTAAAATCAACGCCGCCAAGCGGAGAGTTGATTCTGTTGCAATTTATACCATGAAACGAAAGGTATGGAACCCAAATTGGACTTTAAAAATTAAATGACGTATTGGAAGTGCTAATAAAAAATATATGTATTAGACTTGGTTATGTTTGTCCATAAAAAAATTCTCAAAAAAAAATCCATTGCGTCCATTCCTCCTTCCCAACAAAATAGGCTTCTTCAAAAAATTTACAAAAATTTTGTATTTCTTTTAAAATTCAATAAAAAAATCTATTTAAAAAATTTCGTTTTATTAGCTTATAACTAAATTTAGATATATTTATATAAAAAATAACAATTTTCTCTAATCGAATGTGTGAAGACGAGGCATAATTATTGATTTATGTTTCTAAAAAAATATTTTCAACATTGTTTTAATTTCTGTTTTTTTTTCTAATGGTCATGAATGAGCGTTTTCTAACTAGGACTATTTGATTCGTTCCCCGACTCCTTTTTATCATATCATGCTGCCAAACATACGTTTGCCACGGGTCAAGACCAGACTTACAACCATTACCGTCAACAGAAAAAAGACTAAACTTAAAAATGTGGTAATCACCCGGCATCTTTGGCGGAATTTCTTCTCTTTTTCCATTTTAATGCGCAACTGTTCGGCTCGCGGCAAATCCAATGTGAAATCTGATTCGGGTCGTGATGAGGGCTGTAAAACCAAAAGAGAAAAGAAAAGACAAAAATTATTTTCTTTATTCGAAATCAAGCTAAACGTCAATATTATGTTGTCACATTTAAATTTGTTTATAATAATAATTTATTCGAAATTCGAAACAACAACAAAATGGAGGAGATATTATTCATATTGCTAAATCTATTCAAATTTGCCAGACACTAGGTCGTCGTCTCGTTGTGTCATGTCTTTTTTTCTTCTGGCTATGTCACAGATTTGAAGACTATTTTTCAAATCATTTTTATACCCTCCACCATAGTGTGGAGGGCATATTAAGTTTGTCATTCCGTTTGTAACACCTCGATATATACATTTTAGACCCCACAAAGTATATATTTTCTTGATCAGCATAAAATTCTATGTCAATTTTGCGATGTCCGTCCGTCTGCGGAAATCACTCTAGCTTCCGAACGATATGAAGTAGGTTCATAAAATTTAACTCAAATGTATATTATGTCTGCAGGACTGAATGGTATTGAAAATGGGCCATGTAGGCCCACTTTTTGGTATAGCCCCCATATAACGGTATCTCCCGATATTCGGTATTTGGATGATTTCAGCGACATTACTCACCGAAATTGTTTCAAATTTGTTATTTGATGTTGATAATGGATGCTACAGCCTATGTCAGGTGATTGTCTGTGCAGGTCCACGTCTTCCTATAGCCTCCCTATATCGGTACCTCCCGATATTCGATATTTTGATGACTCTAGCGACATTATTCACCGGAATTTTTTCAAATTTTGTATTTCAAGTTCGCAATGGATACTTCAGCCTAAGACAGAAAATTGTCCGTACAGGTCCACGTCTTCATTTAGCCCCCATACAAAGTTACCTCCCTTTATTCGGTATTTTGATGATATTAGCGACATTATTCACCAGAACTGTTTCAAATTTCGTATTTAAAGTTCGGAATCGTTACTACAGTCTATGACAAAAAAATTACTTATGCAGCGCCATAAAAAGGTTTTCATTTAAGCGGTATTTTTCGGCGGATTATTTTTTTGAAAAATTTCAAGTTCCTTCCGAATGTCCAGAACCTGAGGAGATTTTTTTCTAGACGAAAGGAGTTCCTGAGGATACTTTTTTTCTAGACGAAAAGGAGTTCCTCAGAAACCTGAGGAGACTTTTTTTCTAGACGAGAAGGAGTTCCTCAGGTGGAACTGAAAAAAGTATCCAGTCGTACAGAAAAAAGTCTCCACAGTTCTCGGAACTACTTTTTTCGTAAGTCTCCACAGTTCGCGGAACTACTTTTTTCGTATAGAAAAAAGTCTCCACAGTTCTCTGAACTACTTTTTTCGTAAGTCTCCACTGTTCTCTGAACTACCTTTTTCGTATAGAAAAAAAAAATCTCCACAGTTCTCTGAACTATTTTTTTCGTATTGAAAAAAATCTCCATAGTTCTTTGAACTATTTTTTTGTATTGAAAAAAGTCTCCACAGGTCCCTAAACTACTTTTTCGTATAGAAAAAAGTCTCCACAGTTTTCTGAACTACTTTTTTCGTATCGAAAAAACTCTCCACAGTTCTCTGAACTACTTTTTTCGTATCGAAAAAACTCTCCACAGTTCTCTGAACTACTTTTTTCGTATAGAAAAAAGTCTCCACAGTTTTCTGAACTATTTTTTTCGTATAGAAAAAAGTCTCCACAGTTCTCTGAATTACTTTTTTCGTATAGAAAAAGTCTCCACAGTTCTCTGAACAACTTTTTTCGTATAGAAAAAAGTCTCCACAGTTCTCGGAACTATTTTTTTTTCGAATGGAAAAAAGTCTCCATAGTTCTCTGAACTACTTTTTTCGTATAGAAAAGTCTCCAAAGTTCTCGGAACTACTTTTTTCGTATAGAAAAAAGTCTTTATAGTTCTCTGAACTACTTTTTTCGTATAGAAAAAAGTCTCCACAGTTCTCTGAACTACTTTTTTCGTATAGAAAAAAGTCTTCATAGTTCTCTGGACTACTTTTTTCGTATAGAAAAAAGTCTCCATAGTTCTCGGAACTACTTTTTCATATAGAAAAAAGGCTCCTCAGTTTACTTTGGTTTGGTTTGGCCTTCTTCATTTTTCGAAATAATTTTTGCGTAATGTGTGATTTTCGATTTGGTATTCTGAACTGCTTTTTGGAATGGAATGGAGTTGAAACTATTCCTCTTTGAAGTCAATTAAAATTCTGCGTACAAAATACTACTGATTTTAGTTTAATTTAATTATTTATTGGTTTTCGCACTTTCAATGACGTATTTAGCACAAAAACTGTAGCAGAGCCCTTGAATTGTCAGTTTGAGTTGGGACATTAAAGTTTTATCAATTGGCACTGTGGCTGTTAAAGGCTCAAGCTACTGAAAAAAACGCAAAGTTGGTTTGGATGCGACCTTTGAGTCTTATATAACGTGTAGAACTAGAATATGGGGGTATAAGGCACGATTTATGTCCAACTAACTCCATAATATACCTAGAAGGCCTTTGGTTTCAAATTGTGGCCTAAATACCGATTAATTCTTATGTCGGCCTCTGGGACTCCAACGACTTTGAATTTTGTCCTCGTAACGAAAATTTGCAACCTTATTCTTTTGGGCATTACAAAAAAACATTTTTTCCCATCAAACATGTCCACTGCGAACATATCTGTTGCCAACATAATTGCACTCAAGAAGAGAGTAAGCGTCCGCTACCTGGAGAATAACTTTTTTCCACCATTGCCTGGAAAAACGTGAGTAGATCAGTATCGCTTTCCGTTGTCGTGTCTTCCAGCTGTTCAAATGAAATAGAAAGTGAAAATACCCGTTCCGTCAGCTTAGTGCTGCAATGATCTTCTCTGGCTTAGATCTTCCACCTTCGCCCCCTCCACCGCCACGACATGAATGTAAACAAAAAACACTGAGCTGTATAAACAACAACGAAAGAAAGTGCTAACAAAAGAAGGAAAATAAATAGTGTGGGGTATGACAACAGAGCCAAGCTCAGCTGACTACTGTGACTACTCCAAGCTTGCCTTTAGCCAAGTAACAAGTAATTTGTAAGCGTTTAGCGGTTATGACGTGATGGACGATTGGTTGAATGGGATGGACAATGCAAGCCCAAGCGAAATAATGATGGGTTTGCTGTTGATAAGAGATGGTTATGTGAGACTAACTTAAAGGTGTTTTTTCTGCTGTTGTTGTTGTAAAAATTGGTATTTTCAAGGTTGAGACAACAAATGCGTGGAAAGATTTTTTTTTTGAAAGAAATTAACGTAACGTGCTAAATGGAATTTTGAAATGCACAAAAAAGTTGCAGATCGATAAACGAGGCAGTAGAAAATACAAATTGAAAATAAAATAAAAAAATGGGAAATTGAGGAAAATTCCCAAAATAGTTAGAGAATGGTGGAGACTTTTTTCTATTCAAAAAAAAAGCAGTTAGAGAACTGTGGAGACCTTTCTATACAAAAAAAAGTTGTCCAGGAACTGTGGAGACTTTTTTCTATACGAAAAATGTAGCTCAGAAAACTGTGAAGATTTTTGTTATACGGAAAAAGTAGTTCAGAGAGTTTTGGAGACTTTTTTATACGAAAAAAAGTAGTTCAGAGAGCTGTGGAGAGCTATACGAAAAAACTTAGTTTAGAGAACTGTGCAGGCTTTTTTCTACACATAAAAGTAGTTAAGAGAACTGCGGAGACTTTTTTCTATACGAAAAAAGTAATTCAGAGAACTGTGGAGACTTTTTTCTATACAAAAAAAACTTCCTTAGAGAACTGTGGAGACTTTTTTCTATACGAAAAAAGTAGCTCTGAGAGCTTTGGAGACTTTTCTATACGAAAAAAGTAATTCAGAGAACTGTGGAGACTTTTTTCTATACGAAAAAAGGAGCTCAGAGAATTGCGGAGACTTTTTTCTATACGAAAAAATAGTTCAGAGAACTGTGGAGACTTTTCTATACGAAAAAAAAGAGATCAGAGAAATGCGGAGACTTTTTTCTATACTTACTTTCTATACTTTTTTCTCTACGAAAAAAGTAGCTCAGAGAGCTGCGGATACTTTTTTTGTACAAAAAAAACAGCTCAGAGAACTGCGAAGACTTTTTTCTCTACGAAAAAAGTATTTCAGAGAACTGTGGAGACTTTTTTCTCTGCGAAAAAAGCAGCTCAGAGAGCTGTGGAGAATTTTTTCTATACGAAAACGTAGATCAGAAAACTGTGGAGACTTTTCAATGCGAAAAAAGTAGTTTGGAGAACTGTGGAGACTTTTTTCTATACGAAAAAAGTTGCTCAGAGAACTGTGGAGACTTTTATCTATACGAAAAAACAGCTCAGGAACTAGGGAGATTTTTTTAATACGAAAAAAGCCGCTTAAAAAACATAGAGAGTACTGAGGAGAATTTTCTATACGAAAAAAGTAGCTGGGGAAAAGCTGAGGAGACTTTTCTATACAAAAAGGAAGCTGGGAGAGAACTGAGGAGACTTTTTTGTATATGAAAAAAGCAGCTCAGAGAGAAGACTTTTTTCTATACCAAAAAGTAGTTCAGAGGGAACTCATGACAAAATTAGCTTAGATAACTGAGGAGACTTTCCTATACGAAAAAATGTTCTTCCACTATTCAAATTATTTTAAAATTTTTAACATGATATTACTCTCCCAAAAACAGAGCAACTTCATTTCTTTATCAAAAAAAAAATACAAATACAACATACATATATAAAATAAATAAAAAGTATATCAAATCCAATAGTTCAGATACCAATTAGTTTTAAACTAATCGTTTTTCTTTTTTAATATTTTTTTGGTCATAAATATTTATAAGAAATCAACACCACCTTTTGTTCGGTTCATTGGCCTTTGTTGTTGACACAAGAAGGAAAACGGAAAGGCAGTGATTGTCAATTATTAACATATTCATTTGCTTTTTTTCAAAATATATGTCGTATATAAAAAACATATTTACATTTTAAATGCTCTGCTTTTTACCTTTAATACGAGAAGGGTGCAGCTTAAATGCTTAAGAT